AACTGTGTTTTGCACCTGCAGCTTGTATTTCAACTGAGATGAGACAGCTCAGCGAAATGTCATTAACTTTAGGGAATATGAAAACTTATGCTAAAAGAGATAAACGGATTGACAAATAAAAAAAGTTTTATATTTCCTTAGGTACGAGTTCAAAGGATGCGAATCTGATATAAAATATTTAAACAATCAAAGACAGCCTAACATACTGCTCTGTCATCGAAAACCTCGATTTTCTGGACTTTCAATATTTAATTCCAAGACTTGATCAAAACAGCGAGCTAAAAATAAATTTTCATGGAGCAAACTAATTTACTTATTTGGAACACTTCCACATTTAAAAGTTGGAACGTTAGTGTTGACATTAACAGATCCGTTTAATTATTTTGACTTTAACATGAAGACTTCGCTTTCTCTTGCGCTTCATGCAAGACCAACCCGCTTGATATGGATTGAAACGTTTCTTTTTTCAGTGATGAACGTAGCAGCTTTTAACGGAAATCTATTCGTTTGTTATGCTGTGTACAGAAACAGAAGACTTCGTACAATTCCAAATATATTTGTTGTAGCACTGGCAGCGAGTGATATCTTGATGTCGACTTTTTGTGTGCCGTTTTCAGTTGTCGCACTTGCTCGCGGCCATTGGATTTTTGGTGAAAGTTTTTGCCAGTTTCATGGTTTTGGAGTTTTTACATTTGGCCTGGCGTCTCTTCACACCATGGGAATTATCGCAATTAGTAGATATTTCTGCGTGGTAAAACCAGAGAAATACGTTGTGTTGTTCAAAACAAGAAAGACAATGACATACATTGCCGTCGTGTGGGGAGCGGCTTTATTGGGATCGGTGCCTCCATTTTTCTTTGAAAATGGCGGATTTGAATTCCAACCAGGAAAAGCGTTGTGCCTGTACACTTTTCAAACCAACATTGTGTACACCGCTTTTATTGAAACCGTGTATGTGGCAACACCCTTTGTATTCATAATAATCTGCTATGTCAAAGTATTTTACACAGTTTCGTCAACAAATCGAATCTTTTCAGCCAAGACCAACCTCCATACGTTAAGAACAAATATAGAAGAAGCGAGAGTTACTAAGACGTTAGGAGCGGTAATGGTTGGTTTTGCGCTTTGCTGGCTTCCAGTTTGCATCATCGATTATATTGACGCTGTGCACAGGGTACCCACTTTGCCGCGACAGGTGTATCTTACATACGCGTTCTTGATCTATTTGAGCAGCACAATAAACCCCTTCATATATGGTGCAACTAACAGGCATTTCAGGAGAGAAAGTAAAGTTATTCTAAGGAAAGTATTTTGTCTGAAATCATCCTAAAAGTGGGAAGATCCATGTCCGCCGCAGCTGGTATGTAAATCCTCTCTCACATAAGTGGTTCAAGATCTTTTAATTTATTCAAGAGATGTGTCTAATCAAAGTTTACTGATTAAAAACAAAAAGCTGAAGGAGTATAAACAAAAAGACAGTTTGCCAAAAGTACTCAAATAAAGTATAGCAAAGAAAAAGCACGTGAAAGGAGAAGAAAGATCTCTGATATTGAGGCTTCTTTGAAGATTTCGGAAGAGAGATGCAGTAGTTCACCAACTCCTGAGAACCAGGAAGAGTTTGAATTGTTAAAAATGGAATATGATTCTATCTATGAACAGATAGCAAAAGGTGCTATAATCCGATCGAAAGCCACTTGGTATGAAAAAGGAGAAAAAAGCAATAAGTACTTTTTAAACCTCGAAACACATAAGAAAGCTAAGAGTTCTGTCCGTAAGGTTTTTGACGATAATGTAGACAGCTTAAACTACTCTTATGATCATGGTGAGCTCTCAAACTCTCAGAAAGAAGCCATTATTACCCTAATAGAGAAGAAGGACAAAGACAAAAGGGACTTATCAAACTGGAGACCGATTTCCCTTACTAATGTTGATGTTAAAATCGGTTCAAAAGCCCTTGCCAAGAGATTGGAGAATGTTTTACCAAACATCATACATTTCAATCAATCTGCATATGTGAAGGGTAGAACCATTTTCGACGCGGTCAGAACCATAGAGTTTTTGGTTTTGGACCATCTCTTATTCAATGGATCCACACTTTTTACAAGAATGTCTCCAGTTGTGTCTTAAATAATGGCTTTGCAACTTCATCCTTTTCCTTTGAAAGAGGGGTAAGAGAGGGAGACCCTCTCTCTGCTTACTTATTTATTATAGCATTAGAAGTTTTATGTGTTAACATACGTAACAGTAATGACATTCGTGGTATTAAAGTCGATAAAGAAGAGATCAAATTAAGTCTTTTCGTAGATGACCTGACAGGGTTTTTAAACGATGACCTCTCTCTTAAACTTATAGAAGATTATGGAACTTGCTCTGGCCCAAGGTTAACCACGAAAAGACAGAGCTTTTGCTACTAGGTAACCTGGCCCGTACCGTACAAGAAGCCGCTCTGAACAACATAAAAATTAAACGATCAGCTAAAATCTTAGGAGTACATTTTACCTATGACATTCAAGCAAAACAAAAGCTAAACATCAATGAATTAATCAGCTCCATCCAACTTAAGCTACGAATCTGGAGGTGGAGGGATTTGACTATCATAGGGAGAATTCAAATTGTCAAAACCTTTATTATCCCTATCTTCTTATATCGCACGAGCTTGATATCATTGGATAAAGAATTTGTGAAAAGAAGCGAACAAAATTATCTTTGATTTTATATGGAAAGGAAAGGATAAAGTTAAAAGCTCTGCACTTATCAGTGATATCGAAGATGGAGGACTTAAAGCCCCACATTTAAACTCCATAACTGAGACACAGAGAATACTTTGCTGCAAGAAATTGGCAACTGATCAACCGAGTGGATGGAAAATAATCCTTTTGCATTATCTGAAACCTGTTGGTGGTAAATTAGTCTTATGTTGCGACTTTGATTTGAAGAAATTGACTATCAAATTACCAGCCTTTTATGAAGAATGCTTAAAATCTTTTGCAAAGTGCTCGGCGTAAATAATTTAAATATACATGATTTAAATGGAAAAGACTTGTCAAAAGTTACCTTATGGAACAACAAATTTATTTGTGTTGGTGACAAGTCTGTGTATTTTCGAAATCTCGCTGAGAAAGATCTTTCGAGTGGGTGATTTAATCTCGAATAAACATGAACTTATAATCAAAAGCGAGTTGAGAGTCTTGAACCTTTCGCCTTTAGGCTTGTCTCTTTAATAGACGCTCTACCAACTCAAAGGCGTGAATCGTTGAAATCCTGCATCTATACAGGTGACACACCATTCAATTTGCGTGATGAGATTAAGTTACGCTTAAGTGGTCAAATTGTTTTACTTGAAAAAGCGTATTCGAAAATTGTTTATAAAGAACTTCGAAACAGAATCGTCACTACACAAGCTGCTAAACTAAAGTTTGATGCTAATTTTGTTAATGATACTTTGAACTGGAAAAAAATCTATAGCTTCCCATATCGTGTTGCCTTAGATACAAAGACTCGCGAATTTCAGTATAAATTATTAAACAGATGCCTTGTGACAAATACCTTCTTATGCAAAATTGGTATTATACCATCTCCAGCGTGCTCCTTGTGTGGTGAATCGGACGAATCCCTCGAACATCTTTTCCTGTCTTGTCATTATACTAAGAATTTCTGGTCTGAGGTTATAAATTGGCTTGTTGATCATAAGGTCAAGATTGAAAATCTTTCAGACAAAGATATACTGTTTGGCATTATTGGATGCGAGGATGAGATATTTGTGAATCATATTTTATTACTAGCAAAACAATATCTATACTCTTGTAGACAGAACAAATATCCTCCCTCCATCAGAGTTCTTCATTCCAAAATTAATACTGTCTTGTTAATAGAGACAATGATCGCTAAGTCAAAAAATAAGTTGGAGACCCACAATATGAAATGGGGCAAATATAAAACTGATTAGCATAAGATCTCTTCTCCGCTTACTTCATTTATTATTAATCTTTATTTTTTATTTATTTTATTTTACTTTTTTTCATGTAAATAGAAAAGAAGGTACCGGGTTTTTGTTTCGTTTGTTTTCTTTTTGCAAGTATGTAACTGTGTGTTAGTTAGTCTGCGTTGTATAATGTTTAGTTTTCCTTTCCGTTTTTTGTATTTTTCCTTACGTGTTCCGTGTTCATAAGTCAGAATGTAAAAAAAAATGTGAAACATAACAAAACAAAAAATTCATTAAAATACAAAAAAAAAGTACTCAAATAATAATTGCTTTTAAGACAAAGCAGGAAAAAAAATCCAAAAGTAAATAACTTGAAGAAAAAGAAAAAGACGCTTCAGTATTAAAATTCAACATGTGTATAACCGACATTCTTCGTCCTGAGGAGTCTATTGACTTTATCGCCCGTCCAAACTCATCAATTTCAAGCTGAACTAGCCGCTCGTTCTTTTTTCTCAGAATAATTAGGTTCACGACATCTAAAAAAGTCCAACGAAAACCCTGGGGCCATTATTTCAGGGGCACCCAACGAGAATATAGTTCAAAACCACTTAAACAGAGCATTGTTGAACGTATTTTAGTATTTAAACGGTAGATATAGGCATATTTTTATCCCCTAAAAAATTTTCATCTGTCCGGATTTCCTAGCTAAAAGTCTAGTGATCCGAAAATTATAGGGATCAAAACTTACCTTTTCGAAAATTTCAGCCAGAAAAAAGGCTCCCGAAAATTCTAGGTGACCTTTTTAGGGTAAAAATCCGTTAAAAATGAGCAGTTATACCATTTTTTAGATGTTCGAAAATCCTAGGGGAGGCAGGCAAGCAAGAAATTTTAGAACAAATGTTCCGAAAATTCTAGATCTCAAATCGTCTTCCGAACAGATGTTTTCCGAAAATTGACGTTTATTTGGCCGGAAACGGGGCAACATAATGTGAGTCCCTAGCAGAATATACATTAACGTGATCTGAGTACAGCAAAGCAGACTTTGGCTACATAGATTTTTTGTACGGCAAATGGGAAATGTGTTTCCTCTTGAATGACGCGAGAAATGACATTGTACTTTGTTTAGAACCATAGTTTTAATGATAATTCAAATGTAAGCTTATTAAGATCCGGGGTAATTGATTCACAATTGGCAACGTCTACGAAGGTAGCAAAGCCGCCAAGCTTCAATTCCTTCCATTGAGTTAGATGAAAGATTCAAAGTCCCTTCGCAAATTCTTAGAAAAATTAATTCGGGTAAAAATCAACTTCCTGTTACCTGTTTGTAACTAAAACGAATATTTCAGGGATTTTTTTTTTAATTTAAAAGTTAAGACGATTAATTGATAGAAACATTAGTTAAATGCAAATAAATTCAATTTGTTACTTTTCCTTTCGCGCAGAAAGCTTTTTTTCGAACACAAATTCTAGACTGATGGATGAAAAACCTGGAACTTTATCACAAGAGACCTCTATTATTTATAAAATTATCCCCTTCCCGGTTTTGATCTTAAAATCAGTACACTAACTAGTCATAAACAATTCAAGGCTTCAAATTTTCCTGAACATCGATGAAATGTTCCATCTAAAGTTCAAATGGAATATCTGCAAACTTCTTCGTCTCACGCTCGGTTGGGGGATCAATAACCGTACAGGGAATTGGCGCATCACATTGGAGAAGAATCTCCGCCGATACCTTGGCATAGGTTTTGCTCAGAGCGTTTCCCAGGTACTTGTCTCGGTTCTCCTCGGTTGTAAGGTCCACCATCTGGCAAGTCTGGGGCAATTTATCCACTTCAAATTCGCAAATTCTCAATCCAGTTAGACCTTTTTCCTCGCCTTTTTCTTTGTAGTCCTTGGCCACGTCTAAGGATGCTGATGTTGATATAAACTGCGAAGCGTAATTTGATCGACTTCCGCAATTAACATGCGAGAGAACATTTTTCTCGGCAACTGGATCTCTTGCGACAATTCCCTCAGGATTTTCGTCTGGGCGCAGTATTCGATAAACGTTTTTTGTCGATGTATATAGTGTCTCTAAGCGGTTATTATCAAGAAACAAGCTTGTCAGTTGGCAACCTAGGGCATCAAACTGAGATGGGCAAGGATGAACACATCCGTATCCGTCACAACAGGCCATGGTAACTTTGTCACAGCATGCTGAGGATCCATCCTGCTTACAGCAAGGGGCATCTTCTGGGCAGCACTGAGCCCCACAACAGGCGTCTACACTATCACAACAGCTTATGCCATTGCAGCAAAATTCGCCAAACTCGCAACACTGAACCCCACAACAAGCACCTACACTATCACAACAGCTTATGCCATTGCAGCAAAATTCACCATTTTCGCAACACCGAGCCCCACAACAAGCGCCTATTCTATCACAACAGTCCATCCCATTACAGCAAAAGCTGCCTTCCTTGCAACAATATAGGCCACATAACGTTGGGTATCCTACTGGGCAGCATCCTACTGGGTTTTCCTTGGGTAAGCAAAGTGGATACTCTGCCGGGCAACATCTACTTGCTGGATCCCCTGGCGTGCAGCATATTTCATCCAGAGGACAGTAGAATATCTCTTCTCCCTCTTCAGCACAGACTTCAAAATGAGTCTTCGACGAGACATTTCTTATTTGCGGAACAGCGAGAGAATTTGCTACCTTCCCCAAGACCTTCTTGTAGCTGGGGTACTTAGGCACCTTTTCGCTTGAAACAAACAAGACTGCTGCGAGAACAAAGAAATTGATGTAGTTTGCCTTCCAACAGGTCATTTTTGCATGCACGTTTGCGTTTAGCACTCAACCTAACTGAACTGAGAAAACTGATAAACGATTGTGGTCGCCGGATTGTCTTGTGATTGTCATGTTTGAACGAGAGAGATCTGCATCGCCCCATGCAAGGGAAAGATATCGCTGAATCCAGAAAATATTTGCTTGTGGAATGCAGAATCCTGGGCTTTAGAATCCGGAATCACACTAACGACTGTGGAATCCGCAGCCCAAGTTCCACTGAATCCCGCTATCTAGAACCTGGAATCTAAAATCCACTCCTTAAAATCCAGAATCCAAGACTGTCTTAGATTCCCTTACCTAGGGCAATCTGCAAGTATCAAATATTCAAACGGGACGAGCACCAGACAGACACAGGACACGCAAACACGATCCTTGAACCTCGGGTAAAAGACTGTGGTTGCCCTTCTTATGTATTTCTTGTTTGAACATGCACACTATACACAGTCCCTGAGATAACAGTCGAATAAGAAAGGTCTTATTTAATTCATGTGTAATTTCTAAGGATGCCAATCCAATATAAAATCTATGAGCTATAAGGAGTGACAAACTGCGTTTTTATCGAAACCCTCGTCATTCTTGACAGTATATTGAAATCATTCAAAGACTTGAATAACACAGCGAGCTAAAAAATATTCTCCAAAGAGCAAACTAGACTTACATATTTTGAACACTTCCGGGTTGTGAAGGCTGGAAAGTAGCTGTTGACGTTAGGATATCGATTTTCATTATTTTGTATCAAAGTCTTTCAGTATCAACAAACTTTCACTTGTCAGACTTGTAGATTTCGCTTTCTCAGTAATGCGCTTTACTGCACCAAATTCAGTTACTGATATGGATTGAAATGTTTCTGTTTACGGAAATAAACGTGGTAGCCTTCAACGGAAATCTCTTCGTTTTTTATGCTGTGTACAGAAACAAGAGAATTCGCATAATTTCAAACATATTTTCTTGTTGTAGCAGTGGCAGTGAGTGACGTCTTGATATCAGTCGACTTGTTGTGAGTCATTTTCAGTTGTCACAGTTGCTCGAGGCCGTTGGAATTTTGGTGAATTTTTTTGGCAGTTTAATGGCTTTGGTAAGTGTTTTTGTATTTGGCTTGGTGTCTCTTTACACCATGGGAGTAATTGCAATTAGTAGATATTTTAGGGTGGCGAAGGGGTTTTCCTTGACGCGTGATGGGACCTAAATTATTAGCGTGATGCGTGATCTGGCCCAAATTAGCCGCGTGAGGCGTGAATGGGCATAGTAGCGTGATGCGTGATTTACTATTTTCACAAGGTATAATGGGTGGTTTTCCTTTGAAATTTCAATATCATCAGAAACTAGAAGCAGGGACATTAAAGATAGATAGTTATGAAACCAAAGACTTGCTATTTTTCTCGTTCCTCCATCTCTGATTTCCTCAGATCAAATGATAATAGGATACTTGTTAATGTAGTAAACACTTTATTTTATTTTTCCGTGATGCGTGGATAGCTTAAAAAAATCGACGTGATGCGTGATAGGTACCCCCCCTCCTTTGCCACCCATATATTTCTGCATAGTAAAACCAGAACGATACAAATCAAATCAAATCAAATCTTTTCAGCCAAGATGAACCTCCAAACGTTAACTGCAAACGTAGACGAAAAGAGAGTTACCAAGATTTTAGGGATAGCAATGGTTGGTTTTGCGTTTTGCTGGCCTCCAGTTTGCATCATCGCTGCTGCACACAGGGTACCCACATTAGCTCGACAGGTGCACTTTACATGCGGGTTCTTGGTCTATTTGAGTAGCGCTATCAACCCCCTACATATATGGTGCAACTAACAGGCGTTTCTGAAGAGAGGGTAAAGTTATTCTAAGGAAAGTATTTCGCCAATAACCATCCTGAGAAACGGGCACGATCCATGTGTTAGCGCCAGGAATCTCGTGCTTTGTCTAAAGTATTTGTATGTTCGCCGCGCTTTTAGTTATTTTCGTGTTCACTCCTTTGGTGTAGTTTTCTAGTTCATTAGCCGCTCATTGTTCGGGTACCTTTGTTCTCCGTGTTAGGTTTCCCTTTGCATATGGTATGTCTAGCTTCTGTTTTAATATTTTGGCGTCAGTTCTTCGTTGCCCTCGGTTCTGTCCACATGCACTTTGTTTAGCTCGCCCTGGTGTTTCGTCTTTTCTCGTTATCTTCTTGTAAGTATCTTGCTTGTTTCTTCCGCCTTTGCCCTATTGATTTCACTTAATCCGGTAGTTATTTTATCTTAACCTTGTAATCAGTACCGCTTCGTTTCGCTTCGTTTCACTTGTTTCACTTACTACACATCAGTTCGCCTTGTATAAAGTCTAGAAAGTCCACAAATAAAGTTTGTGTCTGTAAGAAAATTTGAAAGCGAGTAAAGTCTGCGACTATACCATGTTTGCCGCACATAAATAATTCGGCTCACACGTTAGTAATTAAAAATCTCTCCTTATTTACTTTATGTAATTATAATTGTTGCTCAAACAAGGAGCTGAACAACAACAACGAGCTTTATTTGCCTGACCATTCAAGCACGTACAGTATTGCAAAAGCTATGTTTAGGAATCAAAATTACAACACAGGGCAATTACGTTACTTTGATGATAATTTGTCACGAACATCAAAACAAGCTGAAATACATTTTACGAATTGTATATTGATAAAGTAATTAGAAGAGTTCATCAGTTCATTGATCAAACCGTTTATAGGTAACTGGGTAATATTTGGAATCAGAGTCTTGACTTTATGGTACAATTTATTCCTAATCATAGGGTATATGTAGAACATTGAAAAAGAAAGTGAACTTCGTCTTCTATTACATTGCATCCACAAATAGGGCAATGCCTATTATCCTTTGTAGGTTGATTGTATCTGCCTATTTCTATCATTAGTTTGTGATTGCTTATTTGTAGTTTTACTATAGCCCTTCTCCCAGCTGTTCTTGTTGTTAAGTCTACGTAACTAAAGGAGGTATGATCGGTTTTAAAGACCTATAAAATTCAAGTTTTTGAGAATGTTGACGGGTGTTTTGCAGTATAAGATATATTCCTGTTTCATTGAACTTACATAGCTTTTTATTATAGCTATATCTAATAAATCAAGGTTAAAGTCACGAAGCTTTAAGTATTCTGACATATTTATTAAATGAAAGTGGAAGCTATTTTTGCCATTACAGCTGAAAGAGTATGTATAAACAACATAGACGCTTTGCCAAAAAATAACACTATCAAAAACAATAATAATAACAAAAGTAGCAAATGCACCAAGCTTCAAGTCCTTCGATTGTGTCGAGAAAAATACTGAGAAACCATTCGCATACTCTTGAGAAAACTAAGACAAGCCATACTAACTTCCGGTTATCTGTTCGTGACTAAAACGAGTATTTTAAGCATTTTTTTTCTGTTTGGACTAATAACTGAGATTAACATTGGCTTAGTTAATTCGAAAAAAAAATACTGTTGTTTCTTTTCTTTATTCAAGACTGAAACTTTCTTTCGAAAACAAATTCTAGATTTATGGATAAGAAATCTGCAACTTCAACAAAGGAAGCCTCAACTATCTCCTTCCCTTTCCAGTACAATAACTCAACGAAAACAACAAAAGGTTTTTAATTTAAGTGAACAAAGATGAAATGTTCCACCTACAGTTTGTGTCGAGTATCTGCAAACTTCTTCGTCTCACGCTCGGTTCGGGGGATCAATGACCGTACATGGAATTGGCACACCGCATTGAAGAAGGACCTCTGCCGATGCCTTGGCATAAGCTTTACACACAGCATTTCCCAGGTACTTGTCTCGGTTCTCCTCGGTTGTAAGGTCCACGATCTGGCAAGTCTGGGGCAATTTATCTACCTCAAACTCACAAATTCTCAATCCGGTTATACCTTTTTCCTCGCCTTTTTTTTTTTGTAGTCCTTTGCCACGTCTAAGGATGCTGATGTTGATATAAACTGCGAAGCGTATTTCGGGCGACTTCCGCAGTTAACATGAGACAGAACACTTTTCTGGGCACCCGGATTTTTGCAACAATTCCATCAGGATTCTCGTTAGGGCGCAGTAGTCGATAAACGTTTGTTGGCAATCCGTATGGTGCTTGTAGCAGTTTATCGTCAAGGGTCAGGCTTGACGGTTGGCATCCTATGGCATCAAACTGGGATGGGCATGGAGTAACACACCCGTATCCGTCACAACAGGCCATGGTAACTTTGTCGCAGCATGCTGAGGATTCATCCTGCCTACAGCAAGGGGCATCTTCTGGGCAGCACTGAGCCCCACAACAGGCGTCTACACTATCACAACAGCTTATGCCATTGCAGCAAAATTCGCCAACGTCGCAGCACTGAACCCCACAACAAGCGCCTACACTATCACAACAGTTTATGCCAATGCAGCAAAATTTGCCAACCTCGCAACACTGAACCCCACAACAGCTCTCTCCACTATCACAACAGCTTAGGCCATTGCAGCAAAATTCACCATCCTCGCAACACTGGGCCCCGCAGCAAGCGCTTTCATTTTCACAGCAGATTTTCTCGTTGCAGCAGAAGCTGTCTTCCACGCAACAGTATGACCCACAAAGTTTTGGATATCCTACTGGGCAGCATTTTTTTCTGGGTTTTCCACGGGTAAGCAAAGCGGATAGTCTGCCGGGCAACATTTGCTAAATGGATCCCCTGGTGTGCAACATATTTCATCCCCTGGACAATAGAAAATTACGCCGAAAATATCGGCGCAGACTTCATAACGTGCCTTCGACGAGACATTGCTTATTTGCGCAACAGTAAGAGAACTTGCTTCTTGCCCCAAGACCTTCTTGCAGCTGTTATGCTTAGCCACGTTTTCTCCTGAAACAAAGATAACTGTGAGAACAAATAAGTTGATGCAATTTGCCAAGTTCCAACCGCCCATCGTTGTAACTGACAAGTTTCTCAAACTAGCTGAACTGAGAAAATTATGCTCTGGGTAAGAAAGTGTGTTCGAGCCTGACTTGTTTGAACGTCCAATACGCAATCCTGAATAGTGGCCAGTTTTTTTTTTTAGACCGATGACGTCGTCAAAACAAGGAAATTGTTTCGTTTTCTTAAGGGAGACAGCATGACACCCATGTAAGTACAATGATAAGTGAAAGGACAAGAAAGCGTGATTTTTTTAGCATATATGCTTGTCGTAAAACATACGATACGAAGAAAAAGAGCGATGTGTGTACAGTAACCTACTTCCTTAAAGAATAAGTTTTTCAATAGAATTATTTTCATAAATTTTGACAAAAAATATGCAAAATATGTCCGAAAAAAAATGGGAGGGCATATCTGCCGTAAATTGTCAACACAGTTTAAGGAGGTCCTCTGAGGGACGTCACGTATGTCTCTAGTCAGAATTTCAAAACCTGTCTTTTCGGTTATTGAGGAGAAAGCCATGTCACTGTCGGTATTTGTGTAAGTAATAGCATGATTTGTAGTGATATTTGGCATAAATACCACGAGTGATATTTCGAATTTGTTATACGTAATTACACGAGCCTTTAGGCGAGTGAAATTTGTGACAATCTTGAAATATTACGAGTGGTATTTATGCCAAATATCACGTACAAATAATGCTATTATTTGTTTATACTACTACCCGCAAAAGGTTTGTAATTTTCACATGTAGGTATTTCAAATTAAGCTGAATACCACTACCCTAAGCCAATCAAATTGCAGAAATTTCTCATGTAGTAGTATAATACTATCGTATTTGAGCGTTTCCCCGTCGCTGTCGCAGTTTCAACCCATCTTTGTGTCGTTTGTCGGAATTTCTGCTGTCCTATGTCACTGTTTCAAGGCCATCTTTAAGCCATAAGGGTTGGTCTTTGGCAGGCTGGGGCAGCGTAATGGAAATCCGCTTATTAGTTATCCCTATCGTGCCTATTTCCTCCTATTTTTAGGACCAGCAGATACCGTAGAGACACGTTCGAAGTTTTTATTTCTCTGCGAGGAAAGGAGCACCTTTTTTTTCCATGCTAGGTGATAGTTTTCTCGAAGTTGTAAGAAGATGTATGAAACAAGATGACTAGACAATGTTTTTATTTACTTAGTAGCAAGAGAGAATGAGATCATTCTCTCTTGGTTAGTAGGTAAAACGTTAATTTGGGTATTTTTCTTGACAATGACAATTTCCCTGAATTCAGGTGACAGAGAGAAAATTTCTGGTTAACTGCTGTTGACAGGAACTTTCCCTCCCCTCCCCACTCTTCGTACAAACAAACTGTGGAATGACTACATTCTGCGAGGACAAACAACGATCGATTTTTCACTATCCATCAGTTCACATTTTGATCCTCCTTAACATTGTGTCTGTGTCAACTACGACCGTTTTACAGAGAGGGCCCGCTCCTAGGAATAATCCACTTTAGAGAATTCGAAATGCAAACATCACAAATGTGCTGAATGTTTGCGGACATTGACTATAGAAAGCTATCAATAGAAACATTCTCTGTATAATAGGCGCTTTATTGCATGGGCCTCTACAACTGAGCACATGCTTCAGCTGTCTTTAATGCACTGCACTACTGCTGTAAGCAGACAATGGAATTTTATTTACTGTGGGGAAAATGAGATTAGTTTCAGGGAGGGCACTGGCTTGGTTCCAATTTTACCTGTCGAACAGGTCAGAGTGTTTTGCATTCGGTGATGGGATCTCTGACACCTTTCAGCTAACATGTGGGCTCATGCCTAGGACTACTCCTCTTCACCCTACCCTCCATGCAAGCAAGTTGTTCCAGGTCATCAAGAAACATTTGCCAACTGCGCATACGTACGCCGATTGTACGCAGCAGCTATTATCGTTTAAACTAAAGAGTAATGCCAAAGAGAAGGAGTGTCAGTGACGTCTTGATGTCGATCCCGATGTCGACTTGTTGTGTGCCGTTTTCACTTGTCAAACTTTTTCTTGGCCGTTGGATTTTTGGTGAATGTTTTTGCCGGTTTCATGGCTTTGATGTTTTTACATTTGGCTTGGTCTCTCTTTACAGCATGGGAATAATAGAAATTAGTAGGTACTTCTGCGTGGTAAAAGATATGTTGTGTTATTTAAACAAGAAAGACTATGATATACATTGCCGTCGAGTGGGGTGCCGCTTTACTCGGATCGCTGCCTCCGTTTTTCTTTAAAAATGGTGGATTTGAATTCCAACCAGGAAAAGCTAGCAAAGTGCCTGTACACTTTTCAAACCAATATTGCGTACACGGCTTTTATTGAATCATATTATGCAATGTCAAATGCTATGTCAAAGTATCTCTACACAGTTCCGTCAACAAATCGAATCTTTCAGCAAAGAACAACCTCCATACGTTAAGAGCAAAAATAGAAGAACTGGCGAGAGTTACTAAGACGGTAGGACGGTAATGGTTGGTTTTGCGTTTTCCTGGCTTCCAGTCTGCATCAGCGATTACGTTGACGCTGAGTACAGGGTACCCTCTTTGCCTCGACAGGTTTACCGTATATACGGGTTCTTGATCTATTTTAGCAGCACTACCAACCGCTTCATATATGGTGTAACTAACAGGCATTTCAGGAGAGGAAGTAAAGTTATTGTGAGGAAAGTATTTTGTCAGAAATCATCCTAAAAGCAAAAAAGATCCATGTTTGCCGCACCCATCTATTAAATCGGCCCACCAATATCAAGTAATTAAAGATCTTCAGTTAATTGATTTACTTTATTATTTATGACAATTGCTATTCAAGCGATGTGTTTAATGAAAGTTTATTAATAAGAAAGAGCTGAAAGAGTGTACAGGTCTATAAACAGAAAGACAGATTAAAGTAAATAATAATAGTCCTGTTATGCTGTTACAGGTATGTATTTTAAAACGAAGCAAGAAAAATATCTTAAAGTAAATGACGTAAACAAAAGCAAAAAAAGGACACTTTGAGAGTAGAGTAGTTTTCCCCGCCAGTTGACCAAATCTTTTTTCCTTGATTTATCGGCCAATTTAAGGTTGCACAAGAGATTTGTTGAATTTTGTTTTGTAAGATTGTTGTAGGGTGTTTTGGCTTATTTTAATTGGATACTCAGAGGCTGTGCAAAAAATCGTTTGAAATGCCCCCCAAAACAGTCTCAAGGGTAACCTCGAAATGGGCATATAAAAAAATAAAAAAGGAGACATTCCTAGAAGGGTACAAGTGATTAGTATAGGTAATAGTAGGATTTGTAGTGATATTTGGCATAAATACCACGAGTAATATTTCGAAATTGTTATACATAATTTCACGAGCTCTTAGGCGACTGAAATTTGAGACAATTTTGAAATATCACAAGTGGTATTTATGCCAAATATCACGTACAAATTATGCTATTATTTGTTTATACTACTACCTGTAAAGGGTTTGTAATTTTCACATGTAGGTATTTCAAATTAAGCTGAAATATCACTGCTCTAAGCCAATCAAATTGCAGTAATTTCTTGTGTAGTAGTATAACAGTAAGAAAAGCACTTTAATGCAAAGGTAGAGGCAAGACTGACTTCATGGCACCACCATCTACTAGTTATCGAGGTTTTACGATATTTTTACATAAGGAACCCTCTCTACCACAAAATAAATAAACAGTAATATTTCATTTCTTTGGCCACTTATCACACCATATGCCACTAAATCTCTCCTGTTAAATTGTTGATCTGCAAAGCATTTTCCCCAGAAAAATAGATGCTCGTTCGGAAGAGACAAAATGTTGTTTGAAAATTGCTTAAAACCACTAAAAACTTATTCTAAAGGAAAATCAGTCTCACCCGAACGGAAAAATTAACTCCTGCAGAGCAGAAAAGTGGCCTATCCGTTCTTTAAATTCCCAAATCATTCATCGTTTCTCCAGACAGTCTTATGGTATATTGCCGGACATCGGGAATTTGAAAAGAAAATAGCGTAAGTGACCTAGTAAACACCTCTTATCTAATTTATACTACTACATGAGAAATTTCTGCAATTTGATTGGCTTAGAGCAGTGGTATTTCAGCTTAATTTGAAATACCTACATGTGAAAATTACAAACCCTTTGCAGGTAGTAGTATAAACAAATAATAGCATGATTTGTACGTGATATTTGGCATAAATACCACTCGTGATATTTCAAAATTATCTCAAATTTCACTCGCCTAACGGCTCGTAAAATTACGTATAACAATTTCGAAATATCTATCACTCGTGGTATTTATGCCAAATATCACTACAAATCATGCTATTACCTATACAAACGCCCCCCTTTACGCCGTTAGAATTGTATTACAGACGCCCATCTCTAATAGACCCTGGGCCGAGTTGATCGAAGGCCGGTTAGCGCTAACCCAGGGTTAAATTTTAACCCAGGTTTCTTTTTCTTTTCATCAAAAGCGTTTTCTCGGAAAATTTTCTCTATTCTATTTAGAGTATTTAATCATCAAATTGTAGAAAAAAGAATTAAACTGAATTTGCATTTTAAGCTTTCATATCTGAATTCAAATTTTGTACTAACCCTGGGTTATGTTAACCCGGCTTTGAACAACCCGGCCCTGGCGTCTAATATACGTCCCCTATGAAAATTACTCCAAAACACTAGGAATCAGCAAAAAGGAGTAAAAATATTCAATTTATTCAATTTCTTGCTTAATGCCACGAGGCTTTGCGTATTTCATCATCTTGTTTGGTGTCAAGTTTAAAGTAAGAATAGACTAACGATGGCAACACAATAATCCTGAACGAGGATTCTGACATCGATGTTGGGACAGACAGGCCAGACGTATCAATTGATGGGTTTGATATTCCGCTGTTATTAAACGCTCTTAATACTTTACAAAAAGCGTATTGGTTTTCTTGAGTTTGTTACATTTATGAGAACAGACGTCTCTCCCTTTTAAACGCTTTTTATATACAAAAAGGCCCCCCTTGGAGCCCTAAAATCAAATAGACACCCCGGGCGTTTATCAGGTCATTTACGGTAACAGTGCGAGACACCAAGACAGAAGTTAAGGTGTTTTATTTGCGTTTTGTTGGCTTCCGATCAGTTTGCATTGTATATTGCTACCTGTTGAAAGTATACGAGTAGTGTAAAATTGGGATTTCTGGCTCATTTAGATCTCAATAGAGATCCCGGCTTCTGATTGGTCAATTCAAATCAGGAAATTTCCTGTGCGTTTTCCATTTGCGAGTCCTCCGACGTACTGACCAATCGGTGACGCTGCCTCAAAGGAGAAAATTCGAGCGAGCTATATTCAGTACGCATAAACTAGCTGTTAATGTAGATCCTTTAAAATTTTTCTCAAAATAAAAAGTTTAAAAGTAAATGCTTCCAGCCAGGACATTACGGTTTTGACAAATTAAGTCATAAAATTTCATATCATCATATTGATAAAGCATCAAACCATTAGCTAGTAGACGGATTTATGATCAAAATTTTAAGGGCGAAAATGGTATGTCGTTGTAGTACTTTCTCTCGTTCCGTCTGAGCCTCCACAATCCATACTTGGTACAGTTCCCAAGCTTTTAATCCTACACAAAGGGTAAATCCTACACAATCCTACACAAATGGTGACATGGTGTAATGGCGTAATCCTACACAAATGGTAAATATGGCGTTGTATTACTTTCTCTCGTTTGGTTTGAGCCTACGGTTCCTCCGGTGCTTTTAATCCTACACAACGGGTTTGCTCTTTTGACAAACAAGAAAGCTTAAAATTCTGTGTATACGTGATGCGGAAATGCTTTCAAGACTGCCTAAGAACAGGCCGCGAAAAAAAGGTGGGCACTAACGGCAGTTGAGTGTTACACCTGCCGGCATAGCTAAGTGTATCAATACCGGCTGTAAACACACACTTAAATGTCTCTCTGTAGAAACTTGTTTTGACAAGGACAACAGTAGAAACAAGGACCTTTTATGTTAATTAAGGTATAATTTCTGAAAATACAAATCCAATATAAAATTTTTGAGATAAACCATACCGCGCTGTAATCGACATCTTCTGTGTGCGTGACCGGAGTGTAAATGTTGAATTCGGAGATTTAGATAACCCAGGGAGCAAAAGTCAAATTTTACAAAAGAACAAGCTAGATTTATTTACTTGAAATGCTTTGCGCTTTAAAAGCTGAAAAATAATTATTGACATTAAGATACTGATTTGGTTGTCCCTTGAATCAGTCCGGCTTCATTATCATCAAACATGAACACTTCGCTTTTTCATGCGCTTTACACGAGACCAATTCACTTGATATGGATTGAGACCTTTCTATTTGTGGTCATAAACGTGGCGGCTTTTAACGGAAATCTCTTCGTTTGTTATGCTGTATACAGGAACAAGAGACTTCGCACGATCCCAAATATATTCGTGGTAGCACTGGCAGTCAGTGACATCTTGATGTCGACTTGTTGTGTGCCGTTTTCAGTTGCCTTACTTGCTCGCGGCCGTTGGATCTTTGGTGATATTTTGTGCCAGTTTCATGGCTTTGGTGTTCTTACGTTTGGCCTGACGTCTCTTCTCACCATGGCAATAATTGCAGTTAGCAGATATTTCTGTGCGAAAAAACCAGAAAGATACGTCGTTTTATTTAAGGCAAGAAACACTTTGGCGTACGTCGGCGTCGTGTGGTGTGCCGCTTTAACTGGATCTGTGCCTCCGTTCTTGTTTGAAAAAGGCGGATTTGAGTTCCAAGCAGGAAAAGCAATGTGCCTGTACACGTTTCAAACCAACATTGCGTTTACCGCTTTTATTGAATGTGTGTATGTGGCAACACCCTTTTTGCTGATCATAATCTGCTATGTCAAAGTGTTCTACACAGTTTCATTGACAAAACGAATCTTTGCAGCTAGAAACAACCTCCCAAAGTTAAGAGCGAACATAGAAGAAACGAAAGTTACTAAGACTTTAGGGGCGGTAATAGTTAGTTTTGCGTTTTGCTGGATTCCAGTTTGCGTCATCGATTACGTCGATGCTGCGCTCAGGATACCCACTTTGCCTCGACAGGTGTACCTGACTTACGGGTTCTTAGTTTATTTGAGCAGCGCAATCAACCCCTTCATATATGGTGCAACAAACAGGCATTTTAGGAGAGAGGGTAAAGTTATTCTAGGAAAGTTACTTTTTAAGAGACGTAATACTGAAAAAAAGGGCAAGACCCATATTCGCCGCACCTAAAATCGGCTCACAATTAAATATATTTGTCAATCGAACCTTCACTAACGGGCACCTTTCTACAACGGCCATCTTTTTGTCCCGGTGGACAAATTATCCATACAATGTACATTGACTCTTGTTTAAAACTCTCTATAACGAGCACTTTCTTTGAATTCTGTAAGGTGGCCATTGTAGAGAAGTTCAACTGTATTTGCTTTATGTGATAGAACTGCTGTTCATGAGATGTGTTTAAACACGTTTATTAAGTAGAACTGAATTTCCCTCCAAAAAATTACATGTTTGGTTAATTTACAGTCCACTCAAATCATCCATAAAAAGTTAGACCATCATCGTGCTTGCAAATTTGCTCTGCTTAGCGAGGACCTTAACTTGATTGTATGATGTGGGCCGCTTTCAGACAGAAATCATATATGATATCGTCACTAAATATGACATACAGCGAGAACAACATTTTGAGCAAAGAAAGCTTTTGGGCAATATATTGACAATCTGAACACGGATTTGTACGGTATTAACCTTCTTGTTTGCAAAGACTGATGGCCACGTTTAAACTGCAACGCAGCCGAATATGGGCACTAGCTTTAAGTCTCCCAAAAACAAATTAAGTTTAGAATTTCTCAAGGAGCCGGGTACAGCGAAAAGCAGGGTTGATGGTCGTAAGGTGAGAGCCTAAATTGTTTTTACTGTATACAGCTGTTTCGAGAAAGGTTGTCGGAAGAAATGCGCACTCGACAATCCCGAAAGGTAATATGGGATATGATCAATACACTGTTTGTAACGACTGAAGCTGTCGAACCTACTTTTGTTGCTTTCCTTTAGTACTCGCAAACATATGTCCGTGGCCTCCCGTACCATTCTTTCAAATTTCTTTGAAGAACAGTACCCTCAAAGCCACCCACAATACCTTTCGGGATTTTTCCGACAACCTTTCTCGAAATAGCTGTATAACCTTCTATATATTCAGTCATTGCCAGGACTTGAACGAACTTAGGGGGGTCCTTATTTTTGGAAGCCAGTGCTCTCACTAAATTATTGCCCAAACGTAGTTGCTAAAGTCAAGGGCAAATCAGCCTAACAATGAATCTCGAAGTCGGCATCGACAGTTTTTTTTTTGTCAAAGCATATTTACAGCATCTGGATATAATGTCAAGAATTCGATCCTAGCCCTGAGTGTAGCTTCTACCTTCTAAACAAGGAGAGCTCTGGTTGATTATCAGAAATTTCATTTTATCACTATTTGATAAATTCAAAATGACAGTTGTTTGCCAACCCATTGATGACTAAATACTTTAACAAACATTTAAGTTCGAAATTAGGGCGCGTCTCAAGGTGGAAGCCTAAAAGCTCCCCAGCCAGAACTGTGTTTTGGAATTTATGGAGGAGGTACAACGACAATTATGGTTGTGGCTAGTGTAGTAACCAAAGTTATCCTCATAGCGTATTCCTCCTGGCCGACCGTTGAAAGAGCAACCCCCAGTACCACCCCAGCTATCCATATGAAGATCTAATGTAGAACTGTAGATGCACCAAACCGTACAGTTTGTGCACTCATTACCACGGACATTGACATGCTCAGAAAAAAGGCAGTGATCCCCTTTTTTATTATCCACAGTCAAATCCAAGTTTTGCAATGAAACTCTCCAGTAATCTCGGTAGTCCACTCCATCTGTTGGAAAATTACAAGTTGCTCTCCAATGAGTGGATGCGTTTTCCTTATCGACTGCATACGGGGTAATGACAGACGGTAGCTCTGCCATCCAGGTGAATTAGGATTCATTGGCATATTATATGCATAAAAGGGTCTTCTTTGGAAGTGGTCCAAGAAGTTCCGCAAGGAGCAAGACTGAATCAGGGTCCAGGCTGCTCCAGATTCGGAACCAAAGTCGCAGTACACTGGGAAGGGCTTGTTGTCTTCATCCACGATATTGTAGATTCCAGTGCTTGTGGCATTCTCCAACACCATGACATCTTTACACGACCGAGACAGTCTGATTTGACACTTGTATCCGCTAAGACCTTATGCGCATGTGCACCTGTATCTTCTCTTTGTGACGTCACACACTCCATGACAGGTTCCGCCGTGCTGACATGGTGACATGTCGCAGCATTTGTTGTGACAGGTTTGATTAGAGCAGCTTTGGCTAGGAATACCCAGAAAAAAAATATTACAGTTGGTGAGTCCTTAAGCAACAAAACGATGACGGCGGGGAATTTATGCGAACTTGCGCTGTTTCAGACTCTATGGCGATTGTTCAACGGCGGCCATATTGGTGTTCCAAAACAATGAAAAGAAGGCCATTTTGGTGTTTCCAACAAATCCTGTGGAAGTTGAACTCTTTCCTTGTGTAAACGCTTTCTTTTGTTCAAATGAATGTGCATTTATGCTGGCCACGTGAGTAAAGACGCCCTGTTGGCTAATTGAAGGTACTCATCGTCACGCGACCAATTAAAGCTATTTTCAGTCCAAAATGGCTAAAAAACTTTCTTGCTGAGCAGTTACCGGTTTTCGTATGAGACTAGCGGCATTGTCATCTTTGTACCTGGGCCTTTTTAAGCTAATTTTAAAGAAAGCGATGCAATTCGAAACTGGTTCGAAAGGGGACTGGGCATAAGAGAAAAATGTCATCTATTTGGCTGTCAACATAATATTCAACAAAGCTCGGGCAAAGACTTTTCTGTCGTTCTTTTTATGACTTATTTTGAAGCCATTTTTGAATGGCTGTTTTTATAACTGATTCTATTTTCTAATTTAAGTTTTTACGCTCTAAATAGACGTTGACGGTCACTAATACCTAGCATGCATACTTTGGATAATGGGATAAAATATTGAGGCCAATTATTCTGCTCAAGCTTTACGGTCAGAGGACTTAATGCTCAAGTATAGATTACCCTTCAACATCTTAAAAGAATTTTAAGGAAAACCCATGCACAAGTTTTCTTGAGGGTGATGCGAATTCGGAAAAAACGGATAAACTCGTATAAGGGAATTTGCCCATTTTAAACGAAGTCTTACTAGGGCCTAGTCTCCTTCGCAGCCGTTATTAGGGTCGTCACTCGTCACGCAACGCTCCTCGAGGAGCGTTGCGTGACGAGTGACGACCCTAATAACGGCTGCGAAGGAGACTAACTAGGGCCGTGGTTTAAGACATCATTGGACCTCCAGATCACTTTCTCAGTGCGCTAATTTAAGAAAATAATTATAAGCGCTTTTCCAGTCTACCTATATGCTTTCTTGAAACTGTTCACAATAAATGGTGTTAAGATGAAAGCTTTGGGCAAACTCAAGAGAATTTTAGAGCAGGGGTTTGTCAAACACCTGCCAAACTCTGTTTAAATATCTGGCCCTAGAAGTTTTTTCGTGAACGTCATACCAGGTGGCAACGATGCATTGTCAGATCCGGCCGCTCCTACAGACTCAAAACTCATTTTCTCCTTCTAAAAAGGGTATCAGCGCCTACCTTACTGTCGTAGTATGTCCTGACTGGTTCATAGTAAACCACCCCTTCTTTCGCTTTCAGTGCATCGGGCTCTAATCCCGGGGGAGGTACTGCCATATATGAGCCATATAGGTATGTGCCGCTGTGAAGGGTATGGTTTTCAAGCAGTTTACTCTAGGATAGGGTGTATAAATCAGAGCGTTTGGGTCTAGAATAGGGTATCATTTTTCAGGAAACTGATCAGTTGGTTGAAGATTTTATCTAGACTAGGTAAACAGCTACTCTAGGATAGGGGGATTTGGGGAGTTTACTCTAGTGTAGGGTAGCAAAATTCAGCTGAACTAGCTCTAGTATAGGTTAAGGGTTCCAGGGTCCCAGCGGCACATCCCCACCCAGAAATTCCTAAAGTACCCCCGGGGCTCTAATGGGGTGCTGGAATCGTTTAATTCACAGTTCTCGGTTTTCCTCTTCTCGTGAAAGTTGAAGGAAAGACACTGACATTTTCTCATACACATATAAAGACAATCTTTCCAAACTGACAAGTTCAAAGTCTCAAAGACAAAACCCTCGAGAGAAAAATTTTTCCTGGTGTCGGTATTCAGCGATAGGGCCTTTTTCTGGCACAATTCATGGACGCATTCACTTTTTGAAGCATCCAAATGAATAACCACTACCATGAACAGCCAGCAGAGAGGATGATTTAAATTTCTAGTCATTCTTATCTTATCTTCCTACAAAGAAGACATTATTAAATGTTAGCATCACAGCCAAGTAAGAAACAAAACAAAGCAAAACAAAAACAATTATTTCAGAAACAAAAGTAAATGCAAGCGGGCTTGCAATACGGCGAAGGGCTGATTTATTTGAGGCCAATATTTCAGTGTAGCTCTGGCCCTGAGGAAGGCTAATTTTGTTGGCCGAAATATTGGCCTCAAATAGATCAGCTCTTTGCCACCGCGTTACCCGCCTTGTATTCAGTTTTGTTTTAATTTCCACTTCAAGTGACACCTGTCATTAGCAACTCTACATTAGAGATCCGGTAAGAAATAACTAGTCGTTTCTATTTAGGGCCTGTTTACATGGAGGTGGGGGACCCCAGGTATGTGAGGTAACCCGCTTAGGTGGGGTAACCCGCCTGTCCATATAATCTCTCATTTTAATTTGATCGCGTTTACATGACAGGTGGGGTGACCTGTCACATGTTACCTCACCTACCTGGGGTCCCCCACCTCCATGTAAACAGTCCCTTACGCTTGTAGTGCCTGTGGACCTCAGCATTCAAGGATTTTCATTAATTAAGTGTAGTTTTCCCGATCCACTTAATTTCTGGGGGCTGCCTCTCATTTTTCATTATTTCAAATATTGGAAAAGTTGGAACGAACAAAAACCACAAGCGTACAGCTACTTTCAACACCAATCATTCTGCAATCCTGCGTAACAGAATGATGTTACTTTCCATAAAACGAAGCATGTTATTAAATACTGAGTCCTAAATTTGAATTGTTAATTCACCATAGCTACCTATTGAGATATATCATTTGACACATCACGTTTTTTGAAACATGTATCAAAATAAGCCAAATTATTGTATCAATTATTGTATTATTTTACGGAACAAGGGTGGCGCAGTGGTGAGAGCCAGGTCGACAATTTAAATTTTTAATGACAATATCGCCAACCATGAAGGAAAAATACATTTTGAGATATTCAGTTTAAAGGTGGGGGACCCCAGATAGGTGATGTAACATGAGGCGGGTCACGCCAAGTAGCATGTTATCCTGATCAAATGAAAATGAGAGATTATATGGACAGGCGGGTTTCCCCACCCAAGCGGGCTTCCTCACCTTCCTGGGGTCCCCCACCTTCATGTAAACATGCCCTAACTCCCTTCACAGTTTTAAGTAGTTTGTTCCATATTTACACAATTTGATGGCCACTTTTACTTTTAACTGTAAAAATCCCGCATATAATAAGGCAATCAAACTTAGGAAGGAACGACCACGGCTAGGAGGGTTTAATCGGATTCAGTTCTGGATTCGATACTGAGACCCGTTTCTCGAAAGTCCCGAAAAACTTTGGGGACCCAAAGGTAAATTTTAAAATCAAAACCTGTTAACGGTAGCACGGTTCCTAGCTCAAAACCCAGTCAATTTTATTTTGTTAACTAACAGTTTCATTGTATCATTTTCCAGATTATTACAAACACGGCAAATATATAACAGCGTTCCGTTACAGAAAAGTTACTCGCGGGTCCAGAAAAATTTTGCAACCCGTTTACACGGAACCATGCAAATTCTGTTACAGATTGCAGTATTGTTTGCCGTTCAAAATCTTGCACGGTTCCGAGGGACAGTGTAAACGAAAGGCAGACCCGTGCAATTTTCTTCCGAACAAAAATTTGTTTGGACCCGTGTAAGTGGGTCTCTCTTTTTTAAACAAACACCCAGATTAGACAAAATTGTACCCTTTTTTTATACAGTCGAACCAACCCAAAATGCAGACTTAGTGATCTCTTACGGGAGGTGATAGAAGAATCGAACCACTTGGGACCTCTTCCGAGAAGAGGTCCAGGCACATCTACTTTATGGAAGATAATTTATTGCATGCAATGTCTAAGTTACGACATGTGTCGTGACATGTTGTTCCTGAAGTTTTTCGTATTCTCTAAGTAGCATAGTGCACACAGCGAACATAGAGATCAGAGAATGCGTCAAGTGGTCGCTTACAAGGGGTTAAAAACAATGGAAAATCATTTTAAACTTTCAGGCCCAAAAAGTGGTCGCCGTCGCTTATAGGAGGTGGTCGTTTACTAGAAAATTTCGGTGTTTTGGATTGGCGGTTGTTTATAGGAGGTGGTCGCTTATGGAGGTTCGACTGCATTAATTTATTTTTTTACACTTGACGACGCAAAAGAAGCGATATATTTTCAAATATGGAAACAACCAAACCTGACGGCACAAAATATGTACCTCTGTGGCGCTGCCACGTCAAATTCAGTAGAAATGCCACAGAACTATTAGCGTCCTTCGCAGTCAACATCAAAGCCATCACACAACGCTCCTCGGGACTATAAGTCTATAACCTTGGAAACGAAGAAACAAACAGAGGATGTTTTAGTTATTTATATTTAAATAACCGGTCATCCGGATCACATTCAACCAAACAAAACTCTTCCAGGTATCTGCTATCTTCATTGTTTTCTACATTTTTCCAGCAACCCTGAGAGCACGTGAACACCATTACAGTTCCAAATTCGATTGTGACGTCACCAGTTTGATTGACAGCTGCCATGAACGTCTTCCATTGGTCTTGTTGGTAGGTTGGATCATCTGGAAAAATTTCACTGTTTTCTAAAGTTTCCAATTTAGTTTGATTGCTTTCTTGTGATATTTGTCCTTCTTGATTTTCATGGTGAGGGGAATCAGGTTTATGAGCTAAATTCAACTGTTTTGCACATTTCAAATTACCAATCAGCGCGGGCATAAACTGTATCTCAAAGACTCGCTCTGCTGCACAATGTTGACATCGGGGAACGTTTGCCAAGAGCTTTGACACGTTTTCAGTTACCGTAGACACAGGAGCGCCATTCCACTGATATCTAGCACAAAAATGTAAATAAACACAGAATTAACAGGGATTCAACAAAAATTCTACATTGAACTTGACGAATTACATACATGTACACCATAACACGTTTGGAAATACAATGATATTCTCTTGTCAAAAATACTCTTGGTTGCCTAATACAATCCAGTTCTCCTTTTTGTATTTGATCACGCTACAAAGAGTTTCTGATGCTTGATAATTATAATCCTTCTAACAAAAGCTTACCTTAAGCATTGTTGTGGACATAGTTGCAGTTTTTTATTAAACTTGTGAAATGCTCTGTCGCCATGTTTAACAGCTGTCCTTTCATATGTCTCTCCTGCCCATTCCTTGGGATTTTCATGATTGTCCATCATCTTTGCCACGTGAATACCTTCTCGCTGCTCATATTCAGACAAAAGTTTTTTCTCATGTTTTGTTAACTGAGTGGCGCCCATTTTGGCTTCGGGATCTTCAATGACACTGACATAAAAGGGTGTGAAGTGTGGAATGCACCTTGGTGAAAACGTATTGCACAGCTGAGATGAACTAAGACTTTCAAGATTTGCACTTTGCTGCTGCATTGTACATGTAGTTGTATTTGCATCAGTTTCTAGATCTTTCTTCCACAAATTATCTTCAGCAATCTTTAGGTTTCCAGTGCACTGTTCAAGGTGAGTCAAAACATCATCATCTTCACTGTCCAGAAAAAAATAAATAAAAAATAAGAAATTAGCCATGAAATGCTGGAAAACCTGAAAATTGGGAGGCCCATGTTAGACTAGACTGTTAAATCGTCGCCTTGTTTTGATAGCATAAACAAACTCGACTGCGATTTCTTGCATTTAGCAGCTTTTATCATTTTGTTTGCCCCCTGAGAAACCATGTGACATTGCTTTTTTCGCCATCAGTTCTTTAGCACGTGCAAAGATGGTGGGTATCTTGAATAAGGACTAAGGTCTATTTGAGCATGCATAACCTGAAAATGTAAATAGCACTTGAATTAAAAATAATACTTACTCTCCCCAGTCCTCAGCATCATCACACCAGTCATCACCTACAAATTCACCGGAAGGCTATAATGGTAAGAAAATTCAAAATGAGAAGGTTACTAACAAACTAAAGACACGCATATCTTGGACCACCTTCATCTTCAATAAGCAACAAAAGGAAAAAGAATTGCCTGACCTCATTGTTTGTTGTTTTTTTGGTCCCAAAATTGCTGTCTTTGGCTTGTGATCTCAAAACTTTCCAACTGAAAATAAAAGGAGTTGCATCAACTCTCTGCATTTTGGGCTTCCTGTGTGAGCAGAACTATTTATTTTTGGGTGACATGTGCAGGCACATAGTCATCACCCACATGTGTCATGATTTAAAAGTGCTGCAAGTTTGCCAGTTTTGAGTAATATGAACTTAGTTTTCATGGGTCTGTAGGCCTGTTTCAAACCTCAGCTTCACACGTAAAGTCTGACATTTGAAATACATGAAGGCCTTGGAACCTAAACAATACCAGCGATGAAGCCACATACTGATGTGTAGTCATGTAACCACTTTGTTGAGTAGCTACATACGTGTGTTGAAAACATGACCATAGTTCTTAGTGGATACGACTAACTTTCACGTCAAAACATAACTCAGTTTTTATTCCAACATACCCATTTCTTTCATAAAGTTCACCATGATGTGTGCTGAAGCAATCTATGGTGCATCCTTGGAGACCCTGGGGCAGATAGTGGGGGCGAGGGAAAGTCTAAACGGGCAGAAAAATATGGCACGAAGAAAAGTAAAAAACGGCGAGAAGAGCCCCTGGGGACAATGTCTTACCAGACCAGTTCCAAACGGTCACCACCGTTCTGACTTCTGATTGGTGCCAGAAAACTTTTTGGTGTTTTTCTGCCCAATCAGAAGGCAGAATGGCCGTGACCGTTTGGAACTGGTCTGGTAAGACAGTCCCCAGGGGCTCTTCTCACCATTCTTTACTTTTCTTCGTGCCATATTTTTCCGCCCGTTTAGACTTTCCCTCGCCCCCACTATCTGCCCCTGGGTCTCCGAGGATATCTATGGCGCAATCAGCCTCAGTCTTGTTTTACAGTCTAGTACTTTCGGTAACTAACTTCCAGTTACAAGTAGAGTTACAAGTAGAGTTTGTATCCAATAACATGTAGGTAGATAGCCATCTACTAAGCCGCCCAACCACATAGCCATACACTTGTAAAGCCATGTAGTGGTGGCATAGTCACATAGCCACATAGCTGTGTAACCACATTGTGAGTGGCCTGATATTCCTCAGTTACTCCTATTATTCATAATTGATATCAGTTTCGTTGGTATTGAAATTTAGGAAATACATTGAGATCTGCATGGATTTTTTTCTCCCCGCCATGGATAGTAAGGGTTACACCTAATAATTCCGAGCGTAGCGACTTTATAATCTTGTCGCGCGCAAAGCGCGGGCACAGTCTGCTAACCGCGCGTGGTCTTAGCCAGCTGCGACATTCGAGGCTTCATAAATAAATAAATCTTTATTTCTCTGAATATATGATTGGTATCCGCCAATGACGTCATGGAGCATTTTGCGTTTCCAGGCAACATAGACTTCGCCGCCGATGACCAAGCTGCATTTTGATGTGTCTATTGATCGTCTGTGACTCGGCAAAGTTTACCATCGGTGAATCACGAACAATTTCCCATGCAAATGACACACAAGCACAACAAGTGACTCCAAATCCTCGCCCAGGAAGATTTTCCACCAAAACTCCTCTGGAGCAAGAACGGCGACTTCAAAGTCAGCGTGAACAACGAAGGAGAAGACGTCAACAAGAAACAGGGGAGCAGAAGGAACATCGCTTAGCACAGCGAAGGCAACGCCGACAACAAGAGACAGAGGAACAGGAGATTGGAGTCAGAGGCATTATGATTGTTCACTGCCCAAAACCCATCCCCGCCGATATATGTAGATCAACGTTTGCAAAGTTTCAGCTCTGTATTACGGCCCGAACTATAATAATTTTCAGGCGAACTGCGCCGGGCCAGATTTGTTCTTTGTTTTTGTCTTTTTCTAAATCCGGGCGCCGAAATAATGCTAAATCTGCTTTTCAATACACTGTCAACAATAACACTACATAATACGCAAAAAGGAAGGAGAAGAAAAGAGAGAACAACGTATGGATATTCGCGGTTGGTCACCCATCCAGTTCTTAACCCCGACCGACAGGGCTTAACTTGAGTGCCGTTACCAAACCGAGTTTCGCGAGGCTTATTGCGAGATACGTATTTCTAATATATAAGTAATACCTAGGGTTCTTATTCCAGCAAGATTGATTGGTACAACCAAAGATATACAGCACACGATGGAAGATGGAATCTGACAGCGGGCAGTAAACTTGACAGACCAAATATAACACTCTGTTACACAACCGACACGTGGGATACTGCCGTGGCGGTCCAAGCAACCAATTCTGTGGGGCAAACCGATAGTTATATAGTAATTATTTTAGATATTATTTTGAGATCAATCATCAAGAAGACCTAATTTACTTACCGGAGTTCCTCCAATCTTATTTGTGGTCCATCCACAGATCTTATCGTCATTTTCAGACATGATTTCGTCCACTAAACCCAAAAGGATAGCTCCGTCCGCCATCTTGAAAGCAAGTGTTGCAAAGCATCTCGGGGTAGGATAGTCCGTACCCAAGTCTCTCGCGATCACACCTTTGCAGGTGGCGCTGGACCAAGAAGCAGAAAGTTGAGCTTGAATTTACGTAGTCGGCACCTAGCCAATCATATAGATAATTATCTCTCATTGAAAATCGTTAATAAACAATTATTGGATATTTTTTTTGTGATATCGGGTGTAATCAAGGTCGAGGTAAGTGTTATCAGCCTAGCCGAAGGTCGTGGATAACAACAGTGAGAACACTTACCGAGAACTTGATTATTCCGGTTATCACAAGCAAGATTTTTTTGAAGAGAGTAACGACAAACACACCATCACAAAGAGCACAGCTTGACATTGCTCTTGGAAATCATGCATTGGGCGCCCAATCACTGTCCTTGATTGAGTCTGACCACATTTTCTTGTTTGGTGACTTGACCGGCCATATGTCCGGGAGAAACGAAAAATATTTAAAGCTTTGTATGTACACATGCATTTTTCATTTATTTTCAACCCGTAAATATCCCTGAGGAAAATTTGCCCAAATAAAAATGTTAAATGTGGGTTGGTTTATAATTACAGTTCGATGGTATTACACTAACCTGCTGTCTTCAAGGATATCAGCGCAACACAAAATAACAAAATTAATATGGTCGGCAAAAATCAAAGGCAACATTTACGCCCTGAAACCTTTTAATGCTTCTTGTTGCTTGGTCTTCTGTGACGTAGGTCTCTATTTACAATCCCTGAGTTTTTTACTAACCAAAAAATATTTGGGTAGTATACTGCTACAGAAAAATATTTTTAATCCCCGAAGGAAGGTAGTGACACGCAACCAAAATCACAAGGTATGTTTTAATTTATCAAATTCACGATGTAATAACTGGTTAATACCGCGGCATATGTTTTATTTTCTTCCTCAGCTCCGGTCTTTTGATAACATGGTCGTCAATAATATGAACGATTAGCAGTGATTTAGAAATATATATATTTGATATTGATACTTGAACAAGTAAAAATTGTTTAAAAATCAAAATTAAAGGATCAATACATCCCAAATAATCCGAAAAGGCCTTTCCCCTAGCTAATACTTTCAACGCCAATCTTACTACAGGCTGAATATGGCGCTAATTAGAAAAAGTGAAAAAAAAGTCCAGATCAGAAATCACAATCCTTTTTAGCAGCTGTTTTTTTAAAGAAAACTAAATGAAAATTAGACTTTCATGGAGAGATAACTTAAAAAATTTGGCTGGAAAAGGCTAACGCCAAAACGGTACGAGACTGGTAAACTTGCCATTTGCAATCTGATGCTTATTACTTAACTTAGCGAGACAATCAAATTAATTCATTAAAAAGAAACTGAAAAGAAAAGAAAAGAAAAGAAAAGAAACTGAAAAGAAAAGAAAAGAAAAGAAAAGAAACTGAAAATATGTAAATGTAATAGATGTTTTGCACCATTTTTGGAGTCTTAATATTCAATGGGACATTCTGACTTCTTACGACAAATAGAGAGTCATCTTCATATGAAAGAAAAAGGGATAATAATTACTGGAAGTAATAATAGTTCGTTGAATAATTTCGGCTCTTAAGGTGGCTCCGTCATTAATACAGGCGCATTGAGCTATGAGAAACTTGTCGTACCTTTGCAAAGAACGAGAGATATCATTCAGCAATAATATACAATTTTCTGATTTCATTGATGATAAATATTTTTTGGGAAATGAGCGCTTAAAGGACCCTATTCTTTTCAAAGAAGATCGCTTCTAAGAAAAATCTCTCCCAGGGGGGACGAACGACAATGATGTGATGCCTTCGAACCGAATTACATCACAATGCAAAATACAATTATCGCGAAAAATTCTTCTCGTGCATAAATTTACAACTCTTAAGATTTTGGTGACTCCTTTCTTTAATGGCTAGGGTAGTATTTTTCTTCATTATTATATTGTGCTTTGCAATATACAGATCGGTTCGCAGTCATGGGCCTGGACGAGGTGCCAAAAACTGCTAAGGGATATTTAAAAATTAAACAGTCGAAAAAAAGTCTTCGACTTCATCGTAAGGTTTGCATAAATTTATAATACTTCTAAAACTATAAAATACCGATAAAATACCTTTTAAAGAATAGCCTGTGTACAGACGCGTTTTAAGAATTAGCAAACACTGAGAGCAATTTGTTTTTGATTAATACTTACCGTCGGAACTGCTGCTCCAACGATTTCTCTGAAATTTATCTGGCATCTATTACATCAATAAGAGCCGATACCATAAATTTCAGTAAAAAATATCAGCAAAATTTTTTTTAGACGCGATTTTTTTTAATAGTCAAGGGTCCTTTTAAGCGCTAATTTCGCAAAACATATTTATGATCAATTCGTTGTTCGTTGCAAACTTTCGCAGCTATAGCTCGGGTTTACGATCGGGTTTCGTCAGGATTTTCCGAGTACTGCCGAAGATTTAGGCGCGCGGAATAATTTGAATAGACAAACCAACATGGCGACGGTTTCAAAATCTCCCTTGCCTCCGATGCCTCCACGTCCTCAGAGCGTTCCGTTGCTCCGACAGACCATGTCTCCTGAGCCATCGAACGTCAAGGCTTCACCTATTAGATCAAAGACACCATTGGTAAGAAAACGTTCTCGCTGTTATCCCGATTTAGTTCGCAGCGGTTCCACTTACTCAACCGTTTGTAGCGAGCTTTAATATACCTACTGTATTTTGCTCGCTCTGGACGTACTACAAATGCGATTACTCTAAAAAGAAACCTGTTGATTAGTTAATTTTCTAAAATTCTTTTATTCACCGGGATGAAGGGCTGCTTTTTCATGTGATGGAAGAAACTTACTCGAGTTTGTTATTATTATAACGATCATCCAACGACTTGATACAATTAAGCTAAATTTTATAAGCGTAAAAATATGAATTTAAATAAGCGTGTCTGTCGTTGCACCTGCTTGGAAATTGCATAAGTTAATTTAGTGTAAAGCTGTGAAGTTGGACGAATCCTGTAGCTACAAAAGGAAGTCTCCTTTTTCAACCTGATGAACGAATTGGAGAAAGCCCAGTGGAATGGAAGTAAGAACTTGCGTTACACGAAATAAACATTCGTTATTTCTGTGTTTGGACAAATTGTCAAAAATAATTCACCGTAGTAATAGGTTTTTCTTGCTGATTAGTCGATCTTCTGATACTCAAATATGGAAAATATGTGAATTATTGGCACATAATGCAAAATTTACACGTAGAGCTAAACGCATGCAGTCTCAGAAAGCTTATTGAAAATATTATTTTCTGATCTGGTAACCACCAAAAGCTGTTTGAATTTAAATATTTGACTGTCTTGCGGAAAGAGTAATCCTTGCCTTTGTTTTGACTCTCTTTATGATCCTAAGCTATGAAACCATGTTAAGCCGAAAAAAAATTTAAAGTGTTGCCTTTAATACTTGGCTCTCAATAAGGGAAAACATGACTACAAAGTAAGCTGTAATTGTGTATTAGAACTATGGCAATTTCTCATCTCTACCATGATAAAGGGTAGTTGATCCTTTACCCATAATTTGGTCACAATTTACAGCTGTAGGAAGTATCAGGACTCCTTTCTCAAAACATCTCTGAACATTGCTAAATTTAAGATGTCTCATTTTGAATTTTGAGGGTTTGCTTGCGTATTTTTTTGTAGTAGTTTGTGTTGGTAAACATTCAATCCTTGAGGGTTTTAAACATAAAAAATTCATTGCTTGACAGTGTATTGAAAATAACTGATAATTTTGGATAAATTGTAAGTTGCAAATCGATATGTAAAATTAAGTATTGTTGATACATGGATATATGTGCCATCTCAGTACCCTGTAACCTAACTCTCTTGTCTGAGCTTCATACATGTACTCTTATGGAATCACATGGAAAAGTTGACCTTTTGATCTTTTCAGTGATTATTATTTTATTCTGTCTTAAAGCATTAGCTACAGTGTACAACTCTACACTCTATATGTACCACTATACAGGTAGTATATAGTACATAGAGTATAAGGCAAGTACCGTATTTATTTGAATAAGCGCCCAACGTTGAATAAGCACCCACCTCGAATAAGCGCCCATCCTAAAGGCAGAAAAATTTAGTAAGTGCCCGCCCCCTCCCCCTTCCAATCAAACTTAAATAAGCGCTCACCCCCACCCCACCCACTCGAGTGAATAAAATCTAATAAGAGACTTACCTGAGGACGGAGTTTTCTTCAGAGTATTTTACAGAAACCTTGCTTTGTTACTTCTTCACGTTTTGTTGTTAGCATTTATTGTTTTGTTGCAAAATAAACATACTTCACTTGCTGAAAATGGTGGAAATTTAATAAGCGCCCAGCCTCGAATAAGCGCTCACCTTGAATAAGCACCCCCTCTCAAGGTCCAAAAATTTAATAAGCGCCCAGGGCGGTGAATCAAATAAATACGGTACAAAAGTATCAACCTTTTGTTAGTATTTTCTATGAAACTTAAGTTTATTTAGTTGACATCCTTATTAAGTGTTTTAGGGATGTATCCATTGACAGAAAGTTGTAAATCCCTATATATTAACTGCAACATTTTTTGTTCTCAGAATAAATCTCTTGGAAAGTCATTAACCTTGAAGTCAGGACCATTACCAGGTTCATTCCTGTTTGGAACTCCTTCCTACCCTTCTCCCCTTGATCGCATTCGCCCAACAAAGAAGGACCGAGGTATAGAACTTGGTTTAAGTACTGCACTTCAAGATTCTCTGGACCTCAATGCTACTTTCCCAAAAGTATACAAAGCTAAATCAAAACAGGACGAACATCAAATGGACTTATTCAAGCCAAAACGAAACTTGGATCAGATCTCAAGTAAGATGTGACGTACACATATTGTATTTTAAAAACATTCATTTCCTTCATTAGGTACATGTACAGTACCACTCATAAAGTAAGTTACCAGTTGCATTTCGTTTCCTGCGAGATGAGAATCGCTTCACTCTCTACGCGATTCTTGTCACGCGCTTTGAGACTCGCGTAGAATCGCATGAATCATTGAAGCGGCAATTTTTGGCATAAATTATTGACGACTCGTCCAGCGAGAAATCAACTAATTTTTTGCTTCGCGTTTGCCTTGAAGACTGAGGAAAATGAGCGTTAGATTTGGCGTTAAGTTTCTTTCGAAAAGCTTTCTTTTAGCTTGTCATCAGCACACTCTTTAGTTTCGGGCTTCATTTGCCATCGGCATTTGACACTGCACTTGTTCATGACGTTTAGTTTGCCGAAACGTGAAAACCACTTCTAGCATTCTTGATTTTTTGAAAAAGCAAACCAACGTGAGAAGAACTAAATATACTACAAATCGCTATCGATGAGCTTCTCCATACTTACTAATTTGCATGTAGATACTCTTTGTTTGTTTATTCCCTTAAAAACAGGGCTTGAGGATGCAGGTAAGTTAAGAATGGTATAATTATAAAGGTTAATCATGGCTTTGAAGTGTGGCCAGTGTAATAGGGCATTCTTGAGCTGAAGGTTAATTCTATTAAATTAAACCCACCAATATTAATAGCATTGGTGTTGTGATAATTTATTGTAGGTGGATTAATCTTTCTGTCATATGCTTTTGCAGGTGATTCACTGCACAGCTTCAGTTATTCTCCAGGTCATTGCAGAGGTTCCTTTCTAGAGACTCTTCCTGACCCAAGATTGACAGCATCATGGCAGTTTTACAACTTTGTCGGAGGAGCAGGGACTGGGGCTGTTTTTCCAACAACTGTCAGGAATCCAGTATGTAATTTTGCTCTTGTTGTATTTTAACACTGCTTTCTTAGAAAATTAATAGTGGAACCTCTATTCACGGGACACCCTCAAGTGAATAGAGGTTGGGCTGGGCTTTGAAAATTATTAACCAATAAAACAAATTTGAATTTATTTTGTCTCAGAATCTGCTGTTAGTAGTCATTATTTCAAGCAGCTACACGTAGTTAAAAAATATTGACTCACTTATCTCGGCAATGGTGTGTGTATAAGTCCCTCAAGTGTAGTACATTGGTCATAGTGAAATAGTTCATGTCAGTGACTTTATCTTAGCAGCTTATGGCCACAGCAAGTACAGTTGTAATACCATGTACATGTTTTCACGTGCATACAGTTCTCAAACTTAAATCTTATACGTTGTTAATATTTTCCTAGTCAGTCAACTGTTGCTTTGAGGGGACAAATGTTTTAATTTGCAGATAATTATATGTGTTTGTGTGTGACTTGCCATCTTGTAATTTAAACCCCCGCCCTTTATAACTGTAACACCATCAGATACACGTGCAACTGCAGCATCTGCTAATTAAACGACATTTTACTTTTTATTATATAAACACCAATGAAATACCAGGTGAGCTTTCGTGCGAAAACTTGGTATCTTCACATGTGAAAATAACATGTTATCTTCACATTGTGAAAATATCACCATTGCTATGGTTACATAATAAATCGCACCTTTCACACCAAAAAACTATTAAAGTGAAGTGGTTTGGTAGTTCATTGGGGTTTATATAATAAATAGAATATTACATGGCCGCTTGGACATACGAAATTTCTCTTCTCGTGTTGAAAAAATTTCACTCGTTTGCTGCGCTCACTCGTGAATTATTTTTCAACACTCGAAGAGAAATTTCATATCTCCGTGCGGCCATGTAATATCCTCTATATAAACAAACTCTGGTCATCAGTGTTCTTTTAATTTTAGCTGGTTTTCTTCTTTTTTCTATTATTTAAGGCTGGTTTTCACTAGCGACGGAGAGAAAATCAAAAATTGGAGTTGTAAGTGGAGTCATAAGCGTAATGGAATCTGAGTCAGAAGAATCAGAAAGTTTCCATTTCTTCCGACTCCACATACGACTTTGTGGCTTACATTCTGCTTATGATCTAGTGAAAACCAGATTGTCGGAGTTGGAAGCAGAAGCAGAAGGACTAAACCGGCAATAAAAGCAGGGGAACTTACATTGTGATTGGTTTATCCTTTCACTTGTACTTCTTACTCCCACAACCTGGTTTTCACTAGATCATAAGCCGAACGTACGCGACAGAGTCGTAAGCGGAATCGGAACAATGTTTTCACTAGATCAAAAGCTCTATGCTTCTGATTACGACTCAGACTCTGACTCCGTTGCTAGTGAAAACCAGCCAGAATTCATATAGGATTCATTGTAGGATTCATCTGTTGCGTATTCTACATGTACAGGCTCAGAGATAAGCAAACAATAGACAGTTATCTCTGAGGACACTGTACAGTTGTACCTCAACTTGTATGGGGGCTTCTTAAAAAGCTATGATCCAATTCATCTTGTCTGTCCGAGCATTTCCAGTGATTGGCTTTAAAACCCCAGACCTGACATACGTGTATGTACTTAGTGGTGTACATGTATGCCTTGTGCTTGAGTTTTGTGTTTTTTTGGCAGAACAAAGCAATTGTGACAATCAATGCCAGGACATCTGAAATCTTAACAGCTAATGATATGGCAGCAGAGTTGTTCAGTTACTCCAGACAGCAACTGATTGGCATAAAGATGTCAGACTTGTTTGCTGACACTCACAAAGAAAAGCAAGAAGCCCTTGTAGAGCAGCATATTGAGGCCAGTGGGGCTGTTGTTATGGTCAATGGAAAAGTGGTAGGTTTGTTAATGATATAAGGCAAGACAAGGTTTTTTCAGGATAGTGTCACACCAGCAACAACTGAACAACAACAACTTTATTTATTGTATTTCAAACTCTCTGTTACAAAAATAAATTCATATGCAGCCCAGAAGTAGCAAAGGCTATTCAAGGGAAGCTTACATGTACATTTGTATTGCTTTTCTTGAATGGTACAGTGTTTAAAATTCCTGCTTAATGTGGCTATATGTAATTTAAGCAAGGTTAACCTCAAAGCAATGCTGGTCAGCAGTTTTTCCAGCTATACTGGGGGTGGCCCAATGCCTCTAGCACAAGCACCTTGTGACTTGTATACGCAGTTGCTTGCTTGCAGTTCTTCGCAAAGTGTTGTTGCAATAGCTTGCTGTTTGCATGCCATTTTGTGCTTTGGTTTTTCCTATCCTTTCCTCCCTCTTAAGGTAAGGGACAGGTAAGTATTCCACTGAATTGTTCAGTGTGACGGTGTCTGTTGGGGGCCGCTCGCAGGGTTGCTAGAGCATTGCCCGGCTCCACCAACTTTTTAGGCACCAGCGCCCAAGCTCATCTATCGGTGATGAGTTTACTACACTAGTAATAATTATTATCATAGGTACAGGTGTATTATGCAGTATTAATTATTATTAGGTGGGAAATTGAATACCTGGAGAGTTATTCTTCCTTTGTTTCCTGTGAATTAAAGTATCAGGCCCGTGGGGGTCATGCTTGTAATAGCTGGGAGAATCTCTGGCCACCAGCCCTTAGTGACAGCCCTGTTACCCAAAAAATGTCCAAGCAAAGCATACAAAACACACAGATTGGTTAAAAAATGTAAGTTACTTTTACTTGACAATGTCAAGCCAGGATAACTAAATTATTATAGAATATTTAAAATTTTGGAAATGATTATTTATTATTTAACCACACCCTCCTTTCTGGGCTTATTTCTCATTTTTGGTTTGACCTCAGGATTAACCCTTTAAGTGCCAATAGTGACCAACAACAATTTTCTCCTAACAATATCCATACACTGTCAAGAGATAAGTTAGGAGAATTAATAAAATGATCATCATAGAGAAAAATTAATGCTTTGATCTTTTATCAAATTCTCTCAACTAATTGTTAAGGGAGATGTATGGAGATCAGTTTGGAGAATTTGTATGTGGATATTGGGGCTTAAAGGATTAATTACAGTCATGTTCTCTTTGTTTCAGTTGGAGGCCGTTGATGGTTGTGGTATTGTGTTCCCTGTGTCTGTTTGGATGAAGAAACTGACATGGGAGGATGAGCCACGATGCATTGCTGTCATGGAACCAGTGGAGAGAAAAACCGCAATGGTTCTTTTTGATGTTAAGGTGATTAGATGCATTCATCAGACAGTGAATTACGATTTTCCACCTGAAAGTGTCTTGTTGATTCCATTGTCTGTTACTGAACTAGTTTACCATATTTTTTGGTAGGGCAGCAAATAGTGGAAAACATATTTAATACTTATCTTGGCTATTAGCAGTCCATTTTTGAAACTTTTCTTTATGGCTACCATGGGCAACCATAATGTTAATTGCTTTAACATTTCGGAGACTTGATTTATCCCTGCAACAAAAACGTTCAATATAAAAAATTGATTCCAAAAAAATCACTGGTGTTTTTACTGATTGTTTCTTGGCGAAGTTTCCCCCCGAAATTTCCCGTGAAATCGGCCGATTTTCCTAAGAATTTGCCCCTGAAAATCCTTCGAAAATTGACTTTTTCCCGCTAAAATCCCGCGAAATGGGCCGATTTTTCTCGAATTTTGAACAAAATCGTCCGAAATCGGCCGATTGTTCATGTTCTGATAATCCCGCGACAGCTGTAAAGCCAGTTTCAACATGAGTATTGAGCAGTGGAGCAAGTCGCAAGAAACAAGCCGCTCCTGTCTTGTGTTTTCGCTCAACAGAGTCAGACTAAGAAAAAAGAGAAACTGCTTGTAGCCTAGAGCAATGCAAATGTTGGTAGGCAGGTTGCATTTTTTTGTGATAGTAATAAGTGGTTGTCTTTCCAATGACTTCAAGTGAAATTATTTTAATGCACTAGACAAGCAGCAGCAACCCGTTGTCAGTCAGCGGTCATTGTGTGGGCTCAAGTGCGGTCAACTTTGCTGGCATCATCTCCATGTGCTTAGCATGGCATTTTCCTAGCGGCCTCTCTCTTCGTTTCGCCTTTGGATCATTCTTTTGCCCTCAGCCCTCAGCCCTCCCCCTTAATTTTTCCACTGATAATTCAGGTTGACAGGTGCCTGGTTCCATTGGCGAGAGGGTTCCGCTCATGGCTGGAAGGCACAGGTTTGCCAGCCATGGAAGCGTAACTCTGTCTGGGGGCTGGCTCTGTCAAGAGTGGAAGTCCCTGGACAGTCTGGGCACCCACCTCCACTAAGCAACACAGTTGTTAAATGTGATTTAAAAAAATAATCTTAAGTTTTAACCTTTTTTCATTTCAAGCATGTGAAGAAGCAGCGAGCTACTGGACGAACTCAAGATGGGGCAACATTTCCTCTCAGCATCTCCCTTAAACCAAAATATGGCAAGGATCTAAAGAAGCTGGATCGTGATAAAAGCTTTGCCGACAATGAATTGTTCTACAAGGGAATGGTTTGGGTGTTTGCTAATATCAGTGGTCTGGTTACATTTACTCCAGAAGGAGTCATTCATTCTTGTAATCGTAACTTCTCACTTATGCTGTTTGGCTATCCAGAGAAAGAGTTGGTTGGCAAGGTAATAACAATGTTCAACTTTTAAAATAAGTTTACGAAGAATGTGTTGGCTTTTTGCACAAGAAATAAACTCCAAGTGTCTGTAAACTCTTAAGCTACTGTTTATCCAAATGATTCTGTAGCGGGGCTAAAAAAAACACCTTGACTTAAAGCGCGTTTCTTGGGCAAGCTGCCGTCACATCTCGCTTGCCAAGGGCCACCTCTCACTCACCTTAATCGATGATTTTGTTAGAGGATGATTTGCCTGTACCCTTCTGATTGGGCAAGTAAGCTTTAAAAGTTACTTCTTCAACTTGTCCTGGACTACTGGACAGGACCTTTTTTCGAGCCCTGTGGAGTAGCATACAAAATTATGTCGGCATAATTTATACAGCTATCGACATGTGAATGTTAATGATCTCTTTTGTTGAAAGCAGTTTATACAGACTATCTTTTTATTTTCCTTTGTTTTTGGGTATGGTAGATGTATGTAAGGTATGGTAATGAGTTTGAAACAACAACAACAACAACTAATTATAACCTCAGGACCAAGGGTGACCCCGGTTCTAGGAGAGTGTAGGAAGCAATTAATAGCACTGAAAACGTTTATAATAATTATAATAATAATAATAATAATAATAATAATAATAATAATAATAATAATAATAATAATGATAATAATCATAGTAATAAAACTAAAGCTCAACAGAGGTAAAGAAAAGAAGATTGTTTAACATTACAATGTACTGCAAATGTTAATTGCTTGTTATCTTTTTGGACAGCAAATGGTTGATCTCATTCCAAACTTTTATGATGACATGGACGATATAGATGACAGTATGCCATTACCACCTTTCGATGATGATGACGATGATGAGTATGATGATGATGGCTTTTTCCTGGAAAAGGAACGGAAGAGCACAGTTATATATTCACGTGAACTTGACTCTAAAGCTAGTGACTACAGCGGACTGCACGTGGGTTAGTAAAAAAGTAACGATGTCATTCACATAATAATTTATTGTTGTGTAGATCGCATCAGCCTGAAGTTGTGTTCCATTTACTGTGAAGAAGAATTACTTGTAATTATGTTATACATGTTTGTGTGTGCAAGTTCATGGAACAGAGGGTTTCATCCTTTTCAAAATACCCACTCATCCATGTGCATTGTAATGAAGCTACTTATACTAGCTCATGTAAAATTTTACGTACCACGTTTTTATGTGTAGATCTGTAGTATTGTACATAAATAATTATGCTCACCTTATCTGTTTGTGCGGGTTAAGAAAGTGCTTCAATCCCTTAATTTGAGAAGAGAGGGGAAAAAAGAACCACTTGAAGGTACATGTAAAGGAAGCGCATGATCGCATGCTACATGTATGTTTATGGTGGAAGTGCACACCTTACAGCTCTAGCTAGATAAGATTGTAAGCATTCCACTTGATCTTTGTCTACATTTATTATACAACTGTACTTAATTGCTGGGTGATATTTGGTGGGCCAAATGGGGCAAATCCTGTTTTCTGATTGGCTACCAGTGTGGGCAAGAAAGGCTCATCTTGCCTGATTAAAATTTTCCGCGTTGGTCCCGCAAGAAAAAGTTCTCTTTTCGGCCATTCAGTAAATATGTTTTTATTGACTTCGACTTCGTCTCGGTTTATAAAAACGCAAAAAAAAAGAAAAGAACTTGGCCAATAGCCAGCCATCTTGACCGAGCGCTTGGTCAAGAACAGATTAACCAAATTTAAAGTTAGTTATAATTATACTGATATCATTTTTTTTACCAGGTGTCAAAGACTTGGATGGTTCTACAACCAGCTCTCTTAGCACCAGTACAGGACTTAGCAGTTCTCATTCTACAGTGGACAGCGTCAGGAGCTGCAACAGAAGCGCATGCAGAGATCTGCAGTCCCCATCAATGAGTAACTCGCTACTTGACAAAGAAAGTATGGTGGCCAACTTTGGCGATAGCAAAGTTGGAAATGACATTAGTGAATCAAGCGTTCGTTCCGGTACATCAGAATCTTTTACTCCGGGAAATAACGCAGAGGATAGTGGGATAGATGACAGGAGTGGTAGTATAGAGAAGGTGCGGTTAGAGATCGTAGATGATGGAAACGTAGTGAGGCAAGAAGTACCTGTTGCGGTGTCGTCTCCTGCCGAGGCATCAACACCAATTACAGAAATTTATAGAGGAGAAAAGCAGCCTGTATCATCCTCATCGTTAAGTGATGAGAATGAAAATGAACTGTGTTCATACGAAGAAAATGAGCTTGAAGAAGGCAAAACAGAAATGGATTCTTCTCACACTAGTAAGGAAGGAGGTAAATTGCGTCCCCTTTGTTCATTTTCCATGTTTCACACACTCATTGCAAGACTGGCACTACCAGTGTTTTCCACAGCCTCAACATTGAGTGGGTGATTTGATCCTCGGCAGTATTGATATAGCACTAATGCTAGTTGGGCCGAGCAAATGTCCCAAACTAATGTGTGTTTTTTATACCACCTACCTAGGAAACTGTAGCTCCCACGTAAGTCAACTGGCATCTACGTCTTCAATTCCTTGTCCAGCTATCACAATCATCTCCTCTTCTTTTGCATTAACTCATTGTCTTTGTCGTTTTTATCTTGATCGTCAGTTGCCCTCGTCTGACTTCTTCCTCCATTCTTGTTGTTTTATCCTGAATCTGCAGTTCGGTAAAGGATTATTAGCACTACATGTGCATTATCTGCAAAGTCTAGGTCGTCTAGAAAAGCTCTTTAGTAGCGTCTAAAAATAACCATGATATCTCCTGTTTTATTCATAGAACAACAAGTCTCGAGTCCGCAGACATCAGCCAACACAAGTGAAACCTATTCACCATCCAGCACCAGTGAAAACCACCCAACATCAGACAGATTGTTTTCAGATTTACCTGGTCAAAGTGAATCAGCTAGGATATCAGTCACGCCTCCAAAGGAGTATAGTTTACACTTAGAGGGGATCACCTCGACACCAAACTTAGTGACAAGTGTGCAACGCACGGATGTAGCTTCACCAGTTCAACCCATCTGCGAGGGAAGCTTTGTCGGACGAGCCAGGCACAAGGATGGGTCACTTCTTGGAATTGTTTTTCAGGTACCCTGCTCACGGTCGTAAAATAAGAAGAAACAAATTTTGGAAGATTTAGACGTCGTGACTTGTCAGATAAATGTTTCCAAAAGATTAAAAATTTCGTGAAAATTTTTGGGACGGCTGGGATTAGGATAAACGTTAAATACCCCCCCCTCCCTCTCCAAAAAAAAAAATACGCCTTTGTCCCCATCAAATTAGCTGCGATAATAGCTAAAGTGTATGATGGAAAATGGAAAAATTAAAACGTTCCCAACGTTTTCATCGGTCTTAGCTTGCGAGCAAGCTCTGCTTTCAGGAGATATTATAAGAGGTCACGCGTGAGTTACACGCGAAAGGAGACGCGATGTGCCTGCTCATTCGTAGCTCGCTTGGCTCTCCACTACAAAAAGACAGCTTGCTCATATGATTGATTTTTCTTGTTTGTTGTTGTTGTTTTATTTTTGCAGTGCGGGGTGACCCAGGGTAGCTGAGGGTTTTTCTCGTATGCAGCGATTGAGTTCGTCGGAGATGCTTCGGGGTCGGTCGGATGCCGACACGTCTTCTAACTAGAAACCGCGCTTTTGTTTTAGAGGGGAGGCATTTCTGAAGGAAAAAAGGAAGGAGATTGAGTGGGTGGGAAGAAGAGATGGGGACAGTTAATGGGATTTTGATATGAATTCTTCCTCTTGTTTATTTATCGACAGGTGAAGAAAATAGAACTGAATGATGGGCGTGTCCTGTACTGTGCCTGGATATCACGTGACCCAGAAGAGGAAGGGGAGGGAGGCCGCTCTATGAGTAGTTTTGCGTTAGCATCAAGTTTCAACAGCACGTCACCACTTGATCACTCCGTTAGAAGTATTGCCGAGGTGAGTGTCGATATCCTAGCAATATATATTTTTTTTTTTACAGTTTTCTGACTGCCCTGGTATATTTTATTTCAGGGCTGGGTTGTTCAAAGCTGGGTTAAGATAACCCAGGGTTAGTGCGAAATTTGAATTCGATATGACAGATCCGTTTAATTCTTTTCCTCTGCAATTCGTTGGTTGAATGCTTTGTAAAAAATAGGGAAAATTATCTGAGAAAATGCTTTTGAACATCCAAAAAGAAACTCGGATTAAACTTGAACCAGGTTAGCGCTAATCGGCCTTCGAACAACTGGGCCCAAATGTTAGACTGCTCGTAGTTTTTCTATTTTTATGTGGGTGAATCTTTGGCTTAGTTGAGCCATGTTAATTGGCCATTTCGGAGTTGCGGTAGGGAACTGGAGCGAGTTTCAAATTTAAACTAATCGAAAAACTGACACCATGTAAAAAGGTCATGTTGAGACTGGTTATTTGACCGAGTTTCGTGCTCTAAAGTTGAACAGGGATCAAGTTATGACTCTTGAAACATGGTTAAAGATTCATAGAAACGTCTGTAATTTTGTGACTTTGCTTGTTTACGTCGTCCGTAAAACGCGAATTTAGACATTTTCACGTCGTAGTCGTGCAGAAACGGGAAAGAAATGTACAAAAAAGTGTGATGCACGTGCAAAGTTGTTGTTTTGCTTATTAAATTTATTGTTTTTTGCTGTTCTTCGTTGCCGTCCGCGTCGTCCCAATTTGTGCCAAACGGCAAACGTGAATTTGTACCACGTGACCAAGTTTCACTCCAGTTTTATCCATGGGAATTGTTCTGGACAGTTTTTATCTGATTATTTTCTATTCCGAGAAATTCTCAACTTGAACCTGACGTTTGCCGTAAACGTGACTCTTAATCTACGATCTCTCTAACTGTTGTGTCTTTACTTCGACTTCAGTGATGATAACACAGTATGTTACTCAAAGCGATGCATAGGAAGGTAAAATACAAACAGTGGACCAAAATTTTTAATCCTGGATTAGAGCTAATCGGCCTTTCAGGAACCCGGGCCAGTACTTTCCGTATTGTGCGCTATATAATGTTGTTGTAACTTTATGTATTTTCTTGTATTTGGCACCGGGTAGTTGTATCTTCTGGGTTAAATTCATGCTGTAATAAAGACAGTTGGTAATGTTGTTATTTATCTATTTATCTCCCTATTTTAACTGATAAGCAAGTTTAGAGAATAACAGAAAGCATTTTTTGCACCCACAGCTATCACAATACTTAAATGAAAGCAGTATTCGAGAGGAGCCATCGCCTGGGCGTGGTCGATATGATGAGAGGTACATCACCTTACAGTCAATAGGCAAAGGAGCATTTGGCTTTGTTAAAGTTGGCCAAAGAAGATCTGATGGGGTCAAGGTAACCAGAAACCAAAAACAAGTTTATGTCTGTATTTATTTCTTTGAATTAACGTTCAAGAATGGTTAAGAGTGAATGCATGTAAAAATCAAAGAAAAATAAAAAATTCGTGGCCATGGTCAAAAAATCGATTCGGCTCATTTTCTGCTTGTAGTTTGTACATTAGGTAAACTGCAAACGCATTGTTAGATTTTTAAAATGTGAGGCTGTGGCAGCTTCACAAGCTACTCGTGCGCAACACTTTTGTATTCTTGTAAAATTAAAGTATTTTAATTCGTAATTTGATTGAGTTGTTTTATCCCATGTTACCTCACATCTGACAGGATCAAGTTTGCTTTGCTGATCTTGCATTCATCGTGTTTTTGCATCATAAAGATTGACAATCCTATTTGAATTCCGTTCTGAACTTTTCTCATGTTGCAGTCTAACAGTTTTTCAAAGTGTTTATATCAATGAAAATAATGAATATTATATTAATGAATTATATGGTTCCTAATGTTGGGTTTTGTACCAAAAAAAGTAACTCAAAACCAACAACAACAATATTTTATTTTCCTCATTGAGTTTTACAACAGTGCACTGCACTGCACTTGGTTTCGGAGCAAAGAAAGAGTAGACTGAGGAACGGGATTTATCATCCATAGTTTATAAAGTGGAATTGTTATGAATTAAATGGTTTTTAAGGCCGTAAGAGTTGTTTGTTATATTTGAAAAGTTGTCCCCAGAAAGTGGGGCTCCAACTAAGTTGAATTGAGCTCAGTTTACATACAGCCACTTGGCATAAAAAGATCCCGGTTGGAAAAAACGAGATTCGGGAACCCAGCTAGCCCGCCCTCCCATATGAACATGTGGAAAATTTTACAAAAGTATTCATCTCAGAAATCGGGGCAATGAAGAGACCCTAAGTTGAGTTGTCTGACTAATCTTTTGTCAGCTTTTGGTGGGGGTAAAAGAAGACTTAAAATTTTTTTTGGAAAATTCCTGCAGATAACTATGGCAGTTTTTACTGGAAAATTTGATAGTAATAAGCGATGGAAACGTCTGGTGGAATCTGAAGGAAGTGAGAAAAATTAATGCGGGTTTGTTCTGGGTTTGTTCGAGATTTCGGAGCTTTTTAGCGCTTTACTTCGTTTACATGCATTGAAACTGAATTTTAAGCAGATTTTTGTCATTTCTGTCTTTATAGATTCCGAATAATATTTAACTGCGCGCTCACGTACAAGTTGTTGCTTTTTGTAATTTTCTGCAACGCAACTGTTGTTTGAACTCAGAAGTGTGAAGATCCCAGAGAAATAAGACAAGATGTACAAAAAGCTATCCATTCAGGTTACCTGAATGAAGTTTGGTTAATTTTGAGACACACACTTCCACATGTATTTTTCGTGATCTGCTCGGAACCAACGGCATGTTTCGCATGATGTTCCTACGTCCGAAAATGCTGTTTACGAGTCCGCTGTTAATTAAAAAGTATAAAGCCACAGTTACTGCTATTTTAAAAAAGAGGAAGACCTTGTGCACATAACTATAGCTCGAAAAGTCTGAGTTTAATTTTTGGGTCCGAATAAATATTTCCTGAACACCCTGTATTTCCACGTTTGAAACCAGTGAAATTTTACCTTTTTAGGTCGAGACGGTTTTTTTTATTGTTTGCAGCCGTTTAAAAGAATATTTTCAAAACCTAACCTTATTTTAGTTCATTACACACCTTAGCCTTACTTCACTCAAAAAGAGAGCGAAAGCGATTTTTGACCGTGGCCGCGATGCGTCGATTTTTATTTTTTATTTTTACAGACATTCACTCTTAAACTGAAACCGCTGATTAAATGTAGGGTTAACATGGACTAGAATACAAGTTTCGAGAAGGATTGGGAGTCGTGTAAAAGTTCAAAGGAAACCTTTGGCTTGGTGAAGTCACTGAAATGTCAGGGTCGTCTATTCTCTGAACGACATAGTGTCCTTAATTGAGTTTACAACTCGAAATCGCGCAGAAATCGCGGGAACGGCAACGAGCTCAAAAACTACGGCTGGCAAAAACATTGATTTTGTGGTATGCGATAGTTCTACACAATAGGATTTTATTCACTAACTCTAGATTTGTGTACTTAAAGATAATACCGTGTTAGAGTACTACTGAAGAGGTTATAATTGAAAAGTCATACCGTACTAGTAGGTTGACTGTTGGTTCGAAGTGTGACAAAAGAGAGACGCCAGTGTTTTGCCTGTCGCAAAAAAATCAAACTCGTATTTTATCTTTATTTTGTCCATGTGCAGGTTATTGTGAAGTTTATCAGAAAAGCCAAGATACTCGCTGACTGTTGGGTGGAAGATCCGGTTCTAGGCTCTGTTCCGTTAGAAATTGCTCTCCTGGCAAGCCTCAAGCACCCGAACATCGTTAAGGTGAACACTATAATTGGTACAATGGAATTTCTTAGCTACTTTTAAACTTCTGACCAGTATTTTTGAAACTCAATAGAAATTAACGCCTCATGGGAGTTTTGCATGGCTTGGAGATTCCGGGAGAAAAACCAGAATATCTACATTATGTGACTGTGGTGTAATGATTTTTCGGTTTTCAGCGTTTTTCCATGGGAGACTTTCGTGATTCCCCAATAATTTTTGCTTCAATCGTTTAACTTTCACAACAAGCGTTTTTTGAGGAGCAAGAAGCGCTACAAGATTTTTCTTCCTTTCTACGCTTGTTTATACGTATGTTACTTTAGATTGATCAAGCGGGGAGATGGAAATAACAGAGTAACAGGCCATTTTTAATGTAATGCACTTGAACTAAACTCTCTAAATCCGCCAAAATCCGTAAGCGTTCTAGTGGCTGTGATCAACTGCTAAATCAGCGCACTCAAGTATTCTTCTAATTCAGCAAATGTACCGTAAATTTCCGAAAAATAAGCCGCTCCTTGTATAAGCCCCTCCAAATATAAGCCCCCTGGGGGTCTTGTACTTGGAAATTGCCCTCAAATACAAAGTAAAACAAAGCAAAAACGGTAAATTTCCTGCCAGCTATAAGCTAGCCAATCGATTTTGAAATGCAAATTTCCCTCCGTACATAAGCCCCTCCGAATATAAGCCCCTCCAAAAATAAGCCCCTCAAAGAGGGCGTTTGAAAATATTTAAGCCCCGGGGCTTATTTCCGGAATGTTACAGTAATCTATTAACAATTTAAAAAGACAGTAAACAACAAATTGTTGTCATTGATTTACTGTAGCTCTGCCATTGATTTTCCCATGTGTAATTATGATAATATTTTGTTCTAATTATCTCAGGCAAATGTTGCGGATGTCTGAGCAGGAACAATAACCAGGAAAGGGATATACCCCGGAGATTTCTTGATTGGCACTAAATTGACGTCATTTTTCACTTATTTGCATTTTCACGATCGACGTTTTTGAATGGGCGCGTTTCTGTAATGCTAACTGAGGGAGCCCATTCCTTATAAGCCCGGTGGCTTCTCTTGGGCTTCCTCGCCATGAGAGTTTAAGTAATTATATTTTATTTGATTTGTACAATTTTTGGCAAACAAAACAATAAACAATAAACAAATAATTGTTTTGTAGATGTTAGAGGCTTTTGAAAATGAAGAGTTCTTTCAAATGGTGATGGAGAAGCACGGAAGCGGAATGGATCTATTTGAGTTTATTGACAGACAACCAGCAACGGACGAAGCTCTGTGTAGTTATTTATTTAGACAGGTAAAACTCTTGTTCTCTAAAGAGCAAAGCTGTTTCTTCTGAGAGAGTGTGGAATATAACCTATAAAGAGACCATTAGGTTAATAACTAAGAGCGCCTTCAGTGCTAGTGGTACCCGGTCGGTTGGTATACGCATGCCCGGTAGTTCGCCACATCTTCCAAGTTTGGGGAGCAAGGGTGGCGCAGTGGTGAGAGCACTCGCCTCCCACCAATGTGGCCCGGGTTCAAATCCCGGCGTCGACGCCATATGTGGGTTGAGTTTGTTGTTGGTTCTCTCCCTTGCTCCGAGAGGTTTTTCTCCGGGTACTCCGGTTTTCCTCTCTCCTCAAAAACCAACATTTCCAAATTCCAATTCGACCAGGAATCAGGTAGACGAAGAACCACTATGTGGATGTGCTACCTGCAAATCGTTATTTATTTTTATTTATTTATTATTTATTTTACTGGGTTGCGCGTTTTAGTTTCCTTCGTGCCTAGCGTTTTCCTGTTACGAGGTGTCTTTCAGCCAGTTTCCCCGTCCCCCTCCCCTCCCTGTTGTTCTTTCTTCCCCGATGTTTTTTGTTTCAGTGTGACGTCACAGGTGCCAGTGTTTTGTTTCCTTTTCTGTGGAAGCCCATGGCTGGGTTGTGCCATTGTGCAAGCCATGGGGGCGTCGTTCAATCTACGGGCTGGCTGCCAAAAGTGGAAGTCCCTGCTGGATCCTCTAGGCACCCAACTTCCATCCAGCAATACCGTTGTTAATCTTTGTTTAATTTTTCTCTTAGGTTGTTTCTGCCGTGTCATTTCTTCACAGCAAAAGAATACTCCATCGTGATGTTAAGGTAGGACTCGAGGGCCTCTGAAGGTGTCCACACACTTACACGTTTAGAGATTGATCCCTTACAAAAAGTATGCGTTTGGAAAAAACTGTCTCGTCCGTTAATCCCCCTGAAAAACATGACGTAATTTCAGCGTGTAAACTGGAGCAAGCGAGGGGTATCCGAATAGGTTACTAAGAAGAAAAACTAAACGTTCGCAAGCTTTGAACGCGAGTTACTTGTTTCAAACCCAATTTCTAGTGTGACAGGTGTAAATGGGAAAGAAAAAGGATTTTCTAAGCACAGCCGCCGTGAGTATCGCTGGTGTTCCTTGCATGATAGCGCAGCACCATGGGTAAGAAAATGTGGTAATCTATGCATCCAAGAAATTTTGGTTCTGACAAAATCGTCGTACCTACGCTGAGGTGAAATTTCGCATTTCAGGCACCCCGCACGTTTCGGCGGTAAATTGCATGGCCACCCGCATTTTTCAAAAGAAAAAAATGCAACAACAAAGCTGAGTTTTTCTTTCGACTAATTTTAACGTCAACATTAACATGGAAAACAGAGAAAGAGCTAAAGCTAGCCTGCGTAGCTGGCGGTATTGTGTAGCAGTCGAGTGAGATTTGGGGGCGAAGCCGTTACGAGCGGCGTAAGCCGCGAGAAATAGAAATTCAAACGCCTCGTCCCCACTCCCTTTTTTGGATCACGGTTCCGCCGCCAAAACTTTAATCGCGCACCGAGGCAATACCGCCAGCCACGCAGGTTAAGCTAGAGCGAGAAATAAGGAACAACAAAAAAAAACGTGAGAATTTTATAGCGGAGGTGAGAAAATGAGAAATGCTTGCAGCCACCAAGGTGAAAATGAGCGGCAGTGAAAAAAAGTGAACAGGAACACATACAACATTGCCTCCATAAAACGTGTAACTAGGAAGTTTCTGGACGTTTCACGTTCTAGTCGTTCAAAACAACAGCAAAGAAATGTTTAAAGAAAAGAAAAGAGAGACAAACTGCGACCCCTCAGCCGTGTAAACCTTACCACACCTCCACAGTTCGCTTTAGCCTGGTACTCAGTCTTTCTTGCATCGTTTTTTTTTGGATGTCACGCAACGCAACGCTTTTGCGTGACATCCAAAAAACGGCTGCGAGGGAGACTAAGTACCAGGCTAAATCGACAAACTACGGAAGTGGAAGCTATTCACATTAACATAGTTATTAAAGTGGAATGTTCATGAAACCCGTTAGACTCTTTTGTTATATGTTTTTGTTAGCTTTTTTGGACCTGCTCGCGCACAACGTTCAATAGCATTTCTATCATTTTGAACTTACTGACCAATAGAAAAATCGCATTCATTTGTTCAGTCATAATTTGTGCGGAACAAAGAACAAAGGATTGTGCACGGTCAGGGAGCTTCCAACATAAACTACAGTACCGTTGTTTTCAACATTGATATTTGCCAGCTTTCCTAACCAGTCTCCTCTACAAACTATGGTATTAATCATCTTCCTTTTTTTACCTACAAAAGGATGAAAACATTATTTTGGATGACAAGTTTCACATCAAGTTGATCGACTTTGGCTCAGCAGCCTACATGGAGGAAGGGAAGAAGTTTAGCACCTTTTGCGGAACAATGGAATACTGTTCGCCTGAGGTCTTGATGGGAAACAGGTACATTACTTGAATTATTGATGATGAAGATGATGATGATGTGAAGCATGCTCAGGACTATAATGTTGTGGAGTAATTTCTTTTTCAAACAGACATGTCGCTATCTTCTGGGGGCAGTCAAATTAATTTGTCATTAAAATAAAATTAATCGTGCGAAATTTTTCAGCTATGCAGGGCCCGAGTTGGAATTGTGGTCAATGGGAGTTACATTATATACTTTAGTGTTTGGCGAGAATCCTTTTTACGATGTTGAAGAGACGATCAGAGCTGAATTACATCCTCCTTTTGCTGTTTCAAATGGTAAGATTTCATGCTGAACCTTGTAAAAGTTTCCATTGCAGTCTACCTACACGAACTAGGGGTCCTTTGTTCAAAGATTTCAGCTTATTCAGTTCAGAGCTAGACTGAGGACAGACGACTCCTATTTCTTTCTTTTTCTTTCTTTTTTTATGGGAGACGTCTGGACGCAGGCTATTCGCCACTTTAAAAACGATGGAGGAAACTGGGCTGCCCACCTACCCCTCCCCTTAAGCCAACATTTTGCCCTAAGTAAGAAGTAATTGTTAATATTGGCTTAGGGGAGGGGTAGGTGGGCACTGTTCCAGAAACGTATAATGGTCCAGAAACGAAGCAAAGTTAACTTCAGTTCGCAAGGTTTTCTGGGACAGTTACTGGGGACATGGTAATGATTTGAATTCAGTTGCAAGAATATGAGTAGTTGACGCAGATATACTTTTTTGAGTGTTGTAATTGTAAGCTGGCGTTTCTTGTTCAACAGATCTCATGTTTATCATCTGTTGGCTTCTGCATCCTGATCCTCGTTGGCGAGCAACAATGAAAGACTTAGAAGAAAATGAATGGATCAACCAGCCTGTTGATGTATTTAAGTATTCCTTTGATGCTGTCATAGGTCAGTTGAGTTCCCAAAATTAATAGGAGGGATATCTAGACTATGAACAATCCCTCTGCCCTCGCGTTTTGCGCTTACAAAAAAAGGAAGAGCTCCTAAAAACTCACTCAATTTGAAAAAACGTGATAAAAATTAACAGAATACGAATTTACTTTCAGCAGTAACGTTCTCTATTCCATCTTCTTTGTGGCTGATTAAGGTCAAATAAAGATGTGTGTAGGCACCCGTGTTGGATGATGTTTGGCCAACAGTGCTGGAGTATGTTGGACCAAAAATGCTGGATAATTGGACCAGCAGTGTTGGATGCTAGACCAACAATGTTGGTCGCACTTTTAATTTTGGACTAATGATGTTGGACCAACAATTATGTGCGATGTTTGATCAAAAATATGCTGTTGGGCCAACAACGTTGGATGATGTTGTTTGTCCAACAGTGCCGGATGGTGTTGGACCATTAATTTTGGACCAACTTGTTGAACCTGTTTAAACGTCCTCTTAAGCTTTATGATTTTCGTTTAGCTATTCATTTTTTTTTCCAGGAGACCAACTTGATGGTTTACAGTTCCACTTTCCCGAAGCTGGTCTAAATGGCAGTCAAAGCGATGGAAACATCACGCAAGATGAAATCATCGACCATGGTAACCATGACGACGAAGATAACCTCCAACTGTCGGCTCTTCAGGAATATATTAACATGATTGACGACGATGGAGAGGAAAGTGGGGAGGACACGTGACAAATTCAATGAAGAATTTTAATTTATTTATGCCCCTGGGTCCGGTTCCTGAAAGGCCGATTAGCACTTATCCTGGATTAAGTTTTGTTCCAGTCTCTGTATTCACCTTCCAATGCATCGCTTAGAGTAACATGTTGTGTTATCATCACTGTATCTCAGAGTAAAGGCTCAACAACATCTGTAAACTTGAGTTACATGTTCTTAGCCAAGAAAACCGTGCTTACAATCCAGTTGGCTTAATCTTCGGCTAAACTTAACCGTCTTTCGAGGAACCGTGCCCTGGATATAACTATAATTATTGTAAATTTTTCTGACCAGAATCAATTTAGTTGTTTTTAAGACTTGAAAGTTTTGATAATTTATTGTTATCTGGTTGTATTAGTTCCATCCTCTGTTATTTTGAGTTATTTCTAACCTACTGGCTTCAGTTCAGTGTGCAAAGAAAGTGGTGTCCGATAGCCTGGGGCTAGTGGATTTTGCTGCCGGGCAAAGTGATTTTGGCGCGGGGGGGCGGGGGGGAGAGAATTCAAATTACAGAAAAACTGTAATCAATCCTGCTCATCAAATTTTTTTCGGGCTAGTTAAAATGACTTTCGGGCTAGTACATGCTAGCTACAGCTTGCCCGAATGGCAAGCTGTAAAACTTGACTTTCTTTGCTCCCTGCAGAAGCATACGAAAACAACCTAATGATTCTGGAAGTTATTTCCATTGGTTTTATTATTTTTATGAACAAAGTACCATCAAATTTTTATGTTTTTTAGATGGGAGTTGATTTTTATTTTTTATATATATGCTACTGATTCTAATTGATATATAAAAAAGATGAAGAATACGATTTGACTTCATTGTACAGATTTTACTTTTTATCAGGTTTTGTCTCAAAGAGGTCTTAATAATATAAAATTGATATTTTAAGGTTATGCGAACATCAAGTTCACAAATTAATTTGGAAATATTTTTCTCTTGGCGAAAGTTTGTTGTAACCATATTTCAGGCTTTTTTATTCCATTATTTAAGATGTCACACCCTCACTTTTTAAATGCTTGTGATGTTTACTGTAAAATTGCACATTGCTTCACTTTTGATTTGATTTTCACATTTATTATCGCGACTATAGCATTTTGTGCAGTCCTATATATACCAAGCTGATTATAAACTAGTCAGTCTCCAGGCGGGAAGTGTTGTTGTTTTTTAGTTTTTTTTTTATTATTATTCGAGAGAACCTAACAATTATGCCAAACCAGAAAATTTATTGTGACTGGGTGCATTGGTTGCCTCAGGAAAACCGCTGACCAATCAAAACTTCCTTTTTTGACGTCACGCAAAGGATCTCAGAAATCTTAGTGCCGGCACCTGTCGATAAGTCGTTGATGAAACAGGTCTATCGCTTCAGTGACGAGAGTATTGTGGAGTCGTAATCGGAAAAAACCTTTTTGTCTACTGTAAATCAAACGGACAGGAGCACAGCCTTGCTTTCATTCTGCTAAATTTAGGATGGCGGGCAATGACATACTATGACAGCTTCAATTCTTGGTAAAACAGTTAATTGTGTAATGTTACAGATGTCGGTGAAGTAAGTTACAAGTTTCTTATGCAGTGAAAATACAAATTTGAAGCCTAGGATTTTCTCGCGTGCGGGGGGAATTTTTGGTGTTGGCCGAACACTCTTCTCCAATGGTCAAAAACGCAAAGAAAAATTAATGTATGATTCTTTTGATCCTTCATGCCTGTGAGTTTTTATTTTTCTTCGTGAATGGAAGAATGTTCCGTTTGGCCTTGAAACATGGTTTTTGTGAAAAGATTAAAACAAGGCGTCGTCGTGTGGAGGTCAATACAGTATATTTTTGTTCGCTTGTTGTTTAATTTTTGTTCATGCGTATAGCGTTATCATTTCAAGGTCAAACGACTTTCTCTCATCGATGAATTTAAGAAACGCAACAGTTTTTTGGGAAAGAACCCTACTTAAAAGTGGTGTAATTGTATAGGTACCATGTAAATAGTAAGTTATTTAATGACAAGTAATCTGTTACCTTCATGAGGTAATTACTGTGACAACCAATTAAAATGTCAAATTAGACCAGAGGGAATATATTATTTTCATAGTGTTTCTTTTACATAGATTTGTAACATGGAATAAGTCCCTATCGTTTCCCTTGAAAATGATAAGTAATGGTAACAGGACTGAGTGGAGTCCAGTTTGGTCTGTAATCATACGAGTGAATAACAAAATTGGACGACCGCGTAACGGGAGTCCGATTTGTTTAATCACGAGTATGATTACAGACCGAATTGGACGACACGAAGTTCTGTTACCAATTAATCATAACTTTAACAAAATTTGTGATATAATAGGCTATTTTTTTTAATCAAAACCCAAGAAATTCCAAATTTTGTTTTGCTAGCAGTGAAACTGAAAAGTCAAAGAGCGCGCGTGATGGCGCGTACTGTCCAATTAAGGCTGAAATCAGGGCAGTTGATAGCCAATCAGATTTGACACTTTTGTTATAGTTATGATTACAATTAAAACACTTTGTAAGAGTCGTGCGTAAAATACCGTTATCTCGGCTTTGGAAATGCACGGTATTTCACGATCCGGACCTTCCCGCATGAAAATAACATATTCTTTAGCTATGGCGATGCTTTCGCACTATCGCCACCCTCTTGACGTGGGCTTCTTTTTAATAGAGGGCCGTTTATCTAACCTACGAAAATGTCAATGGATGGGTCGAGAACTTTTGTAGCTAATGACATGACAGCGCAGATTTGCAAAACCAAGGCAATGATAAAAAAAACGCTCTTAAAACTAATGAGCTAAAACATCCTATGTCACAGTCTTTGCGTATGTGAAGTCTCCTGTAGCTTCACCATAGTGAACAACGTAGGATGGTAGGATATGATGTGAGTTGAAGATCACAAGTTCCTTGCCGTCTGGAGAGGTGTGTGAATCATGCCCCCTTTCCAGGGGCTCTCCGTGAATCAGATTGGTACATCGATAAACCTTTCCTGGGAGCACCTGGCACAGAAGGAGCTTTGATGCACCTCTGATGTAGTTCATGGAGTAGGAAGGGTACTCGCTGAAGTACACTCCACGGCCGTAATATCCTACCCGGGAAATGCGAACATAAAATTAGAACAGTGACAGCCAGGCATCACACTAGATTGCTGGGCGTCCGCTCTAGCACATAGTAGGCGGATTGGGCAAAGACAAGGAGACGAAAGTGACTACGGCGCGCGCAGATCTAAGAACCGATTTGGCTGAATGACAGAGGAAAATTGAGCATCGGAAGTCGCGTTCAGTCCTTTCCGCACGCCTTCGCGTTCTTATTTGACGTTGCGTCGTCTTTGCTAAATCTGCCTGTACCATTCCGAGAGCACCAAGGAGTTGACCTCGGATATTCCCAAACGACACACACATTGGTGCCTTTGAAATAACAAAAGTATTGGGGAAGGATGGACCACTTCATTCAACGTGATACCGTGCGATTCCTGAAATAGCATAGAGGAGTTCCGATAGCAGGGTATACTCTAATATAACGGAGACGCCGTAGAGAACTCCGAAAATTGCAAGCGGGGTGAATTATCTTATTTACAATTCAAACCATAGCTAGGAGATTGGACAGCAGTCCGCAAAGGATCATAAGGTGAATTATCGAAGAGATCAGCTTCGGATTCAAACTGTATGGGACTGAGGGGGGCTACTCCTAATAAATCAACCCATGGAAAAATGGCGCGTTTTCGCGCGGCTTCATCCTTGATTTCGGAGGGGGTGGGGGGATGAGGAGTTTGCTTTGAATTTTATTATATTCTGCTCAAGATCGTAGCCTACCACGTAGACGTCCATAAAGCTTTGTCACGCAGTCACGCATTCTTTAACGGACACGTGAAGCCCTGAATAAGATCGCTGCCTTAGAGACTGACCTAGGACCGTACTCACCTGTATCAGTTGCATGTTCAAAATTTGCATCTCCCGGAGCACGAAATCCAGTGTTACATATGGAATGTATGTTCGTCTCCTTTGTTCCATGGAATGCCAGCACTGGGTAAGACGTCTCCTCACCTCGTGCGTTTTTCAACTTCTGGCGAGATTTATGGAATCTTCTGATCAACACAGGATTAACGACATACTCCACCTTGGTGACTCTATACTTATCTGTGGTGTCTACGAGTCTGTAAAACTGCGATTCTAAAACAAATAAGAAACAAAACAGACTAGAGACACTAGACTTGTCCTTTCATACCTGACAGAGCCTTTTCACTCACGCACCATCAGCTACCCAAATTTACTGTAACATAGAATAATTTCTGTACTAAAACTGCCTAGCATGCTTCGCAGATCTATTGTGAATTGAAGCTAAATTTGTGCAAGTTGAAATAAAAGTGCTTTTAACCCCTTGGCCTAAATTTGGGTAAAATAAACGGCCACAACTTTACTTTAGTATCTGCGCGGTAATTGGTTCGATTTTACTCTTTCACATACTTTTTCTCAACAAATCCAACTACTTATGAATCATGATGAATTACAAATGTATACTGATACAGGCGGTAAAATAGTTTACCAACTTTACCTGCTAGGCGAAAATGCATTTGGGCAGCCGAGCCTTCCTTGTATTCTCTCTCAGCAAAAAGAGGAAAATAATGCAAATCATCTTTATCCAAAGCCTCTCTTTCGCCTTCAACCATCAACTGCCCCCGCTCTAGCTGGGAGTGAAATCGTCGAAGTTCTTTATTTTTTTCTTCAATGATGCTTAATGTTTTATCAAGTTCTTTCTTTAGGAGATCCTTCATTTCAAAGGCCCTTCGTATGAGCTCTCGACGCTCTGTTTCAGACAACAAGGAATAGCTCTTTACTATGCTGGGACCACGGCTCAGTATTGTATCGTCTCTTGAAAGTCTACAAATCGTTGAAAAGCTCAGTGTTGTTATAAATTTAATTGTCGTGTGATTAGGCCATTCGGTGCTCAGTGCCCTGGCTTTTGAATGGAAGCGAGGCTCAGGTGGCCTTGTTGTGGGAAGGCATATAACGTACAAGGTCATCTACAGCCTCGCATCTACAGCCTCGCTTCTATTGACCACTCCAGAAAATACCATAACATACCATAATGCTCTTTGTTTGTTACCCCAAAATTTTGCATAAGCATTGTCTTCAGTTTCTCTTGGAATTAAAATGGCCCAAAGAGAAGCTGAAGACAATGCTGATGCAAAATTTTGGGGTGACAAAAAAAAGAGCATTATGGCATGTTATAGTATTTTCTGGAGTGGTCAATTCAAGGTCTGAGCACTGAGCACACATCTGGAAAGTGACCTATTGAACTGACTGCTGGCTTCGAGAAATAGCCGGTAAATAATATTTCTATTCAACAGCACGATTTTTGTATACGTTCTTCATTTTTGTATTATAAAAAGTGTTTTCACTTTCATGCTATATGTCAATAGAAATCGCGTGACACTTAAGCCAGCACATTAGAAAAGTCACGCAACGTTTTTGATTTTGCAGAAGGCATCGCATGACTTTTCCGAAACAGCTGCTTTTTTCATCATCACTACAATTATTATACCACCTTGACGCGGAAGCGTTTCTTTTTTCAGTAAGGCCATCCTCTTGTTTTTCTCCGTTTACCGTCCTCCGACCGACCCAAATTTTTGGCATTTTCAAAAAAAAAAGTAACGACGTAGTTACACCATTTTTCACTTGAAATAATTCTTTTAATCTGAAAAATGAGCATAGTAACAGCATAGAGAAAAACAGGAACAAAAACATGAACATTTTTCACAGTATATTGTGCATTTTGTTAATCCAAATATGTGAATGTTTACTTTTAACGTCGTCCTGGGGTACCAGGGCCTACTATTCCGAGACTTCTTGTGATTTTTTTCTAGGTTTTTTTTTTTTTCAATCCGACCGACCGACCCAATATCAGGAAACGCATTCGACGGTAAACGAAGAAAAAAAAGGTGATGGCCTAAAGAAGAAGTAGAAATCTTTTACATTAAATGATTAACCCTAGTCTTTCAAGTCCATTCTCTGAGTAAACAAGGGGACGTTATCGAACTATTGTAATGTAAATTGTACACTCGTACTACTTCCGTTCTTAATACAAATACTGTTAGCTTTGATGAGGCGGCGGAGATGGGCGCCTGTAAGGAAAAATACCTGGCCTTTGATACAGAGTATTCTACTAAAATGTAAGCTTTTAAAATAGGTTACCGTTTGTGATTTCAAGCCATATTCGTCGCGTGACTAGGGGTAAACACAATATGCTCAGTATCCTCAGCGTGTTGCCAATAAATTAGGTTTGTTGCCTTCTTTTTCATTTCAACACGTTGAGCAAATAAACTGCAATGTAACCTATAATAAGTTTATTTTCACTTACTGAGGATTCAGGCTGTCAAAACTATAGTCTTTTTCTTGACAGTGCTTTATCGTGTTCGAATTTCCATCTACAAAATCGCCGTTATCAGATTCGCTGTCGGATGGGTCATCATATACTTCCTGCGTGGCTTCCACACTGTAAAAAGGCAATTCTACAACTTCACACTCATCTACTTCATGGGATCCGCTCTCTTTCTGATCATCCTCTTCGTCCCCGTCTGTTTTTGTGGGATGCCAGAAATCTGCGAAGTGAATTAAGTCTGTCTCGCTGCAGTCCACGCCGTGCTCGCAGACCAGACGTCCATTTCCCGCGTCGATTTCCACGTGATCAGTTTCAACTCGTTGAATGCTTTGGTTTTCCTTACAATTGTGACTGTCGAATGGTGCCTCCTTTGAAATTGAAACATTGTTGTTTGAATCGCTGTTTTTCGAGATCTCGACAATTTTAAGACGCTTTTCTTTTGGCTCCAAGTGTTCCATCGTGACAACGAAACTTGATCACGCGAAACTTTGGAGGCAAATCGGGGAGGGCCTGAGTCCCACAAAAGTTCCAGGCTCTTTTCATTAGATCACGGACAACATGGCGGACGGGTCCGTTCTCGACTATTTTTGAAAACTTTTGTTGTGTTCTCTGAACGCTGTGAGATGTCGTTTCCGACCCCTTCGTTTGCTCACTTGAAGAAGACGGATTACGACAATATTTATGAGCCTGCAGAAGACACTTTTCTGATGATGGATGCGTTGGAGAAGGATGCAGAATTTCTAAAGGAGCAAAGGTACTACAGTCTTAGACTACTTAGTATTTTCCACCCCTCGTGCATCTTATCGGAAGCTGGGTTTAATTTTTGTGGTGTAGGTGTAGATCATGTTGAAAGTATAAAGGTTAGGATTCAAGTAATAGGACCATCAGTCACACCTCCACATTGCGAATGAAACGCTTCCTCCATTTAAGGCGGTGCACATTTCGCACACGAGCCTTCGTTCATATGAGATGTGAGGGTAAATAAAGTTACTCATACTTAAGGTGAATTACGTCTGGAACGCGGAATACTAGTTTCCTCACTTCGGTGGCTTTAACTGCAGAATACCTTGCCATGTCACCTTCAAGCAACCCAAAAGGGGTGGGTACGCACCCGTAACGTAGCTTGTATCAGCTTACATACAGGTCAAAATTAAAATGTATGAACATAGGTTGATTATTAATTTCCTTAGTCACCTGGCTCTTAAGCATGATAGATTAGGGCAAGAAGACAAAGGAAATTTAGAATTAACCTATTTAAAGTGAAATATATTTTGATCACTAACATAACCACCTCGTAAATAAATTTAAATGGTACCCACTACTTTAATAGTATCTGGTTATCTGCATATTCCCTTTAATAAACACTTAGTACAGCATGTAAAGCATATAACTTATGTGAACTTCGATTTTGGTAAAAAAGAAAAAGCATAAAGGAGTGACTGGCTCTTTCAGGGATACATCTTGGAGGAGGCAGAATATTCTGCGGACTTTATGTTATTTCTGCCAAAATGGTGTCCTCCATAGTAAAGACATAGAACTGTATTTTGTTTAAATTACAGACCACTTTTGTGTGTAGAGATAGGCTGTGGCTCTGGTGCGCTGATAACATTTTTGGCCTCCATACTTGGACCATTATCCTACTACATGTGAGTCAAGGTGCATTTTATAGTCCTCCATGTTTGTGAGTACTTTCACTGAGCTACAGCAGGATTAAATAGCATTTTAATTCAACAAGCCCTAGGATTTCAGGGAAGCCCAGGGTGTGTGCAAAGAAAGTCAGTTTTACAGCTTGCCATTCGGACAAGCTGTAGCTAGAATGTACTAGCCCAAGAGTCACTTTAAACAGCCCAAAAACTTTTTTTGATGAGCAGGATTGATTACTGTGAATTCACCAAAAAACTTTACCTGCCCATCGGGCAAGTTGAGAAGAGAATTCACTAGCCCAGTAACAAAATCCACTAGCCCCAGGCTATTGGACACCACTTTCTGTGCACACTGAACTGAAGCCATAAACCAGTATATAATGTATAATGCTTTTTGGGAATGATTTAAGATGGAACTGATAGATGCTAAACATAATTCAGCTTCATATGAGTCATAACTAAAGAATTGCCCTACTAGTTAAGTATCTATGTGAAAAAAAAAATTCTGTAAAATTAATGTACCCCTAAGGCTGAAAACTTACTTGGTTCCATTATTTTAAGACCACAGTAACAACATGGTACCGGAAACTTTCATTACCTTGAAATCCTAGGGCTTGTTCAAAGTAGAAGGGATGGGGAGATGTGTGTGAGAATGTGATCGCACATACAGCACCCTCACAGGTGCACAGTCATCTCCCTTCACTCTAATTCTTTGACGGTTGTCCAAATCAATGCCATTCTGTTTCCCCACAGGCAAATCTCATTTGTTATCACTCTTCCAAATTTAATATCCTAGCTTAGTCATTTGTTGCATGTGTCAATTTTTGATTGCAAGTAGTTTATAGTCTCTAAGTATCCTCCAATATTGTTAAAAAAGGTATTCTGCCTTGGGCAGCACTAAGACATCAACATTCACCTGTAGGACCTAAGGACCTAGGACCCCCACACATAAATTCTATGCCTGAATAGCATCCTGTTGCATGTCCAAGATTTTCAAAAGATTAGTTGAAACCCACATGATTTTAATTTCCATAATCCTGTGATAATTCAATGTTAATGTATGTTAATTATAATTAGTTTTTTTTTCTATTTGCCCAGTGCTACGGATATTAACCCAATTGCTGCTCAGTGTGCATTGCAAACAGCTAAGGAGAATGGCGTGAATATTTGCACTGTCATTACTGACTTGGTAAGCCAGTTAGTCCATTTACCCCCAATAGTGGCCATTAAAAGGGAAAAATTTACAAAAATATACATTTTCCTTGTTTGTCTCACTTGCCTTAGCTGTGAGACTAAAAATGCAAGCATTTCTTTCCTTTTTTTTTCATGTGTGTGTGCTGTGTGTGTTTCAAAGTTAAAGCGACAAATAATCTTGCCAAAATGCTGTCTAGAAGAAAATTTTCAATCTTTCCATTACTACTACTATGTGTTTAACAATGCACTTTGCACTCCATTTAAATTAGTTTTTTTTACATGTTTGATATTTGCCTTTCCAGGTGGAATGTCTTGTTCCACAAATTCTTGGAAGAGTTGATGTATTGATATTTAACCCGCCTTATGTTGTTACACCATCTGAGGAGGTATGACAAGGTTTCTATTTGTTAGAACTGTTTGTTTTAAAATTCATGCATTATTTAAAGTGTGTATTTCATTATTTTTGGCTTTTTAGGTTGGAAGTCATGGTATTGAAGCATCTTGGGCTGGAGGGAAAGATGGAAGAGAGGTAAAGATGGACAAGATAAAAAATCATTCGTAAAAATACAGTACATGAAACACATTGTGATAAAAAGCTCCAGGCGGGGGTCTAGAAGGGTCCAACCCTCTTGCCTTTTTTACCTTGCATTCGCAGGTGACTGGGTGGACTTGGGTTACTAAGGTGACTAGGGTAACTAGAGCGACTTGGTTGACAAGGGTGAGTTGGGTGACTACATGTAGGTTGACTAGGGTAACTTGGGTGACTTGAGTGACTTGGGTGCTTACGGTGACTAGGGTGACGATGGTGACTGGGATGACTTGGGTGAGTAGGATGACTTGGTTAACTAGAGTGACTAAGCTGACTTGGGTGACTTGGGTGACTAGGGTGACTAGAATGACTTGGGTGACCAGGGTGACTAGGGTTACTAGGGTGACTTGGGTGACTAGATTGACTTGGGTGACTTGGGTGACTACTGACTGAGGTGATTCGGGTGACTAGGGTAACTGGGGTGATTTGGGTGACTTGGGTGACTAGGGTAACTTGGGTGACTAGGACGACCAGGGTGACTGCAGTCACTTGATTGACCAGGGTGACTGGGGTAACTGGAGTGACTTGGATCACAAGGGCGACTTTGGTGACAAGGGCGACTATAATGACTGAAGGTGACTAGGGTGACTGGTGTGACTATGGTGACTTGGGTGACTTGCACGACCAGGATGACTTCTGCAACTTGGGTGACTAGGGTGACTTGGGTGACTGGGGTGACTAGGGTGACTAGGCTGACTAGGGTGACTTAGGTAACTGGGGTGACTTGCATGACTAGGGTGACTTCTGTGACTTGGGTGACTAGGGTGACTAGGCTGACTAGGGTGACTTAGGTAACTGGGGTGACTTGCATGACTAGGGTGACTTCTGTGACTTGGGTGACTAGGGTGACTAGGCTGACTAGGGTGACTTAGGTAACTGGGGTGACTTGCATGACTAGGGTGACTTCTGTGACTTGGGTGACTAGGGTGACTAGGCTGACTAGGGTGACTTAGGTAACTGGGGTGACTTGCATGACTAGGGTGACTTCTGTGACTTGGGTGACTAGGGTGACTAGGCTGACTAGGGTGACTTAGGTAACTGGGGTGACTTGCATGACTAGGGTGACTTCTGTGACTTGGGTGACTTGTGTGACTATGGTGACTTGGGTGACTGGGGTGACTTGCACGACTAGGGTGACTTCTGTGACTGGGGTGACTTGGGTGACTAGGGTGACTAAGGTGACTTGGGTGACTGTGGTGACGAGGGTGACTGCAGTGACTGCAGTGACTAGAATGACTAGGGTGACCTGGGTGATTATGATGACTAGAGTGACTAGGGTGACCTTGGTGACTTTGGTGACTAAGGTGACAGTGTTATCCCCTACTCTCTAGGTTCCTTTAAAATTAAAAGTGTGTTGAAGATAGGTTTTGATGAGGGAATTTGAGGATATTTAATGGTGAGGATGATATTTAAGTGTTGCATTTTTTTTAAAGCAAGCAAGAAATCTATGCACTTCTTATGGTGGTCAATTCTATAGACTCGCCCTATTTTGTTTTGCCTTAGGTTATGGATCGCCTGCTTCCACTTGTTTCCACACTTCTGTCCAACTTTGGTTGTTTTTATCTGGTGACTGTAGCTGAGAATAAACCAGGTATATACTGTGTTGATTAGAATTTGGATCGTTGTTTTTATTATTATTTACGCTGAACTTGCCGAAGGTGCAATAATAATTATAGCACCCATATCACTTGGCGCCCATTGCTAACTCTTTCCTTTTCTACCCATTTGTTATAGATCATTGTTATTTCTTTTCGTGGAGGCAATTTTTTTAATGTATTTTTTCCGAAAATAGAGGCTCTTGATATGTCAAAAAATCGCGTTTCAGGAAATTGCATTTTGCGCACGTCTTGTCAAAATTTGGGTTACAGCTCGTAGGTCAGTAGTAGACGGGTTCATAGCCTGCGCGTTCGCTCTGCCTGCCGGGTCGCGTAGGGGAGGTCAAGGCAGAAAATTGGTGGAGAGCCGACCCCTCTTTTTCTCTCCACCATCATCAAACCCCAAACCAAGTGAAAAGTTCTGAGAGAGAGGAAGCTTGCTTTCGAGCGAGCAGACAGGCTATTTCCACACCGTTTCGTTTAAATTACCATTTTAAAACACTATTTACATTAGGACGCTTCGCCAGAAGAATAGCTGTAAATGCCTTTTGAGCAGGCGACTGGCGACTGGATCATCAAGAAACAAATAATTTGAATAATCAAAACAGCAAGTGAGCAAGTGCTTCGCACTTTTGGTAAATTTATTTTCCGTTGCTGCACAACTACGATAGACAATTTTCTAATTTCACGTTTTATGGAGGATGTAAACACAACATATCTTCAGAAAAAGTCTCCGTCGTTCAAAGTGTGAGTTAATTATAGCAGTCAAGTCTGAAACAATGTGAATTCGGGTAGTTTCTTAGTGCTGCTGACGGGTGCAATCACCAAATGACTCAACAGAAAAGATTGAAAAGACAATGAACAACACCCACACCACAGCGTAGCTTGCGAGCAAGCTCTCCGGGGCTCTCTGGCAGCGGGGCGGGAAAAGGAAGGAGAGCTCGCAGCTGTGTCTTTGAAATTTGAATTCCACCTCGAATTCCCCTGTAGCTTCCTGTAGAGTGAGCTATCAGATTTCCCCCAATCAGCGCGAAGCGGAAACGATCGCGACTGTAGACAAGCATTGAAAAACACGTGCTAAGGGTAATGACGTCATTACTAATGTCATCTTTGCCAATCAGCATTTCGCATCGACTTTTTGATGTAGATATTCAAATTCCAGAGACGCACAGTAGTTGCAAGCTCTCCTTCCTTTCCCGCCTTGCTGTCAGAGTGCCCCGGAGAGCTTGCTTGCAGGCTAACCACAACGCAAAAGAGGACCAACTATGGTTTATGCAACACCAAGAAAAATCCCAAATTTCTCTTTAAGTGACTTCTCGATGCCGTTGCCTTTGTGGTGACTTAGGTAATTAAATGATGATGATGTTGATCTGTAAACCTTTCTTTTATTTTCAGCTGAGATCATTAATTTATTAAAATCCTATGGATTACATGGTGAAGTTTCCTTGACAAGAAAGGCTGGAAGGGAAAGACTCTCGATTCTGAAATTTACAAAGCAGACGGGAGGGAATTCTTTGAGATAACAGGTGATAATTCTTTCTAAGTAAAATGTATTGTTTGTTTCAAAGATACAGAACACCTATGAGGCTAACCATTTGATTTGTTTACGAGACACCGAACTGAAATTTCGTTCCCGTACAAACCATTCCGGAATGAGTTCATTCCGGTTTTCAATCCGAATGAAATTGTCGTTTTGGTAGGAAATTTCATTCTGTTATCTTGTAAACAGTTGACGAACTGGATTGAAAATCGCATTTATCGTGTAGTCTGGGGCGATTGGTGAATGCCTATCTGATGAGATCTGGCACGTCGTGCTGCGTGGGAAATTTGATTCAACCAATCAGAAGCACTACCCAGTTCTGGGTAGTGACGCGTCATCAGTATGGAATTTCTGCGCTCGTTTCTCAGACGTCATTTCGCGGGGAAACCGGGGAAACCAGTGGTAGCACCGCGAAATGCCGGCTGTTTTCTCAGGTTAAAGTGCATCACACTTTTGTTACATTTTTTAATCGTCCCTGTACAACTACCGGACGACAAATTTCTTACTTTCGCATTAGATGTTGAACACTAAAGAGAAAAAGGCGATTTTCACGTTTTCTTTTTAGACCTTGGCGGCAAGCAATGTAAGAATTCCACTTCAGGAAAATTTCGCCCATATTTGATAGCTTCAGCTATTTGTGATATAATTGCGATGATTTGAAAATTCATTTGATAAGTTTGCGCAACTGTCGCCATCTTGACATCCCAAACTTCCCAATCTCGTGACGGCTAATAAGTTTCTATACCAATGAGCCATTCAGACATTTATACGAACCCACAGTTCTGTACGAAACAATTCAAAATTCCTTGAGTATGATATTAAAGATAAACTGGCGTGGGAGTGATGTTTTGAAACAATATGTTCACACATAGATGCGTCTCATTGTAATTACGAATTTCAGGGAGGAAACACATATTATAGTCTCATGCATTAATCAAAATGAAATATTATGCTAGAACGAGAGTGCACAGAAAAACTTTGTGATTCGTCCCAGCACTTAATCTTGTAGTGGCATAAAATTTCGCTGGAGAAAGATCGATCGAGGTTACAGCGGTTGTTAAGTAGAATTGAGCCATATAAGCAAGTGGGAAACGCGGGTTTTGACCATATTGTGAAGAAGATTGCCCGTCTAAATTTGGATGAACGTTGGCTAAATGGTGCTTTAGGGATTAATGCACGATATAACAGTTTATTGACAGGGAATTGAAAATTTGATTAATTCAGTATTATAAATGAAATGAAAACTTTATTTTTTTTAAGGTTGCAGTTAATGGGGGACACCAAGAGAGAACTAACGACATAAACAAGCATTTCCGTAATAAAATATTGTAAAAAACTAGGTTATATCTACATTTTTTAAATCCTTCATCCTTAAATGTAGAAGGACAAACTATATGAATTATACATCCTCCTAGCACTAGAATTGTCAAAACCAAATATGGTACTTAATTCTTTAGTGCAGTGGCTATGCCATGGATATATATGTACGTATATGTCGGTCGTTCGAATGTCCTGATATTTCTCTTTCGGCAGTTCTTAGATTTCTGGAAAGCTTTGACCGAATTGCAGGCCCTAAGAATTTTATGGAATACAAAACAAATTATTGGGATTTTCTTTTTTTTTTTTTTCTTTTTCTTTCTTTCTCTTTTTTTAATATGAATAATACGTGCTTACGTACTACGTATTTTTTAATGCTCTAATATGAATACTACGTGATCTTAAACTCAATGTGTTCGTTTCCTTTTCATTTGTTTGACTCTTTGGGTTTGTAACGTCAGTAGAAGTTTAAAGCACTGAACTGTTTGCCCAGATGTTTTCTCAGTCTTTTGAAGGCAAATTTTACTGGAGAGGTCATGATCACGTCCCATGCTCGTTTTGGTTCCTTTACATGCAGCAGCCTTTTTTTTCTTCAGTTCTTTAAAAAAAGAAATGGGACAGTTTTACTGGTTTTCGTAATTGTCCCGCTTTGAATTAATATTCACGAATAGGTATTCTGTCAAGCATTAGCCCTTGTAACATTGTGGATTAAGTTTTTGTTGGTGTTCGTCGTGTCACTAGTGCCCGTAGTCAAATACGGAATATCAATATCTAATTTGTGACTACGGATACTTTCTATAAAAACTTCGCTGGAAATTAACTGGTGGTATCTCTTTTGGTTCCTTTTTGCGTGCACGTGATATTAAGGTATGTTTTCTCCTGGGTGTGTTCTTTTATTTTCTTCACTGCCGTAGTTTTCCCGTTAAAAAGATTTGATTTTCACCCCTACGGTATAAAACTTAGCTATCGTAAAAAAGAATTTTTTCCAGTAGTAATTGAAACAATAATTATAAACTTCATTCCAAAATAACTCGATAACCTTCTCATAGGTTTTGCTCAAACTTAACGAATATTGAGGCGGCTATGAAAGGAACAGGCTCCGACCTATGAACGGTTGTGGGAAAAAATCTCCCAGTGCCGAGAAATACGATTTAAGGTAAAACAGGTAATGACGACGTTACGTTGCTGTGAAATAACCGATGTCAATGTAACGCTAATCGTAACAAATTTCATCTTTGTTTAAAACAGCTTTAGTAGTCGTTTCCCTAAATGTTTGTTATTGGCGACATAGTTTATCCTTAAACTAGGGCGGTACTGCCCCTGAAAAATTCAAGGCATTCAAAGTTTTGATTTTCTTGAAGTATTTTTTATTATTTGAGAAGCTACATTATACACTCAACAAAGTGTTAATTCTTTCGATTTCCAGAAATCTCGAAGTAGTTTTAATGACGGTTTATGACCTATACTATACAGATGCAAACTCTGTACCCCTCGTCAAATCCATAGATCGTTTCCACATGACGTCATGGCGGCCATATTGGTGTATAAACCAATGAAGCGGAGGCCATGTTGATGTACCAAAACATCCAGTGGGGGTTGAACCCTTTTCTAATGTAAAAACGTTTCTTTTGTTTCGAGAAATTTGCAAAGGCACTGATCACTTGCGTGAAAACGATCTGTAGTTAAAGTGTCAATCATTTTTATGTTACACTTCTTCAGAACCTCAACAAAATGTTGGAAGGCCAAGATGATCAGTCGTGTCTTGTTCCAGGGATTTCCGAATCATTTCAGAAGCGTTACTTCTACTATATAAACAAGCTTGCGCCAATCACGCTGCTGTTGAGCATTTGGTGTTTTGTATCGAATGCAGCCGTCATCATAGCGTTATTAAGAAGTGGCATCAAGTCCATTCGTCCAGGCCTGTTAATGCTATGCAGTCTCTCTTTCACTGATCTTTTTCGGAGTGCAGTTGTTAGTTTAACGATTTGCGTTTTCAGATTGAAGCACCTTCTCAACAGTCAAGTTTGCCAAGTATACTCGGAAATGGAGACGATGCCACTGTTAAGCGCTTCAGTGATTAATTTCATTTGTACAATCCTAAACCTAACAATTATTAGCATTGATCGATACCTAGCTGTCAAAAGCTTTTCTCAATACAAGTTCCTGGTCACCTGGCATCGCGCGCTCGTCGCTTGTGCAGCAGTTTGGGTGCTGTCCATTACAGCTGGGATTGTTAGGGAACTATCTGGTAAAGAATCAATGCTTACAAATGTCCTGTTACCTGCAATTTCCATCCCTTCAGCAGCAGTCATCACCATTCTCCAAATCATGACAATTCGTCTCCTCCGTCGCCACAACAGGGATCTTGCTGGCATGATGGAGGAAAGTAATGAAGCAAACCCCGTTGACACTGTGAATGCCGCCATTGAGCGCAGACTGAGCAAAATAACAACATACGTCGTGGGTGTATTGGCATTGATTTTCATTCCTTTTGGTGTTACCAATTTTATAACGGTAGTTTCAAAAACAAATTATACAGAGCTTCTGCGTCCTGTTCTTACTCCTCTGTTTATTTTGTGGTCAATTATAAATCCAGTGTTGTATTATCGTGGAAACGAAAATGTGAAGCAAGGAGTACTTGGGCTAGTTAAACTTGTTAAATGTAAGCAAGCAGTTGTTAGTTAGATTACTTCCTGTTTTTAACTCCAGAAGTAATGGTATGAGATCTGATATAACGTACGGAAATGAGGGCAGAGGTACTTATTGAAAAAGTCAGCAGTCAGTCAATCAGTCGTTCAATCAGTTGGTTCATCGATCTGGATAGTCGGCTGGTAGGTTGGTCATTAATCTGTTAATTTTGTCAGTCAGTCCAACAGTTACAAAATATAGTTAGCCAGCCAGGACAGTCAGCCAGTCAGTCAGCTTGTCAGTCAGTCACTCAGACAGTCAGTCAGTCAGTCAGTTTCAGCTTCAGTTTCATCTTCAGTTTATTTATTTGCCAGAAAAAAATTCATATACATACGGACATTCAATAAATTACAAAAATGTTATGATTAAAGAGACGTGAATGGGCCACTTCCGAGTTCCAAAAACCCTCACTTTCAAAATGAGGCTAGGTGCACAACCTTTCTTGTGAAAATGAGTATTATTTGCATGAGAATGAAAAATAATTTCCATATCAAAGGCTGAGCCCTTACCCTCGTTTTCAAACAAAGGTCCGGGGGAACTCGAAAATGGCCTATTATAAGTAAAAGAATTAAATGAGTTTATTTGGAACCAAATAAAAAATTTTTTGTCTCCCCTTCCAATTTCTTTTATATATGGATTTTTGGGGGGTGGGGTCGATTGCGGCATCAAAGGCTTAGAGGCTCTCGCATGTGAACTTTGAATTATCTTACAATAGTTTACGATCGCATGAGAATCATAAGACGAAAAGTAAAATTACTTTTGGGTAATAATCACGAGCTCCTATGATAAGGCCACTTGCAGTAACTTTACTTAGCCTCGATCTCTTTATCTCGCGGAGACCCTCTATAAGAGGGTGTTACCTTTCGTTAATCCTCTCGGTCTGAAAGCTGACGTCAAGCCGAATCTTCGATAGCTGACCCGCTTATCCTTTGAACAAGCAGCTCTCCTTGGGAATTCAACACAACAAACGTCAAGTATATCTCATTTCCTTCTTGTTTTCAACTGTTTGCTGTTATGGATAATACCCCCAATGGGGCCTCCCTAACCGAAGACTAAATATAAAAAATGAATAAGCGGCGAAATCATACTGAAATATAATTAGGATAAAAAGGAAGCAAATCAAAACAGACAAAAAGCAGCAAAAGACAAGTATTATTTCCGAATGGTGAATCAGCTAAAAAAATTGTTTTTAATCTGGATTTAAGCCTACGGCTTCGACGGATAACACCCTCCTTGATCTCCATAATTCTTCAAAAGATACTCAGCCTCTTTCACTAATTGTTAAATAATTTATTAATTTGCTATCGCACCTTTTAACATGTAAATGATCAAAAGCAGTTAAAAGCGCTTTTTACCGTGTTGCACGTAGTCATGTTTTTGTTTTAATAAGGTTAACAGTATATTTACGTTACAGACGAAACTTTTGCCTCCTTAACGCACGCTTCCTGGTTCAGCCAGCTTAAGGAAAGGTTAAAAAGGAAAAATCAATAAGTTTACATCCGGATGAGGATTATCTCAGTTTTTATCCATGTACCTGCACTACAGGAACGGCGACATGCCATTTGGACCGTACTGTCCAAATGGAGGTTTCATCAGTACCTTTGATGCCCAATGATTCTGATCCGGATTGTCCGAAGGAAAGCGGCTTTAATAAACAAAACGACAATTCTGTACGTTCATGACACGTTTTGGTTTTCTTTAACCGTCCCAAATTTCGCTATGCAAGGAGCATACGAAACACACAAGGACGAAATTTTCTTTCTCTTTTTTGACTTGGATACTTCTTTATAGTGCCACCTTCAGGGCATTTCGCCTAGATTTGACGACTTCAATTCAGATAGCTGAGATGAAAATAATTGCGATGAAATTTGAAAAGAACGCTAAGTTTACTTGGTAGGTTTTTGCTACCTGTCGCCATCGTGATGTCTAGTTACCTGATCTCGTGACGGGTAATGAGTTCTGTGCAAATCATCCATTCACGCGCTTTTCGTATTAAAGAAAACGCCAAGAATAAATCAAAATTCCTTAATTATAATATTAAAGAAATTGCCGAAGGAGGGAAACTTCCTGTGAATATGGTCATACATATATACATCTCGTTGTGGTTGCAAGGAAAAACATGTTACAAATTCTCGTGGTGAGGTGGAAATGAAAATGTGATTGAACGACCTTCTGCAGACCTCGTTTCCTTAAACCATGTGCCTATGACACAAAATTCGCTTTAATAAGCAAGACGGATTGAAAAGTAGGTTGTCTTATACGTGAGCAAATTGAATTCTCCCCTGGTGAGTCAGAGAGCTTATATTGTTTTTGTTATCGAGGCTACAGCGGTTTTTAATCATTAGAATTGAACTGATTAAGTCAGTACTAGGTAACGTGGTTTTTGACCAAAAGGGAGGACGATTTCGGGTTTAAATATGGATGCGATGATAGTTTGGCTAAATAGAATTGTAAGGCATACACTAAGATAGTTGATACTTTGTCCATAAGGAATTGAAAGTTTTATAATTATTTTCGTGTATTCGTAACTGCTTTGCTTACTGAATACTGCATGATCTCAAGCCAGTCTTTTCCCTTTATTTTTATTTTTGTTTTGACTCTGGGTTTCTAAAACGTATATCCAAACAAAAATCATAGTTGCATTCTTACTTTTTGAAGGCAATTTTAGCTAATTTTCTTTCCCCTGTACTGTTTCGTTTACGTGCAACAGCTGTTTGCATATGTCGTTGTTTTTAAATGGAACAGTGTTTCTAGTTTACATAAATGCTTTTTTGATTTTATCACGAATTAGTAGTCTGTCAAGAATTTCCCCGTGGTGACAATTTGTGCTAATTTTTCTTCCGTGGTCGTCACACTGCTGGTTACACATAGTCCTAGCACGGAATAGCGACTGGTCATTCTGTCTTGCTCGTGGTTACGGTAACTCTCTACAAAAACTGCATTTTTTAAAAAAAATAGGTGGCTGCTTCTATTTGCGCGAACGTGACAAAAATATTGGCCTCTTAAAAGATCATGTAATTAAGGTAGGAATTTTTTTTTTCTCTGTTATTTAATTTTCTTAACTAAGACAATTTTTAACCGTTAAAAAAAGGTATAACTTACGCTTGACTTTCACGCGAAAGGTATACAACTGAACTTTGTAAAATAGTTTTACTGAAACAAATAACAACCTCGCATGTTATGTTGGTTACAAAATTGTCGTATGTCGGAATAATTCATCAGGACAAATTGGATGTTCCCAAATTTATATTATCCTCTTTTCTAGTTAGAAAAGAGCAACAGAAGTTAAACGTGAAAATTGGGGTTCTCCTATAGTATTTTTTCACTATATTGTCTTTGTGCTGCGGTTGGTCGCTTGAATTTAGTCCTTCGATGAATTCGACAGAAAAAAACATATATTTTACACGTTAGTAAAGGGAATTTTTCTTGCAGCATTTTGTTGTCTAGCTACCGGTGTTTATTTTTCGTCGTGTTTTTAAAAATGTGCAACCTATTTTTATGGTTATAGCATTCAATTTCGCTTCCACCCGGAGGCCATGAGATACGTATGTGGCGAGAAGAATGAAATGTAATTTTCAAGCTGTTGCTGGGACACCAAGACGAGAAAACTTTCAATTGTATCTTACCGAATGGTTAAATTTATACCCTTTTTTATCTTCTTTCACACCATCTATGGTCGTGCTATTGCTTAACCAGCCAAGCTACGTAAACGGTAGAATAAATGCGCACTATATTCAGCAGAATATTTCATTCGTTCTACGCTCCTACAGTATTTGATTTAATAACAATAGTATTACGATTTATTGCGTTTATCGCTGATAATATTTGATAGTACGAGCGGCTCTCCATAATTTTACTCTCGCTGTTGTTTTATTTTGTTTACCGTTTCATATCACAGCAAATGAACCTTTGTTTTCCCCATGGTCTTTTCTATTTTAATTAACGCCAGTTTAAACAAAATTTGTAGGTTTGCAAACAAACTGGCACCAAACTGAGGTAAATGTATTATTTTAAAATTAACAGCTTGTTGCCTCGTCTTAAATCATAAAAAATTAACACTGAAGCCACATACAAAATTTACGTGTGTAAACCTCGAGCGTGGAATATAAAATGACGCGAAAGACGTTTGTCCGCCGGAGGCTATTATTGTCTAACAAGGGATATTAACTAAGCCTTGGAAATAGTACGTATTTTTCGCCAATGAAGCTTATTTGTTTTACGTACCAGTTTAAAACATAAACATAGACAATATCAAAGTTAAACCTTCGTTAGAAAAGAGGACACTGAAAAACTATTAACACATCAAAACTATCACGATAAATTGCTTGTCTGGGAAAAAATCTTAAGCTGTATTTCAGGACGAAGGAAACAAATTGAAAAAAAGAAAAAGATTGATTGAAATTAAAGAGGGAAAGAAGCTGAAAAAGCTTTTCGTGCGTAACGAAAGCTTAAAAGGAAAAACGTCGGATTTACGCGTGTACGGAAAAGATTAATTGGCTGTCAATTAGAAGTAAAATTAAAGTTTTGCTCAATTTCAGGTGTTTGAGAATGGTAAGAAACACTTTTGCGCGTTGAGGAAGACGATTAATTTAAATACACACAACAAACTTGCACGTACTGGGGAAAGGTTTTTATAAAAAATATGCTTTTGCGCGTATATTTAAAGGATATTTTGACATTTATTAGCAAACAAAGTTAATCATCTCTCGAAAAAATTGTTAATAATCTCTCGAGAAATTGGGACCAGTAGCATGTAATAAGAGAGATAGCCTCCGATACCCGAGCGAAACCACTAAAACCTATTGATATCGCAGAATGTATTGCAGGCAAATAAATTTATTTAGCTCAGGGCCTTCTTAAAAATAATGACCGAGCGCGAAGCGAGGGGTTGTTATTTATAAGAAGGCCGAGGAGAGAAGGCATTCTCCGAAGTAATACACTTTTCCATTGCTTTCAACCAGCAGGTCATTATTGTGGCCACTGAAGTGGAACAGTAGGTTATTATTCGTAAAAATGACCTCCTGTTCCACTTCTAATCAGTGACCTACTCATCCATTTATTGATAATAATAATAATAACGTGTTCAAAACAATGCAAAGGTGCATAAAGAGACTATAAAAACCTTATGGTCCCTTGTGGTAGGTGAATTTCATTTTTTGAAGTCAATGGAAAACCAACATATTTTATCCTTTTACAGTTTCACAGAGGTTGACTTGTTGGGCCCTAAAGCTGACTAGTCTGCTGTATTAGAAGGGACGTGCTCTAGAATCATGGGAAGTCTTCAGTCAAGAGTTTGTATTCCTGGAGCAGCATTGGTGGTACTATTTTCTGTAACAGCCGTGTTGCTCAACGGTCTTCTCTTGATTCTGCGGTGGAAAGATCCAACGAAATCTCTGCGATCGACAGCAATGCTGTACTTCGTTTTTTTGTCTGCGTTCCATGTCCTGTATGGCGCCTGCGCTGGAACAGCGGCTGCAGAGAGCTACATAACATGCGCACTGGGTGGAAGTGACTCACCCCACTTGGAAAGAAACTTTTCCAGAATATGTCTAACGTTTTTTATTCGCGCAGAAAACTTTCTTATCCTCGCTTTTGCTGTTGAACGCCTAGGAAGCATTGCTTTTCCAGTTCTCAATCGGCAAGAAAGTGATAAAACCAAAAATGCTTCGTTTTGCTTGGTGTGCATCTCACTCTTCTCGTTGTCTTTTTCTGTCTTTGATATTTTTGAAGGAAAATTCTGGGTACGCCGTTTGGACGTGCATTTAAACAGTATCATTCCACTTATAGTAAGTGTAGTTTTAACCTTAATTCTGTGGAGATCACTTCGAAAACTACGCCTGCCGTCAACAGACTTAGAAGACAACAATGGCATTTCCTCTGAGAGAACCGAAGAAAACGTAGCCTTAGCAAGAAGTCTAAAGGAACAAATGCCTCTAGCTCGGGCATTTATTTTTATAGCATCGCTGTACTCCATTTCTGTGATTACCTACTTCGTTATTTCATTGATTGAAGTGTATTGTTCGGAGTGTTGGAGAAGGGAGTGGTTTTTTGCGGCACTGAGATTTTCAATCGCGATGCACTTTATGCATTTATCAGTCAGCCCACTGGTTTGTTTTGTTTTTCTACCGAACCTTCGAGCAAGATTCAGAATCATGTTTTGCGGCAAACGAGGAGAAGAAAAGATCGAAATGGAAAATCTCCATCACAATAACAAGAAGCTTGGAACTGTTCCTGTTATATACCTCTAACCCTCCAAGTTATACGCAATGCAAATATTCCAAATCTTCATTGCTGATTTACCTGCGAGGAAAGTTGCTGTAAAGACCACGACTCTTTCTATATAGTTCTCGTAACTCTAGATGACCTTTGTGTACGAGTTATCAAACAGTCATTTCAATCAGAATTCGGTTATTTCTAGGATTTTATGGGTGAAAGATTAATTTGAAAAACTGTGGCAGCCTATATAACTATTAGGTAATTCAAGAAACCATGAAGAGAAACGTGAAAATGGCATATTTTTCAACGTTGGCGGTCTCTGAAGTATGTAAAAACGTGCAAGACGCCTGACGTTTTCCTTTCTCGTTGTAAACTGGAATGCATTCTTTGGGTTTTCAGCCCCACTTGACAAATTTAGGGAGTTGTAATGATCGCGATAAAGTTTTAACGAACGCGAATGCGCTCAGTCTATAAGGGTTGTTTTTGCTGCTGTCGCCGTAGACTCCTTGATTTAGTGGCCCTTTCCGGGGTTTGAAGAGCTTCTTACGAAACGTTTTTTAGTGCATCGCATTTTCTCGAATGAATGTTCGTCTATCGAAAATTCCATAAGTACTTAAAGTTCATCGTCAGAGCACCTCCACCGAACCATTTTCAAATACAGTAGCACCTCGTTTATGGACACCGTGTAATACGGACACCTCAATACAACGGACAGTTTCCTTTGTCCCTTACAAAGAAATCTCATTATTACGAACCGTTTTCTTTGTGCTTTGCGAATCCCGTACACTTTCTCTATATTCAACCCGCTTAACACGGACATCGTTAATGCGGACAAAAGAAACTTTTCTTGCTCAATCATCAGATTCTCATAGAATGTCAACCTCACTCGTGCTGACACTTTATTCGAGTGCGGTAACAAACCTTTCCTTTTTGAAGGTGAAAAAACAACACTGACTGAAAGCATAGCGATGTTCAAATCGCCACAGTACATCTGGACAGGATGTATTGTGCACATCAGGGTTCTATCTAGGATTTATCAATTGAGGGAGAAGTCCTGAGTGGCTGAAGGCCACAAGGTTCCAAGGAGGTCCGGGGGTATGCCCCCCAGAAATCTTTTGAAATGAATATGCGCTGAGATGCAATGTGGTGCATTTTGCGACACAATTTTGAGAAACGTTACAGTGTGCTCACTGATCTCGTCGAGTCTGGATGATTTTTCCGATATAGTTCCTTGTATACTGTAATAGCTTTTGCCCCTCAAATACCCTAGAAAGAACCCTGGACATCAATTTCAGACCATTTTGAAATCAGCTATACAGAGAATGGTTTATGATTGAGAGTAATGTAATGAGTGGCTTTTTAGTGTTCCATAGAATTTGATGGCTTTATGGAGGCTCGAGAGATGTTTGATTTGACGATGCTTAAGTCCTGTTGAATTTTGCTAAATAAATCATCTGTATAGAAAACAAGCCTTTCTGGGGTTTTTAATCATAACAATTTGGATTTTGTCAGAAACGTCAACCTTTTTTGTTGTTTTCATCATCTAGACAAAATGAGGCAAATAAGGTGTTTTTGAAAGCTCTATATCGAAAGAAGGCCGCCATGCAATATCCATTTTTACATACAAACATGGACTTGAGAAAGCCGCAAATTTGCATTTTTTCCAAAGGGTTTAGCCCATAATTTTTCTCAAAAACTTGAAATTTCTTCATTTTTTCTTTTTAGGAAAAATGAGCCAATGAAAGGTTTCTAAGAACGATCTATATAATTAGTAAGTTAGCCTTTCTAAACTCTAAGAACATCGATTTAGGAAAGTCGGGAAATTTGCCTTTTTTCAAAAGGGTCCATGGTTTTTTTGTCAAAACTCCGAAATTTCTGTATCCTTTTCTTCAGTCAAATTGAGGAAGGAAAAAGTGTTCGGGTAAGTTCTATTTAGAAAACAAGCCTTTCTATACGTTGATTTTAGAAAGTCGCAATTTTGCATTTTTTCAAAAGGGGTTTGTCCATGGTTTTTATCACTGAAAAATTTGATATTTCTTCATCCCTTTTTTGGCAAAATTAGCCTGGAAAAAGAGTTCATGAACCTTCTGTATCAAAAAACCCCATTCGAGACTTATAAAAACATGAACTTAATTTACATTTTTCCAAAGGGGTTTTTGTCAAAAATTTGAAATTTCTTTATTCTTTCTTTTTGGGCAAAATGAGCCAAGAAAAAGTCTTTATGAACGTTCCATATCGAAAAAATGCATTTCCAGACTATAAAAAAAATGCCATTTAAGAAGGTCACAAAACTTGCATTTTTTTCAAAATGGCACGTCCATGGTTGCTATTTGGCAAGGAAAAATTGCTGGCTACCTCCAGAAAACAAGCCTTCTTGACTCTAGGGTGCGTGTTAAGTTTAGTCCTTGGCCTTCTTCAAGCAATTTTCGGTTGATGTAAGTGGAAGTGCACTTATTCAAAACTGCAGCTCTTATCTGGTTGTCGGTATCAGTGCAAAAATCACAATCACAATCTTTGAACTGTCTCACGGGTTTTGCGTGATCCGATGAAAAGTCTGGCGGGCGAATGCTGAGTTTACCTGTGGCACGAAATAGGCGATGAGAGCTTCAACAGCACTGGCGTAGTTTGTAGCATCCCCGGTTTCAGTTAAGGTGGTAAATATCTCCTGTACATCAGGCCCAGCCAGGTGGATAACATTGCTCTTCGCCTCTGTTTAGTTGCTGCTGTGGTTCCTTCGCTTATAATAAGCCCGTTCCCGTCGGTGTACAGTTCGAATGAAGTTAACCACCTCGTCCATCGGGGGCCAATCGTCGCTGGATCAGAGAAACAATCAAACTTCGGTAACACGTTCTTTTCCATTGTTTTGTCCTCGTCGCCAATGTAGTGATCCCAACAGTAATAAAGTATCCAAACAAACAGATTTAACTCAACCAATTTCATTGCAAACGTAATATGGCCGCCGCTATCAAAAGCACATGGTTTTTCCTATCCCAGCATACTTAGCGGCCTGATACATTACAGCACCCAAAATATGTTATTAGACGGCAAATATTTCTGTTAGTGCAAACGTCCGTCAGAACGTTTGAAGTAAATTACTTTCACATAACGTAAATGCATCATGGTGGCTACCAGCGATACGTTTTTAAAGGCGCCCTATGAAGCCACATAGGGGCAAATATTATTCGCTGAGTAAGCAAGAATTCTAAATTCTAAGAAATAATACTTGACGATGTTTTAGACGGAAAAGAATGGTTTCTCACCTATAAAAATAAGCATTTCCGATGGTCGCAAAATTTTGGTCGAAAAAAATTGAATCTTTTTCAATTTTTGTTTTTGGAAAAAACAACCTAGAAATAATAATTCTGAAGATTTCGATAGATAAGGACGGTTTCTAGCCTTTAAAAATATGCACTTCAAATTTGCATATTTTCCAATAAGATTAACCCATGACTTTTTTTCATTTTCTCTTTTTAGGGAAAAATCATCTTGAAATAATGTGTTCAGATCTTTTCGATAGAAAAGAATCGAATATAGCCTAACAAAATAAGTACTTCAGATAGTCCCATTTCTGCATATTTTCCGAAGGGCTTAACCTATAATTTTGGTCAAAAATTTGATTTTGTTCAATTTCTGTTTTGGAGCAAAATGATCTTGAAATTCTGTTTGGGGATCCTTTCGACAGAAGAGAATCCTCTTAAGCCCATAAAAATAGCCACTTCAGAAAGTCGCATTTTTGCATATTTTCCGAAGGGGTTAACCAAGGATTTGGGTCAAAAAGATTTATTTTTTTCATTTTTTGTTGAGCAAAAAATGGTCTTGAAATTCTGTTTAGGGATCTTTTCGACAGACAAGATCGTTTTAAGCCCACAAAAATAACCACTTCACATAGTCGCATTTTCCAAAGGGGTTAACCATGATTTTGGTACAAATAATAAATATCTGTTATTGGGCAAAAAGGATCTTAAAATAGTATTTGGATATCTTTTCAATAGAAAAGAATCGATACAAGCCTATAAAAATATGTACTTCAGATAGTGGCATTTTTTGTATATTTTCCAAAGAGGTTAACCTATGATGTTGGTAAAAAGGCATTTTTTTTCCATATTTTTGTTTTTTGGCAAAACTATAAATCTTGACATAATGTTTGGATATCTTTTCGACAGGAAAGAATGATTTCTAGCCTATAAAAATTTGCACTTTAGATGGTAGCAATTTTGCATACTTTCCAAAGGGGTTAACCTATGATTTTGGTCTAAAAATGGCAGTTCTTTCATTTTCTGTTTTTGGGCAAAAATGATCTTGAAATAGTGTTTGGGGATCTTTCCGACAAAAAAGAATCGTTTCTAGCCTATAAAAATATGCACTTCAGATAGTCGCATTTTTGTATATTTTCCCGGGAGTTAAACCACACAGACAAAAATAGCTTTTTTTTTCATTTTCTGTTATAATAGAGTTTTCTGTTATAATATGTTATAATAGAGTTTAGAGATCTTTTCCATAAAAAAGAACTGTTTCGAGCCTATAAAAATATTCACTTCAGGTAGTTGCATTTTTCCAGATTTTCCGAAGGGGTTAACATGTGATTTTAATCAAAAAACGGCATTTTTTTCATTTCCTGTTTTGGGGCAAAAATAATCTTGAATTAATGTTTTAGGATCTTTTCAATCGAAAACAATCATTTCTAGGCTATAAAAATATTCACTTCAGGTAGTCGTATTTTTTTTTCATATTCTCCAAAGGGTTAACCCATGGTTCAGTCAAAAAATGACATTTTTTTGTTTTCTGTTTTTTGGCAAAATTGATCTTAAAATAATGTTTGGGTTGTTTTAGATAGAAAATGGAATTTTTTATTTTCTGTTTTTGCGCAAAAATGATCTTGAAATAGTGTTTGGTGATCTTTTCGATAGCAAATAATCGTTTCTTGCCCTTTAAAATCAGCCCTTCAGATTTTTCTGGTCGCATTTTTGAATATTTTCCAAAGAGGTTAACCCATGATTTTGGTCAAAAAATGGCAATTGTTTCATTTTTGTTTTTGGGCAAAAATAATCTTGAAATAGTTTTTGGACATCGATCGATAAAAAGAGAATCGTTTCTAGACTATAAAAATATGCACTTCAGATGTAGTCGAATTTTTGGATTTTTTCCAAAGAGGTTAACCCATAGTTTTGGTCAAAAAATTGCATTTTTCTTAATTTTCTGTTTTTAGGCAAAAATAATGTTACAACAGTATCTGGGGACCGTTTCCATAAAAAAGAATTGTTTCTAGCCGATAAAAATATTCACTCCACTTAGTCGCATTTTTGTATATTTTGCAAAGGGGTTAACCCATGATTCTGGTCAAAAAATGGCATTTTTTTATTTTCTGTTTTTGAGCAAAAAGAATCTTGAAATAACGTTTGGGGATCTTTTGGAGAGAAAACAATCGTTTCAAGGTTGTAAAAATATGCACCTCAGATAGTCGCATAGTTTCATATTTTCCATAGTGACCCATGACTTTGGTTTTTTGGGCAAAAATGATCTTGGAGTAATGTTTGGGGACATTTTTGATAGAAAAGAATGATTTCTAGACTATAAAAATATGCGCTTTAGTTACTTGCATTTTTGCATATTTTCAAAAGGTGTTAACCTATGATATCGGTCAAAAAATGGCATTTTTTTCTTTTCTTTTTTGGGCAATAATAACCTTGAAATGATGTTTTGGAAAACGATCATTTCTAGCCTATAAAAAGTGTAACTTTAGATAGTCGCATTTTTGCCTATTTTCCAAAGGGTGTTAATCCATGATTTTGGTCAAAAAATTGCATTTTTTTCATTTTCTGTTTTTGGGCAAAAATGATCTTGAAATAATGTTTGGGGGTCTTTTCGATAAAAAAGAATGATTTCTAGCCTATAAAAATATGTGCTTTAGATAGTCGCATTTTTGCATATGATATTTTACCTATGATTTTCGTCAAAAAATGGCTTTTTTTTGCTTTTATGTTTTTGGGCAAAAATAATCTTGAAATAATGTGTGGGGATCTTTTCGATCGAAAAGAGACATTGTTTGTCTATAAAAATTGTTTCTTTAGATAGTCGCATTTTTGCATATTTTCCAAAGGGGTTAGTTAACCCATGATTTTGGTAAAAAAAATCGCATTTTTTTCATTTTATGTTTTTGGACAAAAACAATCTTGAAATAATGCTTGGGGATCGTTTCTAGGTTATAAAAATAGGCTCTTTAGATAGGCGTATTTTTTCATATTTTCCAAAGGGGTTAACCCATGATGGTGGTCAAGAAATGAACTTTTTTTTATTTTCTGTTTGTAAGCAAAAATGATCTTAAAAAAATGTTTAGGGATCTTGTCGATAGAGAAGAGTGATTCCTAGCCTATAAAAATATGCACTTTAGTTACTTACATTTTTGCATATTTTCCAAAGGTGTTAACCTATGATATTGGTCAAAAAATGGCATTCTTTTTTCTTTTCTCTTCTTGGGCAATAATAATCTTGAAATTTTGGGGTGGGGGGAATCTTTTCGATCGAAAACAATCATTTTAAATTTCTTCGTCCTTCCTTTTGGCCAAAAGAGCCAAGAAAACGTGTTTATGAAAAACCTTTCCAAAAAAGTAAAAACATACACTTAACACGGTCCTTAGGAAAAATGAGCGAAGAAGAAGTGTTTATGAACTTTCTATATCGAAAAAACCCTTCCTAGACTAGTAAAAACATGTACTTAACAAGGTCGAAAAATTTGCATAATAGCCCATGGCTTTTGTCAAAAAATTGATATTTTTTTAACGGTTCTTTTAAAGCAAAATGTGCCGAGAAAAATTTTTTATAAATGCTCTATATCGAAAAACCCTTTTCTAGAATAGAAAAAACATGAACTTAAAAAGGTCGCAAACTTTGCATTTTTACGAAGGGGTTAGCCCATTATTTGCTGTTAAAAATTTGAAATTTCCTTATCTCTCCTTTTTTTGGCCAAATTAGCAAAGAAAAAGTGGTGAGCGTTCTATATCGAAAAAACCCTTCCTAGGCTAGTAAAAACATGAACCAAGAGAGGTTAGTCAATGGTTTTTTGTCGAAATTTTGAAATCTCTTCATTTTTCCTATTTTGGCCAAATGAGCCACAAGAGAGATAGTCTGCTACACAGCCGTTTTTAGTGTCGTCACGCAATGCTCCTCCCCACTAGTGGGGAGGAGCGTTGCGTGACGACACTAAAAACGGCTGTGTAGCAGACTACAAGAGAGAATGATCTAGTTCATTTTCTCTTGTGAGCCAAGAAAAAAGGTTTATGAACGTTAAATTTCCAAAAAAAATCCTTTCTAGACTGATAGAGATATGAACTCAAGAAGGTGGCAAAATTTGCATTTTTCTAAGGGAGTTCCTCCACGGTTTCTTGAAAAAATTTTGAAAGTTTATTATCCTTCCTTTTTGGCCAAATGAGCCAAAAAGTGTTGATGGACGTTCTATAATACTGCAAATACCCTATCTAAAATAGCAAAAACATGAACTTAAAAAGGTTGCAAACTTTTACAGAGGGGTTAGTCCATGGTTTCTTGTCAAAAATTTGAAATTTTCTTATCCTTCCTTTTTTTGGCCAAATGAGCTAATAAAAGTGCTCTTGAACGTTCTATATCGAAAAAGCCTTTTCTAGAACAGTAAAAACATGAACTTATTAAGAAGGTTGCAAAATTTGTATTTATCCAAAGGGGTTAGTCCATGGATGTTTGTGATAAATTTGAAATTTCGTCACTTTTTTTTTTTGGCCAAATGAGCCAAGAAAATGTGCTTTTGAACGCTATATTCGAAAAAACCTCTTCTAGACTAATAGAAATATGAATTTAAGAAGATGGCAAAATTTGCATTTTTCCTAAGGGGTTAGTCCATGGTTTCTAGTCAAAAATTTTTGAATTTCTTAATCCTTTTTTTAGATAAACTGAAAGACGAATAAGTGTCTATGATGGAAAAAGACCCTTTCTAGATTAGTAAAAGCATGAATTTAAGAAGGTCGCAAAATACGCATTTTTTTCAAGGGAGTTAGTCCATGGTTTTTGACTAAAATTTTAAATTTCTTTATGCTTTATTTTTAGGCAAAATGTGCCAAGAAAAGGTGTTTATGAACGTTTTATATTCAAAAAACCCTTTCTTGAATAGTAGAAACATGAACGTAAGAAGGTGGCATAATTTGCATTTTGCATTTTTTTCCACAGTTTTTGTTAAAAATTAGAAATTTCTTAATTCTTTCTTTTTCGGAAAAATGAACCAGAAAAAGTTTTAATTTAACTTCTATTTCTAAAAAACCCTTTTTAGAATAGTAAAATCATAAACTTAAGAAGGTGGCAAAATGGGTGGTTTTTGTCACAAATTGGAAATAGGCTAGTCAGTCCATCGTTTTTGAAAAAAATTGCTAATTTCTTTATCCTTTTCTTTTATTCAAAATGGTCAAGGGCAAAGTGTTAGTTACGTCCTATCTAGAAAACAAGACTTTTTCAGACTATAAAAACATACATTTTAGAGGGTGTAATAATTGGCATATTTCACAGCAGTTCCTAGCAATATTTAAATCGGAAAAATGAACGTATGGTAAAAGGAAAATGGCCGAACGACAGGATCCTGATTTCGCGTTTGCCCCCCTTTATTTTCACGGTGACATACAGGACTCGCGATAATATGACACTTTTGGCAGGAAACGAGCCGTTTTAAAACGTAATCCATCACGAAATTGAGTAATTTCAATTTTCAGTGGACAAAAACCTTGTCCAGAATAATTTAAGCAATATCGTATTCTTTTTAACATTTTTCAAGGGCTATTGATATGATTAGTTATCTGTAATAACACCAAAGACTATTCCCCATGGGAGCTTGAGAAAATAAATGTCAAATTTCACAAGAATTGTGAAAACAGAGGTAAATTTCGTTTGAAAGATGTCATTTTGAAATTTGACATTTATTTTCTCAGGCTCTCGTAAGAAATTTTCTTTGGTGTTATTACAGATACCTAATTACATTTATAGCCCTTGAAAAACAAACTTGTGAATGAAGCTGCCAACGATTCCGCCCGGGTTAGCGGGCAAGATCGTAAAATACCGCCCGCTCTCCGAACCAATCAGATTGCCGGATTCCGCCCGCTCGCAAGCTTGGAAAGAATTAAGGCAAGGTGCTTTTAGTCCATGGTTTTTGTCAAGAATTGGGAATTTCTTCATCCTTTCTTTTTAGCCAAAATGAGCACAGAAAATGCGTTTATGAACGTTCTATATCGAAAAAAAAGCCTTTCCAGACTATAAAAAAAGCATGGAATTAAAAATGCCGCCAAATATCTATTTTTTCAAATTGGTTAGTCCATAGTTTTGTCAAAAACTTGGAATTTGTTCATTCTTTCTTTTTAGCCAAAATGGGCCAAGAAAAGTTGTTTATGATGGATACCAAGACAACCCTGTAGGAACTGAACTATTTTCTTGTGTAGAAACGTTCTTTCGTGACATTAAATTAGCATAGATGCTGGTCACGTGAGTGCAAACGCTCTACACGCCAAAAAACTGCCGAAATAAACGCAGCTCGGGTGAGAGGATCATTAACTTTAATCAGTTACTTTTTTGCTGCTTTTCGGTCATTGCAATTAATTGTAACTATGAGGTGAAATTTCATCATATGATGTCGATAATGCCCTCAGAGAATATGCTCGAACCTGACTATCTTTAAGGCGGCTATTAGTGGTAAAAGATTCCGCGATTGATTCCAAAAATTTAATTGCGAGTAAAATTGATACTGACGTTATTACGTTACTAAGTGATATATAAACGGAAACTAAATCAATTTCATCTCTATCTTTTCTAAAACAGCTGAGGTAACCATTTTTTAATGGCCTTGTTTATGTCGACGGAGTTCAGCTGTACAAATTTGAAACTGACAAATTCAAAGCAGTTTTGCAATGAACCGGCTATCAGATCTTTGTTGACCTATAGCACCCTATATCTACACAGTTGTTCGTGTCTTTTTTCTATCAGACCTTTGTTGACTTACTGCACCCTGTATCTACACAGTTGTACGAATCTTTCTGTGCTGTGTACTTTCCTGACACGGATTATCCTAGAATATAATAATACATTTGCAGCTACTTGCTTTGAAAGAAAACTTGCTGGAAGAGAGAAGAGAGCTATAGCTATTCAGACTTCCCAGTTGGAGGCTCTGGATATTAAGAAATATTTGCACTTTTTATTTGCCTAGGATAGGACAGTTTCAAATAACAAAGTATTTAAAAATTTCGCAAACAGCAGGTGGAAAGAGCTAAATGCGGTGTATATGCATGTTATTGTTGACGTTCACCTTGTGTTTCTCTTTCGTGAATAAAAAGACTTTCTTCACTGTGTTTTTCACATTTTCTCGAATTTCTCGACATCGCCAGTAATAAACCACAGGATCTAACGACGAATTCAGTAGAGCCAAGAATACGGCGACGTGATCATATAACAAAAACGAAACCCCTCGCAAATTCTGGAATGTTAACAAAGTAGTGGATGTGAGAACAGGAAGGAAACACGCGAGGAAAACAGCATATACAAATAACGCGTTATAGCAGGCTTTCTTTTCTCGAAGAAGCTCCGCTGCATGGGAATTTTGAAGCTGAAGCTGAGTTTGAATTTGATTCTGGTGATATCTAACTGCTTTGTAGAGATGACCATACGCAACAGTCATTAGTAGGAATCCAGCAAAGTTAGCGACTGCAAATACTGTACGAACATACTGAGGGAGAAGAAGTAGGATGACGGCACCCACCCAGCTTGTTGACCATATCGATACCAGTGCTACAACAACACGCTTGGGAGTCACGAGTTCGCGATATCTGAGGTGAAGCCAAATAGCCAAAAGTCTATCGATTGCAATGGCGGTGATATTCAGAAAAGACGCAGAAAGGAAGCAAAAAATTAAGAAATAACTTGCATTTAAGACTGTTGGGCAGAATGGAATTTCCTCCGTCGATGTCGAGTTCAACATTATCGCGATTAAAACACCAAAGCAGAGTTGCGAAAACAAACCCACAGCCAGATCTGAAAAGGCGAGGCTCAAGAAGAGCTTTTTGATGTTGGTGGTTATCGATGACGCTTCCCATAGGGCACGGATAAGCAGGAAATTTCCAATTACTGCCATCAGCGAAAACACCAGGTTTAAAACACAGAAAATTTTCATGAACTTTTCTTGACGTTCAACAAGTTCCTCCAATTCATGTAGTCTAGACTCACAGAACCTAGAAAACATGTTGAAACTACTGACTGATGACCGTATTCCGATCCGCCACAGCAATATGTGCTTCAGTATACTGTTTTGTCTTGCAAATGACGTTTATGAGCAATTAACAATATATATGAAACAAAGTTAACGCTCCCCCGCATTTGTTTAATAATTGGAATGATTTAATAACCGGTTGTCGCGTATTCGATTTTCAAGAACAGCGCTTGATGTAAACTATCTGAGGGTCAAACTAGTTAGGGTACATTTTTAGCAAATTTAGAAATAACGTTAATTCTTTTTCCTTTTCACTCCGGATTTGAGACTGGCGTTTTTATTAACCCCTCAGGCATTTATATGTTGTATTTTCATGCTATAAGTATAAAAGACGCCAAGAAAACCCTCCGGCAATCTATGTTTGAACTTTGAAACTACGTGCAAAAAAAAATGCTCTTGAAACAAATCAGCCCGTTCCCACCACAACGAATTGGAAATTGTTAACGAAAAAAGTGTTTAATTGATTGCAAAAACGTACGAGTTAAGTAAATAACGTTCTAGACCCAGGTAGACTACTTTTCGGTTAATAGATACCGTGGTGGAATAATGCCAGCTCTGAATGAACAGTGTTCGTTAATCAATTTGTATGCCCCCTTTTCCTGTAAACTGAAAGCAGTCCTTTTATCAAAAACAGTTTTTCTTTGCCTCTCCTCTTCATTTTTACCCTTTTTGCTTAGCAATTTTTTAGCCAGGGGATAGTTTTTAGCCTAACTGTGCCTAACACTTATACCTAATATATTCAGGGGCACCTAATGATGGTTTCCTCCAACATACGTTGAAAAACACTATTGAGGCTATCAAAAGTACTTTAATTATGCATTCTAAGCGGCGCTACAAAAATTTTTAATCTGTTCAGTCATCCTAGGGGAACCTAAGTCTTTTCGAAATTTACAAGGGCTTCAGTATTATTTTCCGGAAAATTTTAGGTGCAATTTAACGTTTCACGAAAGTGAGAATTTTTCTGATCCCTCTCTCCATCACATTTTAGAATCTGAAAATTTAAGGTTTCCTTTTTCTATGAAAAATAGTGTAACCTGGGTAGTAAAATAGAAAAATTAAACTTCAGAAATTCGTAGGGAATTTATTAGATAAGCTTCGAAAATTGTGCATGAAGGGAACGTTTGCCGTGCTCAAGCACAAGAAAATTCTAGGCAACATCCGAACAGATATTTTACATAAAACAGTCGTTGGGTGTCCCTGTATGTTGACCTGAATTGTTTACTTCTATTAATATTCCGTTAAGTTATTGTGAGAGCCTTTTACCTATAAGCCTGGTGGTTTCCCTTAGGCTTCCTAGCCATTAGCTTTTTAATATTCAAGTACTTCATGTTTTGCATTGTGGCAAAACAATGAAGTTGAAATTTTAATTGCGAGCGTGCCCATAACACCGAATAGACCTTGTCACGGTTTTCGACGCCATCTTGACGAGTAGGCAAACGTGTGAGAAATTACAGTGTTCGTATGAGAATCTAATGTCGAATAATTTCCGTAAAACAGTTGTTCTGAAAAAAAATATCAATTATAAACTAAAGCTACAAAGCAAAGGATTGTCCTAAAAATGTTGGGGGCGTACCTGTGCTTGAATTTCTCCAGAGGCTTGATATAGATTTTCCATATATTTGTCTGTAATTTTCCCAGGACTTTCTTACAGTCAAATGTATAGAAAATTTTAAAAAGTGGTTCTAGGTCTTCTAGTGCATGTAAGGCCCTCAAATGTTTTCACGAGAATCCTTAGGAGTGAAGCTTTAGTTTAAAAATCACATTTTTTCAGAACAGCCGTTCTACGGAAATTATTCGACATTAGATTCTCATACAAACACTGTAATTTCCCACGCGTTTGCCCACTTGTCAAGATGGCGTCGAAAACCGTGACAAGGTCTATTGAAAATTCCACACTCTAATGGTAATAAAGTAAGAGTGAAATAAATAAAAAATGATCTAGACCCCGGTAGACTGCTGTTCTGTTAATGGATACCTTAGATAAAAACAACCGGCTCTGACTGTGCATTATTCATTAATTAGTATTTTTGACATATGTTGAAAAAGAGTGCCAACTGCTTTTTTCTCGCCAATGATAGCCAGGTGTTTTTTGAACTGGTCTCGACGAGAAATTTCTTGTAATATGTAACTGGATGGCCACTTGGAGATAGCGTTACAGACTATGTTGGTGTTGTATTGAATGGCACCGTATTAGGGAACGAATTCGGAGCCACTGTCCACGCAACACTGTAATAGCAAGAGTGAGAAAAGCCACTGCTTTCCCAAAAGAACGCCACAGTGCAATTCGACACGTCACACGCAACCCCAAAATAGGCCAATATTTACACCTCATTCGATTGTTGGTTCAATAATAATACTTACCGATTATTGGAGGAAGCTAAGGGCCTGTTTACATGGAGGTGGGGGACCCCAGGTAGGTGAGGTAACCAGCTTAGGTGGGGTAACCCGTTTGTCCATATAATCTCTCATTTTAATTTCATCACGTTTACATCATAGGTGGGGTGACCCGCCATAATTTACCTCACCTATCTGGGGTCCCCTACCTCCATGTAAACAGGGCCCAAGTGTGATCTGAAGAATCGTGAAGATCGAGGAGGATCCGCTGAGACCGAATATCTTTGATCCGCACAATTCTTCAGATCATACAAAGGCCGAACGCAATAATTGTTTTATCATATATTTATTCCAAATAAGTCTTCTAAACATGCTTACCCCGACCGATTCATTTATCTGTTCCACGGCAAATCCAGGACATGAACCAGCATCCTTCAAACAGCAGTTGTCATTCGTCAAGTTTTATTTTTGCTGTTCGTGTTTTTAGGTATTAGTTGGGCGATTTCTTCTTCGCAAAATATGTCAGATTTTCCGCCATTTTCTCCAGCTCTACCGAAACAACTGAGCAAACGCAACCTTAAGTGTCGACAGAGTTTATCGGTTCTCGTCCCCTTTCCTGGCGACATCCTGTACTATTGACGTAATTTTACTAGTGGATATCGCTAACACTATCCACATTTGGTCAACGCTACCTGGCTCTGAAGAATTACCCGGGGGATTTCCTCCAATAAGAAAAGGAGAGATATTTGAACGGAAAATAAACAAGGTCATTTAACGAGTTGCACCAATGGCATCTTTTTTCGAGCTTCGGAAGGGCAGAAAACTGGACGGGGGCTTTAAACAGGCAATTGGTCATTGCTACTGCAATCTACGGTTTACGTGAATCGAAGCATGTGGCATGTGTCCGGCTTTACTCTTTTCATCTTCCCCCGCGCGGTTGTTATTTTTAAGCAGTGGAGGCCTAGGAGAACTGCAGAGTAGAAAGTATCCGCATGGGATTTTGTCACGCGCTGTTGCAAATTACGTAGATTTTAATAACCCTTGTCGTTAACAACGCATTTCACGGTTCATTTTGAGCCAACAGGGCGTTTTCAACCACATGGCCAGAGAAAGCGTTTACATAAGAAAGGAGTTCAACTCCCATAGGATTGGTTTGGAACACCAAAATGGCCGCGGTTGCATTGTTTTGGAATACCAACATGGCTGCCGTGACGTCATGTGAAAAGGGACTGTTAAAGCCACGCTTCCTTTTTTCAGATGATTTCCTATGTATCTAATCATAAACTTACTTTCTAGTCAATAAAAAAAGAAAAGTTTGAAAATAGATTAACTCTTTAATTTTTTTGCCCTGCAAAAGACATATTGAAACAGTAACACTGGAATATCCAAGATGATTTCTCTGTTTTTAGCTGTAACGTTAATCGGTTTGAACCGACATCATTTTTAAAACACTGCAACCCTAAGACTGGTTTTCTTGGAAAAACACGGACTACTGACAAGTGAGATTTTGCTGTAAAGTCATAACATCTTCAGTCAAGGTGGTTGATTTTGAAAGAAGCGTTCTGAAAGAAAAATATAGACATGAACGGTTATCAGCGTATTAAATTTCTCCTTAATTTATTTATCCATAAGTTCCTTGTAAAGAGTGACCAACATCAACTTTCTCCTTTCAATACAAATACACACGAAAAAAATGTTATGCGAATTACAAAAATAATCACCTAAGGGAGAAATCTTTGATCTTTTATCAGATTCTCTCAGCCAATTTTGTTTTCGCAATTTTAGCAAAAATAAAAAAAAACTGATTCACAAGAAAATTTTGTGAGACACCTTGCAAATATCGCAAAAATAGCAAGAATAACAAATTGAACAAAATCCTAGGCTTATAAAGGCAAAAGGCAGAGAAGGGCCTCGCAAAAATCACAGAAGTAACAAAAATTTTTCTTGTCATCCAAAAACACTTAGTAACAAATATCACAAAAAAAGCAAGAATACCCTGTTGCTAAAACTGCGACAAACATTTGCTGAATGTTTGCTACAGCTTGCAATCCTTGTTGAATTTGTTATTCTTGCTATATTTGCTAATTATTTTATACATTTCTGACAGAAGTTTCCTTTAAATCTTATTTTGCGAAAATTGAGAAAAAAAAATTGCGACTGTGTTCAATCCTGGACATAAATAAAAGCACGTTAATCCCAGTAATGGAATCCCAGTAGTTTTCGACCTCTGGATTTGACTGCGAGTACGAGATCTAGTGCGAGAATGAGTTGGAATTTCAAGGCTATTTTGTCCACAAAACTCCCACTCGTCCTAGTTACTAACCAAAGACGTAAGTGACAAGAGTAATGTGACTAGTGATGAAAGCAGTGGATCAATTAAGGTTTCTGGGAAACTGCCCACCTACTCCGCCCGTAAGCCAACATTTTGCCGTAACTGAGAAGTAAGTGTTAATTTTAGTTAAGGGGAGGGGGGAGGTGGGCAAACTCTCACGTTCAAAACGAGGCTAAATTCAAAACCTTTCTGGCGAAAATGAGTTATATTTGCATAAGAATAAACAGTCAGTTTCATTTCAATGGTTTCGCTCTTAGCCTCGCTTTGAAACAGAGGCTTTGGTGAAACTCGGAAGTGGCCTGTTTAGAGGTTCTTTCTTTTGGTGCGGTTAGGCTGAAGGGTTCCTTTACCTGAACAACTTAACACGTTCCACGCTTTCTTCAAATTGTCGGGCTTTCTTAATAGCCACCGAAGTCACCTAAAAAAAAAAAATATTATAACATGTTTAATAAATGGGCGCACTATGATTGGTCAGAAAGAGTGCAATACTTTTACTTAGAAACGTATAAAAAGAAACTCAACAAATGCACTCGGTACGTTTTTCTTAGGAAAATATTGGATGACAAATGTAAGGAATTGTCAACTCACCTCATCAGGAATGCCAGCCAATCCAGCAGCATTGAAACCATAACTTTTGGGACATGCGCCCTTGACGAACTTATACAGGAATGTTATCGTTTCTTTACCATGTTCATTCTCATTTTCCACCATGCAGGCCTGAAAAAAAAAACAATAAATATTGTAAGGGAAAAATCGTAAGCTGGAAAGACCAAAATTATATTGCTAGATATTCCCAAATAGAACAAAGTCAAGAACATAGTTTAACACAGCCTTGAATTAAATGCAAAAACCTTTTTAAATTCCTAGTACAGTGAAACCCTAGCTAACGGCTACCTCATTAATACCGTCACCCGTTAATAAGACCAAATTTTTTTGGCCTACTGGTGACCGTATTAACGGGGTTCCACTGTACCTAATGTTAAGCAAATGTTTTCAAATTATTGTTCGTGGTGAACGGAAGTTGCGTAAGCACGTTTAGGCTAGGATCACGAGTTTTGCAACCGGAGACGTTTGAGATAGGACAATAGGTTTGTGTGTGTGAGAGATAGAACAAATATTAGAGACGCGTTGGAAAACCATGAGGAGAATAAAAACAAGGATTTGTCGAGTACAATTTGTGAGTTCGTGAGTTTAGAGTGTACCCCACAAGTTCGGTACATTTGTGGTGCCGAGACCAGGATCAAGGAAACGGCGGAGACAACGATACAGGATTTGAGAGATTTAGACTAACCGCGTGGTCGGTGCAGTAAAGCAATTTCATGGCAGAAAAGGAGCAGCTTTCAGAAGCGCTGGAGCGCCTAGAAAGAGACATCGATAAGGAGGTAACAAAGTTGAAATACTACATGGAGCCAGCCGACGAGCTTATTGAAAATAACGATTACTTAGAGATGGAGATCGCCGTAAAACAAGGGACTCAAATAATCAGTAAAATTACGGATCTTATTTCACAACTGGAAGGCTTGAAGCTGGACTTTGGAGCTTCGGCGCGAGACGTTCGACAGTGGAAGAAGGACAAGAAGAACGAGTTTGCTCCCTTTGTGCAGGAAAGAGACAAAATTTCCGAATTATTGTCAACTAAACAAAGACAAAGGGAAGAGGAAATCGAGAAGCAGAATTGGGAGGCCAAACGGGAGCGTGAGGAGCGCGTCACGCGAGAACGACAACAACAAGAAAAGGAATTCTGGGAGGAGAAGTTCAGAGCCGAGTTGCGTGTGGCAGAGCAAAAGTTGGAGATGGAAACTGCCGCGAAGGCTACTCACGCAAAGCTTCCTAAGTTGAGAATTACACCTTTCAAGGGCACATCATCGGATTGGGTCCGATTTGAAAATATGTTCGTCACGCAAGTCCACAGTCGACCAGTTCCAGACGAAGAGAAATTTGGCTACTTATTAGAGATGGTCGTACCCAAGGTAAGGGAGAAAATTTCTAACCTTAAACCAGGTACCTTGGGGTACAAAACTGCATGGGAGAGATTACAAAAGGAATACGGGCAAACTAAGCTTGTTGTGAACGCCCACATGGACGAAATCATAAACTTGACACCAGTAAAAGGGAGCAGCTTCGAGAAAGTAAGAGAGTTCTATGAAGCGCTAAGCAAAAATTACGACGCCTTGCAAACCCTGGGGGAGGCTGACATGTTGAGAGGATTCGTGATGACGACGCTGAAGAAATTACCACAAGTTAAACCCGATCTTGTTAGAGTTGACGATCACTGGGAGGAATGGAGCATGAAGGAATTAATTGAAAACCTGCAAAAGTGGCTCAAAAGGAACAAGGTGGATGACTCGTCGACTGACGCAGGGGACTCGCGAAAAAGGGAACGGCACTGGTATACAAGGGGAAAGAGGGACGCCGGCCGCGAACCCAAAGCCCCTTCTTGCCTATACTGTCAAGGTGACCACTGGGGGGAAGCCTGTGGAGTCTTCGACACCATAGAAAAAAGAAGAAATTTCTTTCACGAAAGGAGGCTGTGTTACAACTGTGGACGTGAGGGTCATGGGGCGAGTTACTGCCGAAGTCGCCCTTGTTTCAAGTGTAAGTCAAGACACCACACAAGCCTGTGTGACAGACACTTGGTGAACGGAGCGAGTGACGGCACGGTGTTCACAGCATATAACCCGGGCTCAGAAGATCGATCGTTACCAGCCATCATTCCGCTGAAGATTCAAGGAATCACCTTGTGGGCTTACTTGGATACAGGCTCGGGGAGGAATTTCATATCAAGAGAAGCAATTGAGAAGCTAAATTTGAAGCCTACGCGCCATGAGTCACGCCAATTCGTCACTATCAACGGCATCCAGAAACAGTCCCTGCCCATATTTGAAGTGAGACTTGATTCTTTAGATCATAGAACGAGTGAGCGGGTAGAAATCACTGGGAGTAAGATGGCGGATTTCACAACCGTGAAGAGACCGACTGTTAAGGAGTTAAAGACAAGATACGAACATGCCCGAGACAAACAGTTTTACGTGACAGCAAGTGAAGAGTATCCTATTCACGTGATCTTGGGTGACAGAACCTACTGCAAAATAAGGACCGATCAAACATTCAAGGGGCGCCCTGAGGACCCAATAGTAGAGGGCACGACGTTTGGATGGGTCATCCATGGAGGCGTGGAGTACACAGACAACAAGTGTATGTACGTCAAAGAGGCAAGCGACTACGAGAAGCTCTACACCTTAGACGTGTTGGGGGTAGAGGATAGAGGAGAGGATGATCAGTCGGACGTGCTCAGTAGTTTCAAGGAGAGCGTCAAAAGGGGAGTAGACGGCCGATACAAAGTGAGCGTGCCTTGGATTCCAGGTAGTTCCTTGTCTAGTACGAACGAACAGCCAAGCAGGAGACGCCTAATCAGGGTTGAGAGGAAGTTGAGCCAAAACCCAAAGTTGAGGGAAGAGTATGAGAAAATCGTGAGAGAGCAGCTAGAGGAAGGAATAGTGGAGGTTGCGCCCAAAACGCCGACCGGAGACCGCACTTTCTACATGCCTCACAAACCGGTCGTTAGGGAGAGCGCGAGTACAACCAAAGTGAGAATGGTCTTTGACGCAAGCGCGAAACCACACCTACTGGCCAACAGCATAAACGAGTGTATGTACACGGGTCCGCCACTTCAGCCCTTACTGTGGGACATCTTGATCAGAGCACGCATGTCCACCCATCTTGTTCTAGCGGATATCCAAAAGGCGTTCTTGCAGATTGGTGTCAGAGAAGAGGATCGGGACGCATTCCGGTTCCTGTTTAACATAAATGGTAAAGAACAACACCTGAGGTTCACCAGAGTCCCATTTGGGGGAGAGTCAAGTCCATTTCTGTTAGGTGCTACCCTAAACTACCATTACGATCAGCAAGGCGAAGAATTTCAAGAAACCGTCCAGGCCTTGAAGGAGAACACATACGTGGACAATTTGATGAAGACCGGGGAAGAAGAGCAGGAACTGAAAAAATTCCAAAGAGAAGCAACCAGCATCCTGGAGAGTGCAAAGTTTCCCGTCCATAAATGGGAATCAGACGTTGAGACCCTGGAAAGTGAAGATTCAACAAACCCTAGCAAGATCCTCGGGATAACATGGGACAAAAGAGATGACACGTTGGAGGTCCAAGTACCAGATCCGTCTGATAACCAGCTGTTGACAAAGAGAGGAATACTGAGCCACCTTGCAAGTATTTACGATCCGCTAGGGATGATTTCACCTACAACTGTGAAGGGGAAGCAGATCTACAGAGACGCATGCGATGAGACAAAGGGGTGGAACGCGGACGTTTCAGACCAGCTAAAGAGAGATTGGATCAAATGGTCTAGTCAACTAAAACCTGTGAGAATTCCAAGAAGTGTAACGAGAGGAGTAGGTCGGATACAAGCCGTACATCTTCACGTGTTTGCAGACGCTAGCAACATTGCATGTTCCGCAGTAACCATAGCTGTGGTCGAAGGTGAGACAGGAGTGGTGAAAGGTCTACTGACATCAAAATCGAGAGTCTCAAAGCGAAACACATCCATCGCGAGACTAGAGTTGGTGAGCGGACAGATGGCAGCGAACATGGTCAGAAACCTGCACAAAGCACTTAAACGATGGCCCATCGTTTCCACAACCGTGTGGATGGACAGTATGGTCGCCCTGTATTGGATCAGAAATCCGGGGAAACCTTGGAAAGTTTTCGTATCAAACCGAGTCAAGAAGATGGCGGAAATTACCGGCGAGACAGGGATCAGCTGGAAGTATTGTCCAACAGAGAAGAATTTGGCAGACCTGGGAAGCAGAGGAGCTGGAGTTCACAAGATGGAGACCGGAGGGTGGTTTACAGGTCCTGAATGGTTATTAGACGAGAAGCAGTGGCCGGATCAGCCAGATTTTGAATGCACGAAAGACGTCAACGATGAACACAAACCTATCAAGGAAGAAAACCTCTACACTAAAGAGCACAAGCCCGACGAGTGGGAGGCACTGTTAGAGAGACACAAGTATTGGAAGACTCTGCGAGTAACGGCCTGGGCACTGAGGTTCCTGAAAAATTCCTTGGCGAGACGACAGAGAGCAACGAAGCTGACGGGGCCGTTGACACCGGAGGAGATAAGAAACGCAAAGAAACGTTGGATCAAGAAGGTCCAAAGCAGTACCTCTCCAAATTTACGAACACCTGGCTGGGAGCTAGTCAAGGACGACACCAGCATCCTGAGGTGTAGTGGAAGGATTTCCGGTTACAACCCTATATACATCGAAGGGGGGCTGTTTGGCGAGAAACTTATCGCTCATACGCATGAGCAGATAATGCACCTGGGAGTTGCAAACACAATGGCGAACATACGGAACGAGTGGTGGATCCCAAGGCTGAGGTCCAAGGTCAAAAAGGTGATCAATCGATGTAACACTTGCAAAGTATTCAGCACAAAGCCCTATGGATCCACAACGACAGCTGCAATGCCGAGGTTTCGGGCGGAGGAAGGGCGGCCGTTTGAAACAACTGGAGTAGATTTCGCTGGCCCACTTAACTACAAAGTCACCAAGAAGGAGCGAGGCAAATGTTACGTCTTGATCTTCACTTGCGCCACGTCAAGAGCGGTACACTTGGAAGTAACGAAATCACAGACGGCGGAGGAGTTTCAGAGGAAGCTGAACTCGTTCATTGATAGGAAAACCAGACCTCGTCTCATCATTTCAGACAACGCCTCGGTATTCAAGGCTACCGCAAGCTGGATAAAGAAGATACGGAAAAGCGAGAGGCTACAAGACCATCTTGCGAGAGAAGATATCAGATGGCAATTCAACCTTTCCAGATCCCCATGGTGGGGTGGAATGTATGAGCGGGTTATCAAAGACCTAAAGAAGACTCTTTACAAGACGTTACGCAGGACAACACTAAGCTTCGAGCAACTCGAAACGGTGATAGTCGACATAGAGAGGCAAATGAACAACCGCCCCTTGACATACGTCGAAAGTGAGGGAGGGGAGGAACAAGTTTTGACCCCGAATGTGCTGATGTGGGGGCAGAACGCACACGAGATAGAGGAAATAGAAGAAGACGGAGACGAAGTGAGCAAACTTCACAAGCGACTGAAGGAAGCCAAACAGCATGCGTGGAAAAGATGGAAGCATGAATACATACGCAGTTTGTTGGAGAGCCATCGAGTTAACAGGAAGACCGCCCTAGTACCGGACATTGGAGAAATCGTGCTAGTCGTTGGCGATGAGAAAAACCGAGCGAAGTGGAAGAAAGGAAGAGTAATGCGTCATGTTCGAGGGAGAGATGGGGTCATCAGAGGAGTAATTTTGCTGCACAAGGGCCATCACATTGAGAGACCATTAACTTTGGTCTGCCCACTGGAGATTAAAGGGCCGGTCGCAACTGAGGACGCACCCTTGCAGCTGACGCCTGGAAGTCAACAGACAGAGCGTTTCAGGATTAGAAGGCAAGCCGCTGAGACCGCAAAGGAGAAAATACGACTGATCACTGCGGATGATGACGATGACTGAACTCGTTCTAGTTCAATTAGACATTTAACTTTGAACACGGTTTCGGTAAAAATTAAGTGACACTTTTAATTTTTAGGGGAGTGTGAACGGAAGTTGCGTAAGCACGTTTAGGCTAGGATCACGAGTTTTGCAACCGGAGACGTTTGAGATAGGACAATAGGTTTGTGTGTGTGAGAGATAGAACAAATATTAGAGACGCGTTGGAAAACCATGAGGAGAATAAAAACAAGGATTTGTCGAGTACAATTTGTGAGTTCGTGAGTTTAGAGTGTACCCCACAAGTTCGGTACAGTAGGTATTTTATACGAACTACGTCAGAACTCGTCGATAAACAACGATAAACATTCTATATGGCTATTTATGTTCCAAACTTGTCCCATCAGCTCCCAGGCCTGGAAAAATAATAACGTTTATAAGTTCATGCCCCTCCCCCCGCCCCCCGCGAACTTTTTTAACCTGTTAAATAATATACTTTTTCAGGTCATTTATCAAAGAGAGGTCTGATGTCACAACTTACAAACAAGGCAAATTTACTTAGTATAAAGTATAATAGTATTTCCTACTTTATGACATCAAAAGCACTAGCATGTGGTTTAATGAATAAGCGAATTTCAGAATTTCTTACCATATGACCAAGTCTAACATTATCATCAGTGGAGAATTCCTCCACAAGTGAATGGTAATGAGTGGAAAAGAGTGTCCTACATCTGATGTTCCTTGACAGTTCACTGACCACTGCGCATGCGATAGCTGTCCCGTCATACGTAGCGGTTCCTCGTCCCAGTTCATCCACAAGAACAAGGGGAGTGTCTTGTTGCGTGTCTAAGAATTGTGGACGTTTCGCTTAGCTCTACAAAGAATGTACTTTCACCTAAAAAGAAAAAAAGAAAAAAAGCAAGGCTTTAACTAACTGTTTCCACAATTTACGCACTCCATAAACATTGAACAAGACACCACAGAAATTCACAAACTTTCGAGGACTTCGGTGTTCAGTTACCTGATAAGATTCTGTCGTGAGCACCAAGCCTGGTGAATACGCGATCCACAGGTGTCAGGCGACATTTTTCAGCTGGAACGTAACAACCCTACAAACAAAAATCATCATATTTTACTACTTTTTAAGACCGCACTATTGTTTCCCAGTTAATACACATTAAAGGAAGGATCAAATTTAGGCACGAAGGAAGGAAGGAAGGAAGGAAGGATTAAAGGAAGGATCAAATTTAGCCAATTTAGCCAATGCACATTAAAGGAAGGATCAAATTTAGCCACGGTTAAAACAGGAAGGAATCAGGTTAGACACACCATATCATTTACAAAACTAGAATTCATTTGTAAAGACCTCATTTATGCCAGGCCCTTGAGGCTACCGTATATAGTAGCATTGCGGGTGTTCAACTTGCGGCTCGATAGCACAGACTACCCTGTGAAGATTGATTGAGGGTAACCAAACCAAAATGGCGACCCAATGGAGGATAATGGACATTACAACGGCCTTGTTGACCAGAGAAATTGGTTGTTGTTGTTATGCATGGGGGCGGACGTGTTTCTCTGATCTCCGATTTAGTTTCGACCTGGTGAACGTGTTTTTCATTTTCTTTGCCCTTCAATCGCTTTGTAGCGTCTCCTTCTTTATTTCTTCATCTATTTGTGCCTGATATTTGTCATTTTATCGTGTGATTCAAGTCTGTGCATGTGTTTTTTTTCTTTTCTTTTCTTTGATTGTTTGTTAGTTTTTACATTGCTTTATACATGTGCCTCCATGAAACAACCTCTTTAATATTCTTAATTGATCTATAATGTCTCCTAGCTAGATTAGCTTTTCACCTATTTTCTAGGTGGCTTGTACCTTATATACGTAGTATTGTCGTTTTTAATGGCTCTTTTTATGCGTGTAGTATAAATAAAGTTCTTGTCTTGTCTATCTAAAAATCATAACATTAATATGACCAAAACATTTGAAACACATTTGAACACTACCACACATGGATTGTACGCAAGCGTGAGATGCTAGCCATTCCATAGGATTAGTGTTCAGTGTATATGCTCTCTATTTTGCTTTTTAGTTCACTTAAAGTCGGGCAGGGTCATTGACTCGCCGATCTGGGTTTGTTTCGTAAGTTTTAACCTTAAAGACCATACGCTATACGACTTTTCAAAATGGTTTTGTTCTATTATTTTGTAACAGCTACAATCAGATGAAATGCTTTACCATTTGTGCCATGATGACAATCAACCCCGCTTGTCGCATTAGAGTTGACTTTCCTCCCATGTTGGGACCTGTAACTAACACGCAGGTGCTTTGACTGTTTGCCGCTGCTTCATCGCAGTCAATTTCCTAAAAACATAAGGAAAAACTGACTTCGTTTGTAACGAAAATAATATATTTTGCTGTAACATTATCATAAGAGGAATCTAAAACTTTTCCACACAACGCTCTAAATCATGCAATATCAGTATGTAATTATCATACCTACTTTGCAGCTTTCAAATGTCTTAACCACCGGCTACTTTAGAAACGAATAGAAAACAGGACCAAGTTTAATTTCGCACAGACTCCTGGGACTGTTACTCGGGACCAGGAAAAAACGTCGGCCAATGGCTGACCAGCGAGTCTCCAGTAACCATCCCAGAATACTTTGCAAAAGCTAACTTGGCCAAGTTTCCTTTTCGTTTGTAAAGTGGTGAGTTAGGGTTGATTTCCACTGTCGCGGAATTTTTCCGTGCGAACGTACGTAAATATTACGTGCGTAAATGAAATAGAGGAAATGTATGAAAGGCCACGCGTAAACGTAAAAGTCGAGCGTGGTTCAACTTTTACGTAGACGCGTGACCTTCCATACATTAGGCTGATTTAGTAACAGGACGGGAACGCCAGTTGACGACAGAAAAGCGCGCGGAAAGGACTAAACACGACTTCCGGTGCCCAATTTGCGGCTCTGCCATTGGTCAGGCCAGTTGTTTGATTTGCGCGCGCCGTCGTCAATTCACGTTCCCGTTCTTTTGCTAAATCAGCCTATTGTCTCTATTTTATTAACGCACGTAAAATTTACGTGCGCACGCGAGGAAAACTACGCGACAGTGGAAATCCACCCTTAGTGACTTGTTGTTGGGAGGTCTTGCGCAAAGTTTGAAACCGATCAAATGTTAAGCTACATGCAAACAAAAAAAAAAAAGCAACAACTCCCAACATTGTTGCCTCAACAATGCTTGGAGCTGTTGCGTCCGTTTGCACGTATCTTAAACTGTGAAGTCTTCCGCTATCCTCCCCTACTCTGCACTACCGAAAAAGCTGAGCCACTGCGCCCCATTTTCAGTGTAATATTTTACTATTTAATCTATCGCATAATCAAGGCAAACATCTTCCAAACATGGTCAACGATAGCTGGTTGTGCCGTGAAATTTATGCCAATCGAAAACGGAGAAATATTTTCAATGCATGATAACGAATGACTTAGTGACGTCCGCTTGAGTTTGGACTTGATACCTTTCATCAGGAACTTAAAAATGTTTGTAGACAAGATGCCCATACTTACGTCTTTGATTCCCACAACCGTGTCATTTGGGATGAAATCACCGCCACTGAACGTGCGAGAAATACAGGGGTGGCGTCCATCGCGAATTTCCAAGAAAGGCTGTTGATTGAAAACAACTTGATATAGAAGAGCAGTTGTTTACTATTCATCTGACTTAGTTACGCCTTGTAAAACACTTTTCGAGGTTTTTCCTGGTGTTGAAGAAACTATTGCTAGCTAGCTTACACATCTTTTTCCATCTTTTGTATTGCCACTTTTCGTGATCGCGCTAACCGCAAATACCCTTTTTTGGCAAATAAGATACGCATCTCTCACATCAACTTTCTCAAGTTGTTATTGGGTCCATCTTTGAGGTTGCTGGACCTCTCATTTCGTAGATTGACCACTTCGGTATTGCCCCATTACACTTCAGAAATCTGAGCGCACGAAGGATTAACGAAAATAGCAAGGACGGTTTCCAAGAACTCAGAGTTCAGACCTTTCTGAACACACAAATATGATCAGGCATTAACCGCTTTGGCACAAAAGGTAAATTAATTAATCCAGACACTCAATGGTACTCTTGCCGAGTTAAGGAGAAAATCCAAATACAGATAGTGGAAAAGACAACCCAAAAGCGTGGCCGTCAATGATCAGATGTCACAGCGGCCGAACATTAACACAACGGATTACTGAGGGAGCAATTACTTACGCTACCAATGACAAAAACGTTTCGAGTCAACATGAGCAGGGTTGGTGTTACACCATTCAGAAGCAACCACGGTGCTACTAATAATCCCTCTCTGTAAATCGACACCATCGCCTGATGATGATCACCAGTGGGCATGTTGAAACGTCGCGATCAATACCATGAAGCAAACGATAAACGAGCCTATCATACACATTCCAAAATGAACACAATCTTTCACTAAACTTAAGTTGAACTGAGAGTAAACATCAAGGACAAGTAATGACAGCAAAAAATTTTTTATCAAAATTTTTTTTATTCCCCTTCCTTGATAGATCACAGCTGTTAGTAGACTGCGAGCAGTCTCTTATTTTTCTTTGCAAAGTTACTGCACGCGAAACCTAAGCAAGCGAGTGGCGAATTAATAACAACGTCGTGGTTTGCAATCGCGCTAGATGAGATAAGAACTAAACGGATTTTAAGAGAAAAGGCGGACTGCAAGCAGACTAAGCTGTTAGAGGATCGTTATACCTCATCATCACTGGTCTTCATTATTCAACTTCATCGTAGCTTTTAAATAATATATTCACTATCAAAACATAACAGCCTTTTTCATGTCATTAACAAATACCTACCTGAAAATCTCCATCAGATGTTTGATCAGGAAGAACGACTTCTGGTCTGCACATTGGACCATCTCCTTGAGAACTAGTAAAGAAGGCAGGATTAGTATCAAGGAGATTCTTCCATTTACACGTTGAGACATGATCATTTTCTCGCCAATGCGAGTCTGTACATGAACGCAAACAACGAGCACGATATTTTCCCATTCACTTTGCACCGTTCAGGTTCACGCGTTTGAACTTAGGAGGATAGGTACCACATAGCTTTGGTCTCTTGCGAGGTGAACTGCATAGACGGAAAAGCTGTTAAGTTTATAAGGCATGGACGTAATAGAGGTCAAATGAAATAGTCGTAAACTGGGGCAAAATTAGTAGTGTACCTGAATGCAGCAAGGCTGATCAGCGAGTCCAATACGGCCAGACACTGAACTGCTTTGTCCCAAATCTTATACCTATCATTAAGACAACACAAAACAAGAATCATGCGGTCACACCCTTAAGAATGCGTAAACTTAACAAGTTTAAGAGCAACAAAATAAGAGGCTATGGCGATAACAAGAGACCATTAGAATTGCACTACTTCGCAACAGAGAACGGCTTTCAATTTAGTGAGGTCAAACCCAACTAACAACCTTAGCCAATCAAGATAAGCACAGAAATTCAGATCAACCAATCACTGTAACAATCTCGAAACTGACGCAAAGCGCGCGAAAAAGTAGTTGAGTAAGGCATAATTGGTTTTGGTCCTACTCGTGACTGGTTGAAAAATGGCGCAAGATTTATTCAGCCAATCACAAAGAGTGGCAGAACAAAACAAGTCAATCGCGAACACCCAATGGAAACCGCAATATTTCAGTAGAATTCATGACTTACTCTTGGTCAAACTTGTGAAACACATGTCTCATGGTATCCTTTAAAGCTTCTTCTCGCCTCTCCTCTGCATCAACTACCTCAGCCAGTTTCGCTTCGATTTCTGCGGTCCAGTATCGCTTGAATCCTTTCTTCTGCGACTGCAGAGTATACTCATCAGGAATCTTGCGGATGGAATCGGGAACTTCAAGCTGATAACGGTTCTTAGCTGGAATGGAGAGAAAATTGCGTTATTTGTATTTGTTTGTTTGTTATCGTATGAACATGTTTTTTGGTACAATTTTATCTTTGTGGTAATGTATGATTACGCCCTGTAATAAAGTACGTACTCTTCGCGTCTGTCATCCCCGAAAAAACTACTTCTATATCTCTTATAGCTAATCAGCTGAGTACTGGCAACTGGTTAAGGGTTCACTGTGGGTGGAGAATTAAGTGTGAACATGGCCGAGGGAAACTCATGTGTTATTCTATCATCTGAGATCTGAGATCCGAATGACTTTGCCTTTCGTGCTGAAATAACAATAATCTAATAATAAAATTAAATTTCTTGCAGAAGGATTTCTTGCTGCCTTACCTGATCCCCAATACGTGACCTAGAAAAGAAAGAAAAAAACAAACAAGCAAACATTACGCAAGTACGTTCCAAGCCTTTGAGATCAGGATTTATGATCCAAGGTCACTAGAATCATGGTGAATCAAAACGTATCTATGAATTCTTGTACACATAGGATTTCGCAGTTCATTAAAAAGGATTCCGTTTCTTAAAAGGAATTGAAACCCACGACTCCTACATTACCGGTGCAGTGCTCAAACTAACTGACCTATAAAACGATTTGACTTAAGACCTAGTGAACAGTGAGCTTATATAATCTTTTGCTAAACCTCCTAACTGATTGGACGAGAACGTGTCACGTGTCAGGGAACAAGGAGGTGTACTCAGGGCGTCACGAAATCACTTCTAAGCACTCACCCTGCATCCAAGCACTGAACACTGCTTCTTAAGATACTGATCAAACCAGACATTTGTCGCTTTAATGTCTGCTAGAGCTCCGTCATAATCAGGATCGACCCCTGTGGATAAACAATGCAAACAAATCATTTGAATCAACGAGAACACCAGACAAGAGAACTGGGCTTGTTTAAGCGTCTGATGTACAGCCAAGTTTCCCCATGGCACATTGAAGCAGAATCCCAAACCTACTCTGTGATGTATGAATGTTGCAGTTAATTTTTAATTTCAGTTAATTTTTGTTTTTCCTTTGTTTTAAATTCATTAGCATACATTACCATACCCCAAAACAATGGAAAAATAAAAATTAACTGAAATTGTAAATTGTAATTGTAAATATCTTATTATCCACTCCCCTCAGGGCTTTTCAGGGATAATTTACAACACTGGTTGGGGGACTTTGCCAGACTGCTTAAGGTGCAGTTTACAAGTAATGAAGGAATGAGTAATGATGCCCCCATACATGAGTGTGAAAATGAGATAGACCACTACACCGGGCACTACGTGCCCTACTCTTTACGAAGAGTGTGTGGGTTCTTTAACGTCCCACAGATTTAATACATGTGCAAGGGCTTGTGAGACGGGGCCTACGGTTTATCGTCCTTATCCGAGAAGACTAGAAAGTCTAGCCGTTTGCAGATATTATTACAAAGGCAGCACTTTCTCCTCAGTTATTTAAAGACCCTGAGTGTTGGTCCGGCCGGGGTTTGAACCCGCGACCTCCCGCTCAGTAGACCGGCGCTCTCCCAACTGAGCTAACCAGGCGGCGGAAATAAAAAATTAACTACAACATGAACCTAAACCCAACCTTAACCTCTTGAAAGTTAAAATTTTCCCACATGAGTTGACATTTTAGTATCATTTATGCACCTGATGACGTCATAGCAAACTACTGTCACCAACTTTTGCCAAAACTTGTCTCAGCAATAGTACTAAAGTGTGACGTCACAAAAAATTAAATTTGTGAAATTATGGGATTTGTCAAGATATTCTGAAAGAACAACGTCCAAGTCGCCTACTTGCCAAAAATTAGCGTTGTGGGGCAAATTGTCTCTGAGATATTAGCCCAGTTATGCTATGATGACTCCATACAAATCCTTCTAAATTTGACTTGGGTCTTAGACCCTAAATCGACAAAAAGACCACGATTGTCCTGGAGGGGTTGGTATCAGGACAAATGCCTTCAGAATCTTCTCCAACGTTACCTGGCTTTGGTAAAATGACACCTTCATTCCTAGCTTTGTTGTGGTCAAAAGCGTGCTGAAAAAACAAATAACAGTGCTTGATTCATTTGTAAACTACTGATTAAGTTTTCAGCAATTTGAATGTCCAACTTTCAATTCAAGACCCATCGTTTGTTTGAGCCAACAAAACAGTAACTTGCGGTCTTGTTGGTAGATGCTAAGTAAAAAAAATCATTTATTCATGGTTCTTGACAGCCTGCGTATAACTTTCTGTTACACTTCACTCACATCATACCTCCCAAAAATGCCTGAGGGTACTATTTTCAAGTATTTGAGAACTATATAGCATTCGAGAAAATACAGCATCCGTAAAATCTAAAAGAAGTACATCCAAAGCACCTTGAACGTGTGCAAAAGGTCATGCAGTCTAGGAAACTGTCCGGTGGATTTACTTTTATCATCACCACTTTCTTCTGTGACAACCTGAGAAAGAAGTTTGGATCTGAAACAAAGAAAATGCAAGCAATTTTAGCAGGTAACAAATCGTCATCCTTTACAAATTCAGAAATAAAAAATCTTTTGGTCGTATGGGTCTCTTTTCAAAAAATGTTGTTTATTCATTTAAACTTGGAACTATAATTTCGTAGAAGTGTGATGAACTGAAAGGGAAACCTGTTTACAAATTGAAATATAAGCCCCACCTCTCCCTAACCTAACTCTACTACCCCCGGTTAAAGAAAATCCTGTCTAAAGGAAATTGCTAGACAAGGAATTGACGCCCTTCTGTACACATACCTGAAGTTACTGACATGGTCTTTAAACAATGTCACGATTTCTGTAGCCTTATTGAAACCTTCCAGCACAGTGAGAAAGTCATTAATTTTGCGTTTGCTACAGTGAGAAAATAGTAAGGCGATAAGATGAGTAACAGTGCAAGTATTGCTCGTTTTTAGGCTAAGAGACTTTCCTTTATTAAGCATTCAAGGGATCGAATGGGTTTTGAGAGCACCTCTTTAAGGTGACCTGGTGTATTTTACTGTTACCAGGGCTCATCCTGGTATTTATGAGTCACGATAGGCGTAGTTACATGTCATCTCTTAAAGCGCTTAGTATACTCAGAGTAATGAAGTACGTACAGCAGAAAGAATAGAAATGACTTTCGTGTAATCGATGAAAAGAAGTGAAAATCCTTGCTGCCTTTTGTTTTAAACCAATAACTTAGTTTTTGAAATTGTGAACAGGTATTATAGTACGTATACTGTATACATATATGTATTCTTTCGTTTTTGTTTTTTGTTTTTGTATTTTAACTTCTTAAAAGTAGGTAGTTTGGAATGCATCTAAGTGATGGATTACCGGTTTTAATAAAGTTAATAGATTTTAATTAATTAATTAATTTAATGTTAATTAAATTTTTAATAAAGTTTGTTAAAAGTTAAAAAAGCTACACATGTAACGATATGTTACAAAGAGTGGAAAGCTGTAAAACTGTCAGGACGAAAAGCGCTTGCTTACAAGACACGATGGTGCAGAAATTGTGGTATTTTAGATCCGCGGTAGCTTTCGGGAGATGGTCGCTTACGTGACGCGGCCCTTAAAAAGGTCGAACTGTAGTCTAAAACTTAAGCTAATTGATTCTTACCTGTATGTGTCTTCATTGTAAAGAATAGCTCGGTGAGCTGGATGATTCTTGTCTCGAGGCAAACTCAATGTATGGATCCTGTTAGAAAACAAACGACAGACCCAGCTTCCATCGATATCTCCTGTCTTTTATTAGTCGAAAATGTATGATTTCTTGCTAACACAACAGAAGACCTATTAAGGTTATAACCTGCCTAGGTTGCCCATCGTGTTAAAACAACATCAACATCAACAACAACAACAACAAAAATAAGTGAAGGATTAGAACATACATCGCGCTACGATCTGTAGCTTCTCCAGATACCACTTTTTTTTTTCTAACTTAAGGAAAGAAAATAAACAAATTTCTCCTACTTTTTCAGCAATCTCTCTAGGTCGGGTAACGTTTTGAGTACTTCTTTGGTCTCTGCAACCAATCCTGGATTGGCCATTAAATCTTCAACTGAATTTAACCTGTAAAGTGGACATTAGAGAGCTTTAACACGGACTGTGGCGATGACAGCAAAACCATAACTACTCAGATGAATTTGGATTTTTTCAAATTTTGCACCACTATTCCAACTTCAAACTGTCAAATGTCAGGGAATTTCCCTGTAGCTGAAGTCTGGGGAATGCATACAAGTTAAGAAAAGAAAGAAAACTTTGTTGTCGTGTATTCACATCTGCTACAAATAAATAAATATGCAGTGATGGCAAAGAAATTTAACAAAAACCTAATACGTGCAAATTGATTTTTAGACACTTACATTAGTGAAGCGTCATTTTCTTATATCTGCTACTTTGGGTTTACTGTGCAAGTGTGCAATGATGAATGGTCAGCATGATGTGTAGCCTGCGTCGCCATCCCTGATTAATAACGTCTGCGAAGCAGCGCAATATTCTTCTGGCCCCCAAACGGACTTAAAGAATTACCGAAATGAGTTTCGAATTTCCCTTCAACCTGATTGACAAATTGGCGAAGGCTTCTTTAACTGACCAATCATGACACGTACTCAAATCCTGGTACACATGTGGGGTCCAAAACATGGAATTCGGCGCTATTGCGCAGACGGACATAACTAACAGTTTAGTTTCGTCTGTGGAGCAGGCTTCAATCATTCATGATGTGTTGATCTTTGTTTTGAAAGTATTGGGTTCTGCTAAGTCTCTGCTGTCAAACTACGTGTACAAACAAATAACAAATAAGCTGACTTTGTACTGCTGGACAGTGTACCTGTCATTAATTGCGGCTGGGTTACACAGAGGTGCACATAGCCACTGCTTGAACAAACGTTTACCTTGTGAAGGAACAAAGAGCAAAAACAAATTAGAACACATAACACTACAGAAGCAAGAACAGAACAGGAATTACAGTAGAATCATGATTCCTTGAAACCTCAGCGTCTTGCGACCCTTCATTATTGAAACCAAAACTGGACTCTCTTTCTAAGTAAACATACCTCCTGGGGACATTAACACATGCTCAAATCTAGCTTCACCACTATAACAAGGTGACAAGCTCATTAAGTTGAAGTATGAAATGTAATGGAACAGTTAATACCAAACGCAGTAGAACAGTGATCTAGCCTGTCCAACAAAGTGCCTTCAGAAGTCGCATCGGGTCCACTGGGAATAACATCAAGGTTGATCAATGTTACGTTGTCAAGAATCTGTAGATACAATCCAATTCTCTTTATTGATTTGTTAAACGACATAATAATGATTAAACGATACGCTTAACTTACAATCAAAATAAGAACAAAAAAAATGTTAGTGCTTAGAGGCTAAATAAACTGTTGAGTTTTTTAGCTTGGCCTCAGCCATATTAAATTGTACATTATAGTTACGGACGAGAAGAAGGTCGCACTGATGGTATAAGGGCTCAATCTTTAAGATGCTAGTTTCTCTGACTTTTATATTGCAGTTGAACCTCTATTAAGTGGCCACCCTCTACTAAGCAGCCAGTAATCAATGACCTAAAATAAGTGTACAAAAGGATTGTAAACGAAACCTTTATTAAGTGGCCACCTCTATAGATCATTTTCACATGACGTCACGGCAGCCATATGTTTGTACAAAACAATGAATCGGCGGCCATGTTTGTGTACAAAAAAAATCCTGTGGGAATTGAACTCTTTTCACATGTTAAAACTTTCTTTTGTTCCAAGCAATTTGCTGACCACGTGACTGAAAGCTATCTATAAGCGGCCGCGGCAACCCTTTGGCCATCCCAAAGAGAGTTCTTCCTCCGTTGTCACCTCTATTAAGCGGCCATCAAGTGCTTGATATACTAAGTGAGTAAGTCTTAGATTGGCTGTGTTTTAAAAACGTGATAAAGGAAAATACAGTCCCAGATAGATGGTGATGACTGATTGTGGACCAGTAATGCCGCTCCCATCGCGTGACGTTTTTGCTAAACATTATCCTAATTATGTTTTTACGAACCACTATTGAGCTGCGGCCGACCTCTATCAAGTGGCCACTTGTCAGTATCCAAGGGTGACCGTTTGGTTGAGGGTTTAAACCATTATTGGAGATATTTTTGTTTTTTAAAAATCCCTCGGTTCAAAACAGCACTTAGTGACCAGAAAGGTACAGAGTGTGTGGGTGAATACGGACATCCTGGCTCTTCAAGCTTAAAACTACAATCATAGACAAAAGTCAGTCTTGGGACACTTTTGCACTTACTTTTACTGGGGCGTTTTCCAATTCACACAGGTCCAACCCCTCCCCTCACCCCACAAACAATGTTGGACGCGTGTATCGCGAATTTCTTCCGAGTTTAAATGTCGCTAAATGTAATTTAGGCAAGGTTAATCTCGAGCTAATGCTGCCAGCGGTCTCGCTCAGTTTGCACATGATCTGTGGGGGCGACCCTTTGGAGTTTGCAGGGGCAAACTACGTACAGCCTTGCTTTCTAGCGATCTTTGCGATCAATGCTTTTATGAGCGAATCTTTGCGGACTCATTAGCCCCACCCTCCCTTCCCAGAGGGCTACTTGATTTCAGAGGTAAGCATCGGGTTAGGTAAGTATTTCCACTGGACTAGTTTCAGTGTGACAGTGCCTGTTAGCGGCTGCTGGGGTGGTTCCCGCTTGCCGGGTTGCCATGGAGACCTCCCAGCGGTGCCTGAATTACCTCGGGCCCTTCCCCGCTAACTTTTAAGGCACCAGTTCCCAAACTCATCAATTGGCGATGAGTTTAACTTTGCTTGGCGGGGGGGGGGAGAACTGCAAGAAAATTTCCAAAAGGATGCATTGTTTTATGAGGGAACCGAGAAATGACAGAAAAATATGAATATTGCATTACTGTCGCAGGGACTTTAGTCCATGATTGTAGTCATGTCGTAATAATGGCTATGAAATGAAATATCTCTACTATACCATGTGTTGTCTTCCTTTTGCAAAAGTTACCGTCTCACCACAGTTTGGAGAACTATCCAGAGGAGTGTACTCCTGAATGGAATCAAAATTGCGGAAAAGCAATATTATTATTTCTATTTTCAGACTTCAGGTTACAATGTTGAGTAAGCAAGAAAAAATACTTAATAGTCTGGGTAAAGCCCACAGGCTTGAGAAGCAGAACTTTAAAAGGAAGGGTAAGTTAAGCGAAAGGACATGAAGACAAATTTGACAATACAAGAATCAGCTAGTCCCATCTAACAGTATGTAAAACTGTGAAAGATGTGAACCCCGGAGTCATTTCATAAGTAGGTTGATTATGATCGTCCGGGTGAACGTAGTGCTGAATAGCACTGTTGTTGTTGACAGTACGTGACTGACGTTTCGACGACCTGTGCAGTAGTCATCTTCGGAATCAAAGTGAGTTGTATCACGTCAGTTGATGGTATTAAACTCTGGTTATTAACCTGATTGGTCAATTAAGTCGCGATGTTACTGGTGTTATGTGTTAGAAAAATGCAAAAAATATAAGGTGTGATTGACTTTGTCTTTATGGACTTACACATATCTTAATTAACAAACAGTGAGAACATGTACCTCAAAATTTCCCATTGACAAGACTTCTTGATCAATTAAGCATTTCTTCAGATACCTGTTTTAAACGTTTCAAAGTGGAGAAAGCACATGAAACTAAATTGCTAAAACAGGTAACGCTCTCATAAGTGTGAAGTTTCCATACGGCCTAGCAAACAGAAAAGGTGTCCGAACCTGAAATGACCCTGGAGGTCCCCTCACAAACAATTATTATATAAGGCCATCACAAACATTATTATTATATATTAAGAGATAGGAAGCTGTTTATGGGAACTTACACCTCTCCCATAAAACGTTGTAAATACAGGGAAACAACAGAGTACCTCCAAATCAAATGACTGTTCTGCTGTCTTATACAATACTATCTAGTACAAAAACATACTAATTTCTGCAGAACTCTCCTCTACTGGTTGTGCATTACAGCAAATTAGAAACAAAAAAGTCAAAATTGTGATCATAGTAAATGAAAATCCTGCTGTGGCTGGTACATGTACTTATTGATAACCCTGGGTTACTTGATGAATATGTTGCAGTTATTTTTTCTTTTCTATTGTCTTTGGGTATGGTAATGTGTGCTAATGAATTTTAAACAAAGGAAAAACAAAAATTAACTGAAATAAAAAATTAACTGCAATATATACAAGACTGACACTTCTTACCACACTACAGCACCAAGCGCACTGAGGGCAAGTCCTCTTCCATCACCTGGCATCAAGCCCAAGGGGTCTACAAAACAAAAAAACAATGTATTACATGTACTGTAGGAGGAGAAGGAAATACGAAAACCAGCTTACCAAAAGTACACTTGGTGTAAATTTTGCTTACTAGTCAAAACACTGGGGGCTGGCCAGAATTTAGTTTAAAACTACTTCTTTACGATATGACTCCTGGGTCCACAACATTACTTTTCTAATTTACTACTCGAATAAAGTAGAATAGGAAGCCAAAAGTAAGCCACTTTTTGGCAAAGGAATCTCTAACTTCAAAACATGACAAATTGGGGAAAGATGCAGTTAACAGGCAGGTTTTGCCACCTTACAGTAAAGGCAGATCAAGCGTACCCCCAAGATTGCATTAATGAATTGATTATTTGAAAAATTCATCTGTTAGTCGTAGCCGCAATCAGTGTCAAATTCAAATCTGTATTCCTGCATGATAATGAGCAGTGACTTTTTCGCAATAGCTCCTATGTATTTGGTCAGAATGGATAAAACTGTTTTAAAGACATTTACGTGTCAATTCACTGCCCATTCATATGCAGGAGTGGAAAACTATGCCAACCAAATTCCAATTCGATCATGAAAGTGTTTCCAATTAGACTGATCACAGGTTTATCAGGTCTTGAAATGTCAAATGTCAGCCTCTCTCCATTGTAAATAACACAAGCCTGGCAGTAAATCACAGAATTGCCTGTCCTAAAAGCAGTTGAGGGCCATTAATATGTCTAAAAGAATTTTTTTAAATACCGTAAAATTCCGAAAATAAGCCCCTCCAAATATAAGCCCCCAAACGAATAATGAAAAAAAACCCTCTGTTAAATCGCCCCTCCAAATATAAGCTCCCCGGGGGCTTGTACTTGGAAAATTGCCCTCAAATACAAAAGCAGTAAATTTACTTCCAACTATAAGGCTAGCCCAATCAATTTTGAAACGCAAATTTCCCTCCATAGATAAGCCCCTCCGAACATAAGCCCCTCAAAGAGGGCCTTTGAAAAATATAAGCCCCGGGGCTTATTTTCGGAATTTTATGGTATTTAATTAATCCAAGGCGTGTACTACCTCCATCAGTACATTTTTTCAAAGCATCGGGCCAACTCTGTAACAGAAAACAATATTATTTTCATTTATCAGGAGTGATGGATGATGTCCATTAAAATTTGTTCATGAAAGTAATTACCTAATGAAGGTTGCTAGGGGGAAGTGGGAGCTCAAATATGAATAGCATCCTGAAGGTACTTCCACAAAAACAGTTGTCTTTACAAGGTTTGAGAAAAGGGCAAAGCATTTCCAATAATGTGAAAAAGGATGGACAAAAATCATACCGAAAGACAATTAAAATAGTACAGTGGACAAGAGGAAAGGGGCATGAAGGCCTGATTGTGGGGGAAGGTCAAATGCATACAGCTGCACGAACATGGCTGTCTGGTTATGCAGTTCATCCTCCTTCTACTCCTCTTAACATTCACTACTACTTATAGTTTACGCTGAAGTAGAAAATCACCTTTACAGAATTCTCCGTGCTATTTTTGTCTTCCTTAAAATACTCTTCCTCTGCTAAGACCTTCAGTGTCTTCCCTGCTTCCCAGAATTGCGATCCTGCAAAAGACAGCAGTCACAAAACAACAACAGCTGAAGATAAATAACATCATGTACTGCTTATGAAAGACGAAACCTGGCATTGATGTAGAACTACTTTGCCGTACAGTGCAACTCTCTCTTTGTAGCTCCCTTTATCAGATGGACACTTCTGAGAAATGGACACCTGATGTTGGCCCCTACAACTCTCAAGGTTCATACAGATTTTTGAATACAAAATTCTGAAACTCATTAAATAATTCATAAAGAGAAAACAAAGAAAATCACAACCGTGACGGTGGTTTGGATATTGGACACTAATTACCATTAAATTTTACGAGCTTTATCTTTGAATTTCTCCAAGAATTATTGTTCAGTTGAGAAGCTATATCCAAAACTCCATTCAGGGTTTCATCTGATATCCAGACACCTCGAAGTCAGTCTTAAAAAATTCGGCTGCACCTCGTTTTTCAACCCACTTCTTGGTGTCTGGATATCAGATGAAACACTGCGTGTTGTTTTGGATATATTACTTCAAGACATTTTCAAGACTTTTTCCAAGCAATAATTTCTTTTTCCATTCTCAACATTATCAAATAGATGACAGAGACCTTAAAGAAACCGAGGAACAAAGATTTTTTTCATGATACGCTGTAAACGTACGGGCAAGATTAAGTAAGATTTGACCAATACAAAAAAGATGTCACTTAAAGAGCACTTGTAGTAGCTTTCAAAAAAACCTCAAGACTTCATTTCTATTTCCCAGACTTTTTTCAGGTCTGGAAAATTGCTGGGCAAATTTTAAGACTTTTTCAAGAATTCACGACTTTGTATGAACCCTGCACTCTTGAGCCAATTGCCGACTCTCTGTAAGACAGGAACTTGGTGCATGTCCAGGATCATTATTCATTTCTGGGAAACTATCCTCCTACCCCTCCCCTTAGCCCACATTAACACTTGCTTCTCACTTAGGGCAAAATGTTGGCTTGGGGGAGGGATAGATGCAGGGCAGATTACCAGAATCGATAATGACCCCGTGTCCACAGGGTGTCTGTCCTAAAGACGTTGACTGCACAAGCAAATGTATCAGAAGCAAAGGATGGATTTTTAGCACCTCAGTATGGGTTTATCATTGTTGTTCCCATCTCTCCCAACAGGCAGGGTATAAAATTCAAGGCCTGGTGTACAGAAGGGATTCAGAAAAGCAATGATGGCCTACCACCAAATCCTAAATAAAACTGTTGAGTCACTAACCCTAACCCCTTCTACCCAGCCCTTAGCACTGAGTGGTAGTCTGAAATGTTATCCATCGCCCCCCCCCCTTGCCAATGGGGGTGTCTCTCCTTACACTTGCCATAGGTTACAGGGTGGAAGCGGGTGACATTTCAGACTAACTGACTGGCTGAAATCACTGAAAAAAGAATTTCAAAGTCATTAAACAAATTAACTGGTTAACACGATCTCATCCTAGAGAAAACATTATGGAAACTTTCAAATGTAGCATATTTACAAGACAGCTTTATTAACCAATCTTTTCAGACTGACAATAATGACCTAGCACAATTATAGTACCTGGTGTCAAATACTCCTTCATGGAGGACATCAGCTCATGGTTAAGAACATGCTGAGTTTTTAATGTTAAACCTCCACGAGGACACAAAACCTACAAAATAATGCCCCTGTTACTGCAAGATTATTTTTAACAAGGGATGTAAACAGGGTTTTCATTAAGAATTCTAGTAGCAGGAGAAAGGTGTACCGTTACAGGAGAATATTTTGAAAGAGGCTCCACATCTGAATAAAAAACAGTCATAGGCTATCAAAGGTTTAGCTGTAGAATTCTGTGTAGTTCATGGAGAATTCTCCAATCTCTGATTCCCAATGAACACCCTGTGTAAGGGGGTGTTCACATGAGAACACTTGCACCAGCGCGAGTTTCATAACGGGATGACTTTTTTGTTTCATATCGCATTTACATTATGACTGGGTTATTTCATATCTCGTTACTTGCAGGTACACTTCATGTTAATGAGGTACATGTAAGATTCAAAATTGCAAACATTCCAGCTACCCATTCCAGTCTACCGGCAGACCGATTTCACACCGAAACATGTGGTCATTTGGCGTTTACAAGATACCGTTGTGAGATTTTGTACTGGAGTGAAATTCTCACCCCAACCGGGCTGAACTCACGCCGAGGGTGACTCATGCCGGCATGACATTTTGTGGTGGTATCATGTAAACAAATGTAGAGCCATGAGAGGGAACTGGAGTCAACTCGCACCGGCACGAAAGTCGCCCCGGTGTTATGTAAAAACCCACTAAATCAACAAATCAAGTCATACCTGAACTGGGGTGTAATGAGCAACCAGAGTTCTAAGGCGAGAAGACTGACGATCATCTTGAAACTGACCAATCTTCAAAGAAAAAAAAATTCACTGCATAGTGGTCTACTATTATATTAACAGGTTACGTAAAACCCCTCTATACCAACAGACAACAAGTTTGCAAGCCCTATCGTAAAAACACAATTGACTTAATTGATTGGATTATCTCAGTCAATAGAGTGTTTGACTGCAGAGCTGGGGCGGGAGGTCACGGGTTCTTTTCCCGGGGCCAGACAATACTCAGGGTCTAAAAATAACTGAAACATGACAGCAACGCCTTTGCCCTGCAACCGGGTAGACCTTTGCATGGCTCGGATGACTACATAAAATGGCGGCTGGGTCTCCAGTTGGAGACGTTAAAGTAGTGTTCCCAATTACTACTTTTGTGCTAAATACATTGACACTCATTGACAAATAAAGTGCATTTTTTTGTACTTACATGGAACTTTCCAATGGATGTATCCACAAAGCAGACACCATAAAGACTCTCTCCTCCTGAGACATCGTCAGATCCCTAATACAATAATTCAAATTAATAAACTGTTGCATGCCATCTGCATGTCATCAGAAAATACTGCACCGGGCTGTGCTATACCATTCCCTGATGGTTTCTAGTAACTTACTATAAGGAATGAAAAATCTTAAGTGGAGTGAGAGAACAGTTTTATATATATGCACAACAGGATCTGACAAACTAAGTCAGCTTTGTACAAAACATATTAATACTGTACTGTGCACCCTTAACTTCATAGTTTCAGAGCTCACTTGACTTCTGCTCTTACTATGTAATAACAGCCCATCACAGCTAAGTGGCAGTCAACATTACCTTTTCAGAAATGGCCAAAAGGTATGCAGCCTCACTTTCTGTACAGACTCCATCTAGAAAACTGTATGTCTTTGTTCCTGCAAAAAAACAAAATTATTTCAACTTACAAAAGAAGGAAGTAGTTGTCAAAAACTTGCATGTATTAACATAAAAGGATATAAATTTTCCAAAAAAATTTGTAGGGTGACTAGGGTAACTTAATTAGGTGAATAGGGTGAGGAGGGTGACTAGGGTAACTAGAGTGACTTGGGTAACAAGGGTGACATGGGTGATTTGGGTGACTAAGTTCACTAAGTTGACTAGGATAACTTGGGTGACTGGTGAGACTAGGATGACATGGGTGAATAGGGTGACTAGGGCGACTTGGGTGAACAGGGTGACTTAGGTGACTTGGGTGAAGTGGGTGACTAGAATGACTTTAGTGACTAAGGTGATTTGGTTAACTTTGTGACAAGGGTGACAAGGGTGACTTGGTTGAACCGGGTGATTAGAGTGACTACGGTAACTTGCTTGGATAGGGTGACTTTGGTGACTAGGGTGACTCAGGGTTTGAGCCAGGCCGCGCCATTGCGCCAATCCCGCACTGCAATTGGAATCGTCCCTTTAAAAAACGGCCAAGGGGACAATTTGTCCCCTTCAAAATTTAGGGAAAAAACTCGAAAGGAAGCAAACACGAAGAGATTTATTTCAATACAGAAATTGCAAGCTGAAACAGAACGTGGAAAGTATATTTTATCGCACCTTTAAAGTTCATTCCAAAGTTACGTTTCAGTCACACTCTACTGCTATTTTTGTCGGAAATCTAAGACAGGGCTTCTGATTCTTTGCGCGGTCGCGGAGCCGCGAAATTCACAAAAACATGAAAAATACCGCGAAATTCGGTAGAAATCTTATCAAATACATGTCTGTAAAACATATTTGAAACTTATTTCAGCTATAGGGGCTATTTACTTGCCGTAAACTTGCAAATTTATCTTGGAACTTCGTCACTGAAACGTGCAAACAGATTATGTTGCGAAAAACTGGGCACTAGCCATGATGTTAAAGGCTTTGCCATTGGTTCATTTCTGGAGCGTATTGTTGTTGAAAGAGCAAATGATGAGCACTGTTAGAAAAACGTTAAAAAGGCTGGTCTGATCAGCGCAAAACCGATCGATTTCTAGCGAAATTTGCCTTGAAAATAACCACAAAATCGGCCGCTTTTTACCAATTGCTTTTCGGTGAAGTTTGCCCCGAAAACTCCCGCGCAATCGGCCGATTTTTCCGCGAATTTGTCCCTAAAAATCCCGCGAAATTTGACTTTTTCTTCCGAGACCTATCAGAAGCCCTGCTAAGAAGACAAACCCCTTTGCATCAGCAGAAGGGTGTACAAATTTCTGTCCCCCTAAAAATGAAAATGTCCCCCAAAAATTTAGCCAAGGGGACAAATTGTCCCCCAGTGATCAAATCCTAGCTCAAACCCTGGTGACTTTAGTCTCTAGTGTTACTTGGGTGACTTGGGTGACCAGGGTGACTTAGGTGACTTGGGTGAAGTGGGTGACTAGAATGACTTTAGTGACTAGGGTGATTTGGTTAACTTTGCGACAAGGGTGACAAGGGTGACTTGGTTGAACCGGGTGCTTGGATAGGGTGACTAGGATGACTAGGGTGACTTAATCTGATTTAATCTGATTTGATTAAATCTGCATGACTTGGGTGACTAGGGTGACTAGGTCGACTTAAGTCGGTTGGGTGACTGGAGTGACTGGGGTGATTAGAGTAACTTGGGTGACTAGGCTATCTAGGGTGACTATAGAGATTTGGGTGACTAGGATGACTTGGGTGACTAGGATGACTAGGGTGACTGGGGTGACTTGGGTAACTAGGGTGACAGGGGTGACCAGGGTGACTAGGGTGACTTGGGTGACTAGGATAACTTGGGTGAATGGGGTGGCTGGGGTGACTAGGGTGACTAAGGTGAGTAGGGTAGCTGAGTTTACTTAGGAACTTAGGAGACTATGGTGAGTAGGTTGACTTGGATGACTAGGATGTCTTGGGTGAATAGGGTAACTAGAGTGACTTGGGGTGACATGGTTGATAAGGGTGAGTTGGGTGACTAGGGTGACTTGAGTAACTAGAGTGACTTGGTTGACTAAGGTAACTTGGGTGGCAGGGGTGACTAGGGTGACTAGAGTGACTTTTATGACTAGGGTGACATGGGTGACTAGGGTGACTTGGGTGACTGGAGTGACTAGGGTTACTAGGGTGACTGGGGTGACTTGGGCCACTTGGGTGACTAGGGTGACTTAAGTGACTGGGGTGACATGGGTGACTCGGGTGACTGGGTGACTTGGGTGACTGGGGTGACTTGGGCCACTTGGGTGACTAGGGTGACTTAAGTGACTGGGGTGACATGGGTGACTTGGGTGACTAGGGTTACTAGGGTTAGTAGGGTGACTTGGGTGACTGGGGTGACTTGGGCCACTTGGGTGACTAGGGTGACTTAGGTGACTGGGGTGACATGGGTGACTTGGGTGACTAGGGTGACATGGGTGACTCGGGTGACTGGGTGACTTGGGTGACTGGGGTGACTTGGGCCACTTGGGTGACTAGGGTGACTTAGGTGACTGGGGTGACATGGGTGACTAGGGTGCCTTGGGTGACTAGGGTGACTTAAGTGACTGGGGTGACATGGGTGACTAGGGTGACTAGGGTGCCTTGGGTGACTTGGGTGACATGGGTGACTAGGGTGACTTGGGTGACTTGGGTGACTAGGGTGACTTGGGTGACTTGGGTGACTGGGGTGACATGGGTGACTAGGGTGACTTGGGTGACTTGGGTGACTAGGGTAACTTGGGTGACTGGGGTGACATGGGTGACTAGGGTGACTTGGGTGACTTGGGTGACTTGGGTGACTAGGGTGACTTGGGTGACTTGGGTGACTAGGGTGACTTAGGTGACTGGGGTGACATGGGTGACTAGGGTGACTAGGGTGACTTGGGTGACTTGGGTGACTTGGGTGACTAGGGTGACTTGGGTGACTAGGGTGACTAGGGTGACTTGGGTGACTTGGGTGACTGGGGTGACTTGGGTGACTAGGGTGACTTGGGTGACTAGGGTGACTAGGGTGACTTGGGTGACTTGGGTGACTGGGGTGACATGGGTGACTGGGGTGACTTGGGTGACTTGGGTGACTAGGGTAACTTGGGTGACTGGGGTGACATGGGTGACTAGGGTGACTTGGGTGACTAGGGTGACTTAAGTGACTGGGGTGACATGGGTGACTAGGGTGACTAGGGTGCCTTAGGTGACTTGGGTGACATGGGTGACTAGGGTGACTTGGGTGACTAGGGTGACTAGGGTGACTTGGGTGACTTGGGTGACTTGGGTGACTAGGGTGACTTGGGTGACATGGGTGACTAGGGTGACTTGGGTGACTAGGGTAACTTGGGTGACTGGGGTGACATGGGTGACTAGGGTGACTTGGGTGACTAGGGTGACTTAAGGGACTGGGGTGACATGGGTGACTTGGGTGACATGGTTGACTTGGGTGACTAGGGTTACTAGGGTGACTTGAGTGACTTATTAGGGTTACTACAGCTGTATATTATTTGCATGAATTTGTGACAATTGTAGAGCAAGTCTTGCTTGAGATTACTGATTAAAAAAACTGAGATCTTACCTTTTGTTATTATTGAACATATTTCTCTCTTAACAACCTGATCAGCCCTGGAGGTTGAATGGGCTGTAAAATATACATAACAATGAAGCAAAGAATTTTCAATAACTATCATAGTTGCAGACAACAAAGACAACATGCATTATTTTACATAAAATACATGTAATCTTATGACCTACAAGTATTATTCAACACTACTCATTTGCTCTTTTGTAGTTCAAATTTTTACTTCATTAAATTAGTTTAATATAGAATAAAATATGAAAGTTAATAATCAGTTAAAATAATACACTGTAAAAGAATAAAATGAACAGCTAATAGATAAAATACTTTTTCTGCATCTCTCTTTCATCATTTCTGGTGTTTCAGTTTGCTCCACTCTTGCTACCCTATAAAAAAACACAAAATCATTACAATAGTACTTCAGCTGTAGATTACAGCACCACTCAAAAGTACATGTACGGGTGTAAGTTACCCATCTCATCTCTAGAGACAAATCCCTCATCTCTAGAGACAAGCATCTCGTGTGGTGAGAATCTTTGTAATGGCAATTTTGGAATAATTTAGGAGAGAAACTCAATACAATTTCTATTAGACAAGTGGAGCTCTGCGCGCATGCAAACAGGGCCCCATGGCTGAGAAAATGTGGTTATCTATACATCTGAGAAAGTTTGGTAGTCACGTGACTGTATGTCCCTCCGTCTGTCCGTAACACAGGGCAGACAATGTAAAATCTTGCACTTTCTAGCATGTGGGAGCCTGCAACCTGATATATTGCATATCCATGCCACGGTCAATTGAAATCTGTCAAAACAGGGCATCTGCTGACCAGTATCACATGACCATATCACTTGCTCAGGTGTCAAGCCATAGAAGTTACATGTTTTTTTGTAGTTATCTACTGCCAAGTTACTAGTTTTTAGCTGATCACAGGCTCAACTCCAAGTAGATTTCTTTGCAATGGTTACAAGTTTATTGTTTGATTTATTAATGGGAGCTTTGGTTTTAGCCTTGGGTAAATCTATATATTATGTTGATGATAAAGTAACGACAAAAATCTTGAAAATAATGCATCAGACAAAAGAGAGCACTATTGTACTTAGTGTAGCCTGCTAGCAGCTCTCTAGTAGGGGAAGAAGCAGGAGCAAGTGAGGCTGTTGTGAGATAAGCCAGGTGGTAGCTCCTCCTGAAAAAGTCACCTCAACACAAGAGGCTATCTTCTACTGAACTACATGTAGGTGCACATGTTTATAATCAAGTTTTTACTTGTCTGCACAATATGCCTTTAACTCAAAATGACTATTGCAGGATAAAATAAATGGTAACTCACTTGTAACCTTTTTGGATAAGAGTGTCTGAATAGCGACCAAATGCAATTTCAGGAAAACCAGCATGAGCAAAGTTACACTGCAAAAAAGGAATTGATACATGAAATTTGTTTATATCATCTTATTCTTATCAAGCATCATGCACTGAGAACTGTCAACAAGTATTCAAATATATTTATATAAGATGATAAAATCATTATATCAATAATATTACAATGCAGTTAAATGAAATTTAATGCAGTTAAAAAATACGCTTTTTGTTGGTCAAACAGTAAGTTTGGTGGTGCAGGCATGGTCACAGTCTTGCATTTAACCTCCCCTCCCCCTTCTACTGATCAGTCAGCCATGGGGGTGTAACTCTATTTAGAGGCTGGCTGTACCAAAAGTGGTGGTCTCTGGACATCCCAGGCACCTGTAAACCTTCACTGACCAATGTAGTTGTTAAATCAGGTTATCACTGTTATTGTATTTTTTTCAAATAATTAATATTATTCAAAATAAAAACAAAAATACTATTATTATTTATCACATGCATTAATTTTATGATGGTCATGATCATTGATATCATCATCATCATTAACTGTCATCCCTACATTCAGCACCATCATCAAGGCATTAGTTACCTTCATATAAATTAAGCCAAGTTCCTTTACACCAACTGTGGCATCCATGTTGTACAGTTCATAGAATTTGCCAACCTGACGCAAATACATGGATATTAACATAGAATAGGATACTTTTGATAACATTTAATTCTCAAGTACAAAAAGTGGCAGTGGAGTGCCAGATGCTTACTAGGGTCATAATATTAATCAAAAACCAAACTGTTTAAAGAAAAGGTCTAAAGCTCAATAGGAACTGTTTGAGGGGTGTGGCAGCGGGCAGGGGGCTGTCTCAACCCTATTTCCCAGGTCAATACAACAATGTAACTCAAAACATTAAAACTAGATCTAGGGATTGTGTTCAGTTGCACTTTTCTGTGTTTACAAACCTTAAAGAATAGGATTGTATCAAAGTTCTCACTCTTCAACTGCCACCATTGTTTCATTGCCTGAAAAAGTAACACAATCATAATTAAAAACAATGTATCAAAAACAGAAAAAGAGTTCTGCAGTTACTATACCCAGTTATTATTCCACAAGTTAAAATATGCAAAGTAAAGTAAAGCCAATTAGACTTACTGGTGTGGCATCTTTGGAAGATAAAAATGATGGAGGAACCTAATAAAAGAGGAAAAAGCCAACAGTATTAATTGGGTGCTGTGACTATAATTTATACAACTTAAAAATAACTACACATAAACAAAGGATCTTTTGCTGAATAACTTGATGACTGCAAATTTGTTTGAGGGTCAATTTTCTCCTTGGTTGAATTAATTATTTCATAATCCTTGGTTCCAAACACATTACATTACAGTAAAATACATGTATCTTAAAACAGAGAGAACAAACAGGGTGCAAAGAATGTCAGTTCTCAAGCTTGCCATTCGGGCAAGCTCCAGCTATCAGGTTCTAGCCTGGGGGCCTTTTAACTAGCTTGGAAAAAATTTTTGATGAGCCGGACTGATTATAGATCTTCTGCAATGTTAATTACTCAAAAATTTCACTTGCCCATCAGGCGAGTTCAGAACAGAATTCACTAGGCTGATGGTAAAATGCAGTAGCCCTAGGCTATCGGACATGACTTTCTTTACACACTGAACAAATATTTATACCAAGATACTAGAAATACGTTTTCGCAAAAATCTCGCAAAGCTGACAGGGTCAGCAGTGAGAATAAATAGTAACAAGCCAAAGGGTAAAAATATGATGAAAGAAAAAAAAAGAAACTGGAAGTAGCCACGCCGGAATTTGAACCTGCACTCCAACTTCCTCCAGCAAAAAAAAGTGCGCTGTCTGACCACTGGGCCATGTGACCACTACACCGATCGAGATGTGAAATTAATAGTCTTGAAGTATTTTTCTCTGCCATTCACACTGTTTGAACCTTGTGGAGCTGTATTTATGATGAATTCAAAAATACATTTCAGGAAAAATAGCTCAAACAAGTATTTCAAAGCTATTTTGCATTATTTCCACGTTTTATTCACTCTCGGCCTTTATAACGGCCGCTCGATGAATGCACTCATCTTCTTCTTCGTTGCTCTCGCTGAAGTTCAGGTCACCACTCTTTCAGTGTTAAATCTTCCACGGCAAGGATTTCTAGCCACTTGTCGAATCGGGCACTATTGTGTTTGCAGCCCGTTGTTATTTGCCTCAGAAATACTTTGCGATTCGCCAGCGTACAGTAAACAGAAGATGAATAAAATGAGCCCAAGTCAGTTGCCATGTTGCCTGGAAACCCAAAATGCACGATGACGTCATGCTGAATGGCATCTTTAGAATTTGTTTATGGCTTGTTGCTAGGGAACTGCAGATACCAAAACCGATAGAAAGAAAAATTTATGACCAAAGCAAAATTGCAGTACGCTTGCCATCCTCGCGTGATCTGCGCGCGACGAAATTATAAACTCGCTTTGCTCGCAGCGTAACAGCTGCTCACTCCGCAAGAATTATTCGACCAGAACATGGGCCCATCTTAAGTTAAGGAAGGATACTTAAAGCCAGCCTTCACAATGTTTGTATTGGAGAGAGTTAATGGTAAATGCATTAACTTTTCATGTATAGGTTGTACTTACAAGAAGGGTGCGTGGATCATAATCAGGATGTGACATTGGTCTGCCATGCTTGTCTCTATATACAAAATAAATGAATATTGTTATTACTGTAAATCTTAAGAAGTGCTGAAACAATTAATTTTTTCAGTTGTACATAATAGCAACTGGGTAACAGGGCCGTGCATACCAAGGCTAAACCATACATTGTTTAATGTCAAAAAACCAGTGTGTACGTTTATAAGGTATGCACAGGGAGGCTTAAAGTTTTTTTACAGAGGCAGCTGCCTTGGTGCCTTCAAATAGCCTAGGAGGGTGGGATGGGGGCTGGCGCTTACAGCACAAAATGAAATAGAGGTACAAAAATGAAATTCAGTTGAAAACTGTTCAAAATAAAGACAGTGACCAAAAAACGCACCAAAATCTCCAAAATAATGCAACCTACATGTACAGTGTCAGGAATGAAAGGATTATGGTAACCCTTTTAAGTCCCAAGAGTGAATTAAAACATCAATTATCTTCCAAAAATGAAAAAAAAAAACAAATTTTATCGTGAAAAACAGGTCAGTGCACTAGACCCCGGCCACCCTTGGCACTCATTTTTTGCTCTCAGGTGACATACAAATCATATGCTGAGCACACTAGATATTACACCATGTACAGGACCAGGCACTGGACTCCCTTCAAGTTTCCTTAGAGCACAGCCTTGAGAAAGGTTTTGAAACTTAATAAAGTGTTGTAATAGAAAATACTTTGATCTTTCATCAAATTCTCTCAACTAATTCTTTAAGGAAATTTATGAAGATCAGTCTGGAGAATTTGTAAGTAGATACTGGGACTTAAAGGGTTAAAACAATCTATCCATTACTTCCTCTTCTCCTCCTTTAACCAATCCAATTTTTCATGAGTATAGGTACCAACACCCTCTTCATTATTTGCATTTGAACTTGGGGTTGGAGACGAACTCATCTGGAATCTTGCCAGAGATTCTGCAGCTTTACTGGCCGAACTTGACACCTTGTTTGCTAATGAGCCAGACAGTAATGAAGGGGATGGGGTACTGAATACTGGTGCCTTGCTAGTGAGAGGTGTACAGGGCGTGGATGGCTTGTGATTCTTGGTCTTTTGCTGACGACCTGTAGATGTGCTGCCTCGTTTGCGCTTACGGGAGGGCTAGTGGTCAAAAAAGGAAACAAAAATTAGATTTTTGTATCTTGATGAAAAATTTCTTGGATATACATTTTGTGATAAAAAATAGCCATAAAAAGTCAGTCGATCCCGTCACCGATAGGAGACTGAAAAATAGTGTCCCCAATTAGTGCTTTAGTGCTAAATACATTGACACCCAAATAAAGTGCCTTTTTTTCGGATGACGCTATAGAGGTTTCTTAGTTACATGTCACTAAACAGCACCTTTTCATTGTCCTCTTCAATATCTTCTTCTGAATGGGTACCATCCTCTAACTCATTTTCGTCAACTCCACTACTACAACTTTCATCGTCATCATCATCACCGTCATTGGGTTTGTACTCATCTAAAGAGTTCAAAGCAGACATTCTGATTGGTTTGTAGTTGGTTTAAAAATCAAAGTGAGATACCAGGTGGCACAGAATTTTTGCGGGAGTTTATTTTTCCAGATTGGCGATTTTTTGTATTTTGCGGGAACCAATTCTGGGAATTAGGACAGATTGGTTTTTCTTGCTTGCTTGGAATTAATTTTTGCGATTTTCAGAAAGTACCCAAACAAATATTATATTAGTACATGCAATGAAAAGTTGTGATTGAACAGACGAGAATTCTTAGTACTGCATTTTTGTGTAGCAACCTTAAGTTAGAGAATTTTTATTCTGGAGTTAATTTTTGTGGGAAAAATGTTGGGCGAAACTTATTTCTGTGGATTGCTGGAAAAATTGCAAAAATTGCAAAAATTAGAAGCAACAAAAATGTCACACCACACAGTAGAATAAAATGAAATGAGACAATGGAAAAAACAAAATAGGAAATCTAAGATAATTTTAGACTTTCCACTTTGTTCTGCAATTATTGCACAAAGGGGTGCTTTAAACTGCAATTAGGGAAATGATAACTGATGTTTGGTAAATAATAATGCATTCTGTGAAACATACATATGTAATTATATTTGGTTGAATGTAATTTAACTAAGTTAACCACCACGAGCTTAGCGGTCAAGTGGTCCACAAGGTTAGTGGTCAAGCGGTTCATAAGCTTAGCCATTCACAAGGTTAGCGGTCAAGTGGTTCACAAGCTTAGCAGTTAAGCGGTCCACAAGTTAAGCGGTCAAGCGGCCCACAAGCTTAGCGGTCAAGCGGCCCACGAGCTTAGCGGGCATCCAGCGGTCAATCCCACAAGTGCAAGCTCACATGGTTTGTGGCATGGTTTGTGGTAACTTTGTACACCCTATTTTTCTAGGATCTCAGTGTGATGGTTCTTCTTCAAGTGTTTGTGCAGTGGTCTGTGGTCTGTGGTCTGTTTGCTTGTTTTTGCTTTTACACATTAATGATCATATGATAATATTGGTCTGCCAAATATTCAAGGAATCAAATGAATTGAGCATTAAAAAAAATTGTATGATTTTTACAGTGGTTTCAAAGTTACTGAACCTGAAATTTTTGCTCATAAATTGTTCAGATTTCACAGAATTGTACTATAAGAGGGCTGTGCATTAAAGATTGTTGATCTAAATGAATAAATCACAGAATACACAACAGTTAAAATAACATAAATCACATCTTGAATATAAAGACCTACCAGCTGAATCTCCCTCAGACCCAGATTCTATCACTCTTCTTTTCTTTCCTTTGTTGTGCTTTATTGCAGCTTTCCGTTTGGGACGCTTGTTGTTACGCTGAGTGTAATGAAATATGCAATAAAAGAATTTACTTAATATTCTGTGCATTCAGTTGGTATAATTCCCTGCAACTCACTGCCAGCCTAGCATGTCCTGGTCTTTATGCTTCTGGATATACTTCTGTTAGTAAAGACTACATAATAACAAAAACCAGTATGGTCAAAGGTGTTTGGATCTGTGTTTTCAGAGTCTGAACTTCAACTACACCTTGCCAGTGAAAAGGTCTTAATTTATTGTGATTTATTAATGGTTGTATTTTATTTCTGTGCTTTGAAACTAAATATGCACCTTTCTTCCTTTCACTTTGTCATCATCATCATCATCACTGTTCTTGTTTGCAATATCACCACTGCTTTTCCTCTTGTGACCCTGTGTTACTTTGCTGGGGCTCTCATCATCTGACTGCATAGTTTGATCACCATCTTCCTCTGAATCTTCCTCGTCAGAAGGTAAACAATTAACAAGTTCTTTTCTCTCTTCTTTTGAAAGTAGCAGAACTTCTTCAGCTTGTTGTACAGCCTTTTTAATTGTAGGATCCACAACTTGATTTTTAAATTGCTTCTCAAAGGTCTTGATTTGTCTGAAATGCAGCCATTGAAAAATGCAAATTGAAACAAGAATTTTACTCCTTTAATAAAACCTTTAGTTGAATTTTTTTTACCTCCAGTTTACCTGCTTTCAGTCATTTTACCCCATCTCACATACAGGTGTAGTTAGGTACTATTTGTATCCAACCCTCAACTCAGTAAGCAATATACTGTACATTGGGATGAAGAAATTGAATGTGCAACCCTTAATGAGGAACTATGGGTCATTTTTCCATCCCTGAAGAGTTCCGTAAAACTGTATGGTAGGTCTGCAGGACTTCAATAAGAGGAGTCATTATTCCTCCAAAATATTTCATCAAAACCAGCTACTGACAACAAAATTTGGAAGATTTTGGTGATATCTGAATAATGACTTCAAGTGTGTAGCAAAATTGCCAGATTACTGAACAGTTGACTGAGAAGACCTGGGGATGAGGTTGAGTTGTTTTGGTAGTGAGTACAAAATGGTAGAATATTTTACTTCAAGAGGAAGAAACAGGTGAACTTTTGGCTTAAAACAGAGCAAGAACAGCAAGAAGACAACTCAACGGACAACATCTGCTATTTGAAGAATATTTGCTGAACTGAACAACCCTTTATCTCCTAAACTTGCCGATAAACATGCACTATAGAAGATAAACTTAACATCGATGGAGGAAAGCATATTTTAGCTATCTTTTAAACTAGGAATTATTTTGAATGAATAATACAACAATATTATCATTGAATTCGGCTTTCAAATCATCTGAAGAATTATGGAGATCTTGGAGGGTGTTATCTGCCTCAGCCTACAGCCTTGGTGGATAACGCCCTCTTTGATCTCCATAATACTTCAGATGATACTCGGCCTTATTCATTTTCTTAATAGACAATGCCGATTGTCTGCATTACAGATGTATACCGGGGGGCAGTCAAGGGATGGGATGTTTGGGAAGAGAATAGCTGATGTACTGTCAAGGCATTCAAGCCCTAACCCTGTTTTAAGACAAAAAATGTTTATTTCTCTACCCTTGATTTGAGACAATAGACCTTAATATGTGCCCTTATTCATTTCATTAGCCATATTCACTCTGAACATTACTCTATTAGTACTCAACAGGGGGGTGGGGTTGTGAACTAACAATGATCTTTTCCAGTGACGCGGCGTGCAGATCGATTAAAAAATGAATCCCATAACAGGCAAGGAATTATAATTACACAAAAACATAATGATCCGGCCGCAAATACATCTCTTTCATTGCTTTATGAATTATCTACCAAGTCGCCATGTTAAGAACCTAGCATACCATCAGGTACAATCGATCTCGAGCATTCATGTTCAATATTAAAACAGGCTTACCTTCGCTTTACCCAAGCTCTGCTAGGTGGCTCGCCGAAAAACTGTACATGACATTTATCCTTCTGCTGAAAAACGTTCTGTGTAGGATGATCACAAACCAAGCTAGGCCACCATGGATGTCCTTCAAGTTTGGCCCACACAATGTCATACAATTCAACTTGCGGATCATCGCTCTTGTTCGATCTACCAGCTGATTTTCGCTCTTTTATGTTCGCTTTCTGTCCATTAATTGGCGTAAATCCTTGGGCCCCTTCTTTAGGAGAATGGTTTTTCCCTTTCTCCGCTGTTTCACCGCAAACTGGAGAGGAAGGTTTCTTAGATTTTGGCGTTTTGGTGAAGTAAGAGAAAAGCGTGGCCATGTTTATCTCCTCGATCAATTTCACGTGAATTTTCCCGCGTTTCCTTCAAGAGTACGCGTTTCTGTAGGTCAGCGCCCAGGGTACACAACACAAAGGACGTCATGTAAGGGCATTAACTGTACATCGTTCAGTTCTT